CAAGTGCTGACCTCAGAAAAAAAAGAAGTATGAAATCAGGAAATAATCATACGAACGAGACATATATTTCATCATTGTACCAGCACTATTCATCGATCAAATCTTTACTATCTTGTAACTATAATATCACTGTAAAGGGAAACAATCAAACATACAGAAGGGTAAACAACCGACAAAAAGGTGTAAAAAAAAATCCAATTTCTTTGGTGAAGTTTTGGTCCAAAAACTAAGTTTAACTCAAGACTACTTTTCTAATCCTAAAATGTTTAACACTATGGCACAGTAGTTTTCTATCACATACAGTTCCTAGTTAGCCTATAGGCCAACAATGTTTTTATTTCAGTAATCATTGCTATCATCTAAATTAGACATCATCGATTCAACACCACCATTTATCCTTCTAATGTGTACATTACAAGTTTTTGTTGAAAATCAGGATATCATTTGGTTGCTTGAATTACAACTTATTACGAAATCATTTAGGGATTATATTCTAAATGAAACAAAGATTATTCTAAAAAGTGAAACAAGACATAACCTTGTTACCATAAAAGATTATATGGCTGAACTCAGAAATTAAAAAAAAGCCGAGGTGTTGACCTCAGAAATTAAAACAAAGTAATCACAGATATCATCCAAAATTGACTGTCATGTTTTTCTTCATCACAGATTCAACACCTAGTTTCCATTCTCGACCCTGTGAACCTATGCTGGTTTGTGCTTTTCAGAAAGTGATGTGATTGTGCTTTAGTAGGTGTGTCCTTGGGGAAGACAATTGACCAAAGTTGCTATGGATGACATGTAATGGGCCTCATGTAAGTTGCTCATTGAGGTAATCATCATTTAATACAAGGAGACCCCAGCTCAAAATGACCCTTGCCAATCATTGGGCAATTAGTCGGACAAACAGAAATACATCCTCTTAAGATGGATCTGTATCAAAGAAGTGATTCTATTTTTTTAGACTGGAAACTCCAAATTCTATAATCTCACTCTGATGTCTACAAGCTATGACAAAATCAACAAGGTTGATAAAGTTATTCAAGAATTTAGATTTACCTTATTAGTTTGGATCATAAAAAGATTATATAGCTGAACTCAGAAATTGTTGTCATTTCATGTTTAATCATTTTAACGAGATTCAATGTTTTCTTCATCACTGTCTCAGCAGCTTAATCCAAACATCAAGATGATTTACCAATTACTCCCAATCAAATGAAGGGTCATCTCTTATCAACAGCTAATATCCAAACCGTGATTATTTATTGAACTCCTTACCCTACTAACACCAAGGCATTCAGCAAACAAAACATTCTAAACCTCCAACCTCTTGGATATGTTTGATCTTCATTCTCAATGCCAATGTTTAAAGCTAAGGTGTTGACTTCAGAAATTAAAACAAAGTAATCATAGATATCATCCAAAATTGACTGTCATGTTTTTCTTCATCATAGATTCAACACCTAGTTTCCATTCTCTTCCCTCTTAACCTATGGCGATTAGTGTTTTTCAGAAAGTGATGTGATTGTGCCATAGTAGGCCTGTCCTTGGGGAAGACAATTGACCAAAGTTGCTCTGGATGACAAGTAATGGGCCTTCTGTAAGTTGCTCATTGAGGTAATCACCAGCTAATACAAGGAAACCCCAGCTCAAAATGACCCTTGCCAATCATTGGGCGATTAGTCGAACAAACAAAAATACATCCTCTTAACATGGATTTGTATTAATGAAGAGATTCTATCTTTTTAGACTGGAAACTCCAAATTCTATAATCTCACTCTGATGTCTACAAGCTATGACAAAATCAACAAGGTTGATAAAGATTATTCCAAAATGAACATTTACCTTGTTAAGATAGGTTGGATCATAAAAAGATTATATGGCTGAACTCAGAAATTGTTGTGATATCACATTTAATCATGTTAACGAGATTCAATGTTTTCTTCATCATCGGTTCAGCAGTTTCATCCAAACACAAGATAATAAACCAATCAGTACTCAAAAACATCATATAGTGACATCAAAAGCAAAACAGGAATTCCACACACAACTACTCCATAAATTCATATGAAGTATTCAATGCTCTTGTTCAAAATGACTTGATTCTAATTCATCAGCTGATTTACATTCCCTCTACAATTTTTTTAAAATCAGAATTTGGTATATTTCTTGAACATCCATCAAATTAGTGAACCTTCATTTAGAACATACTAAACCACAGACCTATTGGGAAAGTTTAGTCTTTATTCAAAACACAATTTTTTAAGCAAAGGTGTTGACTTCAGAAATTAAAACAAAGTAATCACAGACATCATCCAAAATTGACTGTCATGTTTTTCTTCATCACAGACTCAACACTCAATTAATGCATCTAAACAGATTAAACACAAGAGGTTATGATATCTGGTCTACAATCTGCTGCATGATCAACCATTATCTGTCTGAATTAACACAACAGATCATGAAGGAATCCTCATACCCATCATCACATGGCCTATACATAGTTGGACCTCCCCCGTTCTTTTCTCTTACTAGTTTTCTTTTCAAAATCCAAGATGGCTGTCTGACAGCCTAATTTTAATGAATATTTTGCAATAATATTTTTGACTGTTGAAAGTCGGTGACCTATCAAAGTTCACTGCACATTTCTGAGGTTGAAGTGATCGTTTCAAAAGATTTGAACAAGATTGTGTGGTATCTGAAGAATAAGTACAAATATGTTTCCATTTTTCTAAAATTTTAAATACTGACGTCATAAAAGCTGCAGAACTCAGAAATACCACTTAAAATCATTTATTATCAATGTAAAAAGTTTTAATATCATCACTGTTCTGCTCCAGTAAAATTTTAAAGTGGTTATACAAAGTTTCAGAAATCAAGATAAAACCATGATTTAAATAGGAAACGGGTGTCTCTAGAGATTCTAAATACTGCTACATATTAACCATGGTACCATTTCTACCAAAGTGAGATGGTTGGGATCCAACATAACTTCAAGCAATATTCTTGTCATTAAAATGAAATTTACCTTTACTTCTGTCAAGTTTGTGAGAGTAATATCAGAATAATTGTCAATTAAAAAAAAAAAAAAAAAAATTAACACATCAGCTCAACATTTGACAACATGACCATTTGATATCAATGTAACTTACAAGATGTATATATTCATTAGTATGCAGAACTCAGAAATACCACTAACAATCATTTGTTATCAATGTATAAAAGTATAAAATCATCACTGTTCTGCTCCAGCCATGAACAGACATTTCAACTTTCATTTTCTTTACATAACTTTATCAATATCAGCAAGCAAAATACACCCCCTCCTTTTTGAGTAAGTAACATTTGCTTCTGACATGAAATTTGCCATAGCATATGAATTAGGGGTTGTTTCAAACATTTTTCTAGGAAGAATTCTATGTTTTGTAACATAACTGCCCGACATTGATAAGCATTCAAATGATAACAAGGTTCTGTAAATGAAATACAAATTGAGGTAGACAACAGCAAACATCAGAAGTGTGACTGTTACATATATATAAAAAACAACAACAATGATCCGTATACATTTTGTTGTCTTCCTAACACCAACAGTTAGGAAAACACTCCTTACCTCACATACTCTACAGATGTCACCATGTTGTGTCTTATCCAAAAAAAAAAGGCTCAAAACACTCCCTACCTTTCCTACTCTTCAGATGTCACCATGTTGTGTCTTATCCAAAGCCAAAGGCTCGAAACACTCCCTACCTTTCCTATTCTACAGATAACATCGAGCTGTGCATTATCCAAAGCAGCAGGCAAGGAAAACACTCTCTACCTTCAACACTCTAATTCTGCAAAAGCTAATACCTCTGGACCCTGTGACAATTCATCACAGCATAAAAGAAAGATTTAGGCTAAAAGAGACAAGGAATATATTGTCATTATTACCACTAAACTTGTTAAGTTTTTTTTGTTTTGTTTTAAGGAAGGGTGGGTGGGTGGGTGGGGGTTAGTTTTTAATGAATAGAACTTATACAGTCCAGACTCTTAGACAGTTCCCATAAGCCCTTAACTCTACCAATACCAATGATATTTCAATATCATGATGTCCTGAAGTTAAGTACAAAGAAAGTAACAAATGACCAAATTCACTGACCAGCCTATAACAAATCTAAAACAAACTACATCCCATACCATTGTGGTGCATTTATCAAGCTTTTTGGACACAATGAAGTTTTCTGGGGAACAAATGAGTATTATTGAAATCAAAATAAATGCTGTCGAAACATCTATTATCAAGTCCAAGAAGCAAGCACACTACTTTTGACATGGGATGGGCTTATTTCCAGATAATGGAAAAGAGTATTTGGTAATCTTCTGAAAAACAAGATATGGTTGGTTTCAATACCAGAAATAAGCTTATTGATGAATAAATACAGAAATTTCCATTGTAAATCTTGTGGATGATTTCCTTTAGCCAGTGAGAAGTTGGCTGAAGTTTTACATTCTTAAGAAGTTTTGCATTCTTGTCAAGTCACTTCAGTAAAGCCAACTGTTCACATAGATTTCACACATTTTGATTTCTTTCAAATATTGTACACACAATTCATTTACCAAGTCAGGCAGCGTGATCATTGAACAATAAGCAGTGAGTGCCAAATAAAACAGGAAAGCGACAGAAATTTGATCATAATACAGCAACAACAACCAATCACCAAGTTAATAAAGAAATCAAAGGAAATCAAAATTGAAAAAAAAAAAAACAAAAAAAAAAAAAAACACAAAAAGTACAATACTGTTTCTTTTCTTTCTTTGAATGAGAAGTTGGGGGTTTTATTTTAAAATCTGAACCCGACATAAATGAAAAAATGTTAAATACAGAGACAGGTCACCTTATAAACTGAAGGTGTGCAAAATGTATGAACAACAGGAGGGCAGCTATGTCTGCTACTCAGCTCTTAGTCTATATCACAACGTCACACATAAAACTTGGCAAAGGATGAAAATGAACATACTTCACTACTGCTCCGATGTGGATATTTCTTTACTTTATCAGTAAGAAGTATCATCTGAAACAATGTGCATCTTTGTGAAAGCAATGTCACTGACTGAACTATTTGTGAAGTTATGGCTCAAGAAACAGCAGTATATCTTGCATGCAACAGCCTTAGATATGATGATAACTATGTAGATTTTTCTTATTTTTTGTATCAATACCTGGAACTTCACAAATTCAAGCACAATTTCCTTTAATATTTAAATTTATGTTTCATTGCCTATTCAAACACAAACATTTTTCTTTTATATATTTCCTTTTTTTCTTTTTTTAATTTTCTGTTACAGCGAGTGGAAAAATAAATTTTTTATAAGGCACTTCTGGCTCCTTTATTTATCTATAGGTAAAACAAATGCCAAATATTTCCGGACACAATGGACTTGATCTATTATTCTGATTTCAATGCCCTTTACTGACACTGAATCTTATTATTTTTGGAAATCAACAATGAATAAATAACATATCCTGAACATGAACAATCTGGACATGAAATGTAGTAAGATTTTCAAACAATTCATAAATAGTAATTAAGATGACAGAGTATGAAAAAACATTTAAAATAAAGTCAATAATTTCCAGCAAAAATCGCAATTAGGCATTTTGTAAAACAGCAAATGAATGATTGTAAAATCAACTCACCTGATGCAGTAAATTGTTAATAACACACATGTACAACAGAAAACTTAAATAGATGTGTGCTAGGAGCCAGATATTTCAGTGGTATAAAACTATACAAACCTGTGTATGGGACTTGCCATAGCCTGATCCAGGCATATCAGCAGCTCCTGGCACAGATGCAACAGATCCTAAATGAAAATATAGCAAGTTCTTGACATTGGTATATGAAACTAAACCTTACATGCTGATATAAATGACACACTGGACTGTCTAACATGAATGGTCCCACCCAATGAATGCAAGTGTCAATGTTTGATAAGTTTCCATAAATAACTACGATGACTTTAACATTGAACCCTGAAAATTAAACTCATCCAAGGTATTTCCATAACTGACCTTTGCATAACTAATGTATGATAAAAAAAAAAAATTAAGAAAAGCAGGTGATATGGTTAGGGATAGGATGGATATGGGTAACAAAAACATCTGTGTTGTGAATACCTGGAATTTTCCGTAATATACCCCAGGAATATTTTGACCTTAGTCACTTTTACTGATGAAAGATGATGTGTTAATTAGCTGGTGTTAATTGTGTTCAATGAATTTATATAGATGCAAAATCTTGAAAATCAATAAAATCAGTTCAGTAAATAAACAACAAGACTATTTACCTGATACTCCTGAAACTTTGTTCTGTGGTGGGTTTCCATATGATGATTTGCTAAAATCTGTTCCCTGTGTCAGATCTTCATATCCACCTATGAACAGACATATGGACAAAGTATTTAAAAGTTGGCCACTTTAACTATTGTTTTCTGGTTAGGAATTGAACATCATCACAGAAGTTGAAATTTTCAGACCTTAGGTATGTATTTCTTGACATTTAATGAAGGATTATAATCAAATTTAATTTTGACACAGGAAAGAGTGTATTTTTTCCCAACCAAATTTTAGTTTTAAAGGATGATAAATCATGATTTCTGAACATATTTTGAAAAGATGCTTCAATTATAACAACTGATATGTATCAGCTGGAGTCGTGTTGCTACTACAGTCTGCTCTGTTTTGCAAATTGCCTCAGACATTTTTAAAATTGTTTCTTGGGTTATTAATAGCCCATCAACAGCCAAGATAGTTTTAAGATAGGGGTTTACTTGTAGTAGTTGATATTTACTTCACTGAACAACATGTGGGAGGCCCATTGCATGCCATTCAGATCGAATGAGGTAAAGTGTCTTGCCCATGGACATAAACATGAGCATAAACATGTCTGTTACTCAGCTTTCAGAGAAACAATATGCCATCGGTATGGGAAGTCATACTACAGAAACAGAGCTTCATCAGAGGTTGCATAGGCAAACACTACCGCTATAGCTACCATGGCCCTTGAATATTTGTTTACTAAGCCATAGATATGAAAAACATTACCACCAAAAGCATAGATGGAATACAGCATTCATTTACAATAAAATGCAGAAATTATTATCTAAAACTGCTTGCTTTTTAACACATTTCACCCCTACCTTTATTGCTGGCATAAGCATGTGATGCACCATAAGTTTTCTGGTATTGGGTGTTAGCTGTTGTTCCAGCATGGGCTGTATTTGTTACTGGTGGCACCTGCAGAAAAGAATACAATTTGTACATTATCATTATGTATTATGTGACAAAAAGATGAACCACATACATAAGACTGTTCAAAGAATCAGATATTCTTTAAAACATATAAAGGCAGCAAGAGATTGCAAAACATACAGAAGTTCAAAAGCGTTCCTTTTTTCAAATTTTGAGTAAATATCACTTTTAATGCTGTATTTATAAAGAAATGGGTATCCTTATGCAAATTTGTTATAAAACTCACAAAATCCAGCTGCAGTATATTGAAAATGCATCAGACACATACATATTATTTGAGTAAATTTCACAAAGTTATATAAAATTAAGCAGTATGTGTAACAGCAATAATAAATTTGTCAAATTCAGCAATATCATGTTGTCCTATACTCAATGTCTGATATCTGTTTCTCTTCTGTCAAATAGTCTGATCATTTATTGCATAGGGTCATAAGAACATCTAGATATGTTCTCCTTTCTGGCCAGTTTGTTTGACTAAGGGAAATTATATGCTTCAAGCATATAAAGTTATCAACACCTCATGATAACATTTTTTTTACTTTCTTTCATTTTTTTAATTACCGGAAACATTTGGGCAGGGTACTGGAATCCTGAAGGTAAGACTGATGGGTAGTAATAGCCATATGGGACATTGATGAAATGTTGCTGTTGATGAGCAGACTGTGTTGACTGTTGCTGAGAAGCAGGAATGGGAGACTGGGCATCCACTCGACCAATCTTGTTGTCTGCTGCTGTAAACAATAATCAATTTAATCATTATTCAGTTGAACACATAAAGGGGCTACACAATAGAAATTGTTGAATGCTAAGTAGATATAACGTAATATAATGGAATTGTTGCAGAAAACATTTAATTTGGTCCCATTTTTCTGTCTTCTGATGTGGTCTACACTAACTTTCAACATGCTGTGTCAATGGCTTTTCCAGATTTCACTGTGTGATTTGAGCTTTTGTTTTGGGGTTTGACCCACTAATGTAAACAACAGGAAATAACAAGAGTACCACAAAGCGTTACAAAATACGCCCGTGAATATCCACAACAAAGAAGATAATTCAAGAATTACAGTCCTCCACCTGGTGTACTTTGATGGAAGTCAAAGGTCGAAAAAAGTAGGAATTTATGAGACGATCCAAAGACGTTTTTATTTCACAGAGCCTTTGGCAAGGTAAAATGAAAAATTTGACACGATCATAAATCTCACATCAAATGGAAACCAATATAAGATCCTTTTCATCACATGATCAAATATTCACTAAAATTTATCATAAAAATATTGAGTTATTGAATACTTTTGGAATGGTTCTGTATATATCATCTAATTAACCTCCATTCAGAAAAATAAAATCATGTTATAGAGATTAAACCTGCAAAAGTTCATAAACATCAGTTAGAGTAAATATTCAGACAAGATTTTTATATTTCATATCAGGGTAATTAAGCATACAAACTTTCATAAAGATCGGCTGAAAAATGTAGGAGATCTCCGGACAATATTTCTATAGTGAAATAAACAAAGGGCCATAACTCTTGTTCAAATCACCAAATCAAAACCCAGTTCAGGAAAACACAACTTCATATCATGGTGTTAAGTCAACCAAGTTTCATAAAGATTGGCTAAAAAATGTAGTAGATCTCCTGACAAATGAAAGTTTACGACGGACGGATGGACAGAGCCATACCATAATGTATCTGCCTTTGAAGGGCGTATAAAAACCTGTATAGAAGCTGAGTATTTATGGATTAGAGTTCTTACCAGAACAGTAATAAATCCTGATATATCAAACCATTTTTCTAGTAAAATGGCTTCAATCTTTTCAACAATGATCGTCAAATATCCTTCCTGTATAATTCCCCTTTCCCTTTGATGTCATTAGTACTTTTGCGGTATGTATTGAAGGTATAAAAGATGTCATCACAACTGATGTAAATATGCAACTATTTCAATATCTTTTTAGTTAAGGACTATTCCAGTAAAACATCTATCCCTCCTCAGGATTCCAGGTTTTGTTTAGGGATGCCACCCACAGAATATCATCATTTGCTTCCAAGTAGAAGGCAGAAACCAAACCATGGATAAAACTTAATTTTTAAGTTCCAAGGTCAAGTAGATGTTTTACTGAAATAGTCGTAAGTGTTAATCCTAAGGATTATTGTACTGTAAATATTATATTTGCTGTATTTCCACATTTCTAAAATAACACTGTTTGCAAATACTTTCTATAATTCACTTTTCATCATAAACCTCATACCAGAGTATGGCACATTTGCTAGTGTGGTCTGTTCACGTCCAGTCATGGTTGTTGGGACACCAAATCCTGTCATATCATAGTTATAATTTGCCTGCAAAATAGTGCAATCATCAGAATGAGAAATAAATTGCATTATATTCAGCTTAATTAAGAGATGCATCATTTTCACAAAAGTACCACAACTTTTACAGGTAAAATGCAAAGACATCAAGTGTCTCTCCAGTTAAAGCAAATGATATGAACCTTAATAAATTGCCATTGACCAAAAGGTTTATCAATCAAAATGTAATTTTAATCAGACATTCAATATGCCATTTAACCTTAATTCTTTAAAATTATCTTGTATTTTAAAAAACAAATTATTTATCCTACTTACAGATCTTGGACACATGATTTACTTTACCATCATTACCCTCTAAAATGTCTTTCACTCACCAGGGTTGGGGGTAATCTCTGTTGGAGCTGAAGCTGAATCTCGTCTGTGTAACTAGCATAAAGCGGCTGTTGCAGTCCCTAAATGGTATAAATAAATAATAATTTAACAAATCAGTAATTACTAATGAACAACAAAATGTTTATTTTCCATTCTATTTGTCTCATTTTTCATTAATTCTCACATGAAATAATGACTTTTCTTCAATTTTTTCCCCTTTTCTCTTCCTCTTTCATTAAGTTCCTGCCAATTTCCTAATAATTTTGCACTAAAAGGCAGTGTATTTTTCTGCATTAAAGGAGTACTGAGCATTGCATAAAAAAGTGATGAAGTCTATTTAATAGTGTACAAAAAAGTGATGAAGTCTATTTAATAGTGCACAATTCACAAGCATTTCATTAGTCTAACAACTTTAACTGTCATCCTAATTTATATCATTCAAAAATAACACATCTAACTATAGGTTGTATTTTACTTGAAACACACCAGATCAAACCACAAGGAATATGATTTGAAGGAAATAAAAATGCAATACAAGTCCATAATATATTTTAACAGAAAACTTAACAAAATTTAAGATTCATATATATATTTCCATAAAAAATTAACCTTCCCAGGAAAGCAACAGATTACAAATGTGCAAATAAGGACAACGGTCACTTACAAAGTATTGTGGCATAGTTCCCTGTCCCATGATGTACTGGTGACCTACCAATACACCTGGAGGCAAACTTGGAGTGTTCTTTGTGGCTGTAAACATAGTAATATCTCATGAAGACAGCTTCAATAGTCCACAATGACTTACGACTAACATTTCAAACATTCATGAGTGTGGCGTTTACTTGAAACATAACCATTTCAAGTTCACACACTTCAGCATAAAGCATACATTCCTGCATGAAATCAAAATCACTCTGATCTATGGTATAATATATATACTGTAGAAAATTTCTTTCAAAAAAGTTTTTAAAATCTGTTGTTCAATCCACATTTAGTAAAAAAATTTGAAAAGACTTTTACTATGCAAAGGCAAATAAAGAAACAACATTTCAGTAATTACAACAAATAACAATCATCATAATAACATTTAAGATATTGAATTGATCTTCTCTATGTTCAAATTCATAAGCATACTCACTGCTTGTTGAGGGAGCAGTCATGACTTTGGTTGAACCAACTGTAGTTGTTAATGCACTGGTAGATGCAACAGATAATGGAGTAGTTGTTCCTGTTGCCAGAGATGTTGTTATTGTTGTAGTTGTTAAGTTACTCGTTGTTGTAGATGTAGAACTATCATACTGAAATCAACCAGAAATAATGACACAAATTACTTCTTACTCGGTGATCAATCTACAATTTATTTTCACAAGTCCTTTTCAACTTTAATACTAAAACTTTAAGGTCCCACAATGTAAAATTGAAGTATTTCCAGAAATTCTATTAGTCCATGGAAGTTCAATGAATACAGACTCAAGATTTGCATGTAGATTGATCATTGCATACTTCAAGGGATAGCTGAAGGTAGGAAGGTTGGTTATTAGAGGACATTATGTGCTTTCTTTCTACATTGTATAAATGTGGCATGGTTTAGAACCAGTCATTGTCTTCAAGTAAGATAAATGAAGAAATACAACCCCCCCCCCAATTCAAAAATATGTGTGAACTTTCTGATACACATGTATTTCCAAACCTCTCTTTGTATACCTCAGCTGTGCGTGGACGAAGTAAATTCTCAAGTAACATTTAACACCATTAGAATCGGTTGTACCAATAAAGATAGGAAAACATCTCAGGTTAATGAATTTCCCCCTCATTTGAAAATGTACAACTTTTTGAAAAAAAAACCCCGTCTTAGAATAAAATGGAATGCCACGAAAAATCATCAAAAATATTAAAATGTGTTGCCACTTGGGTGTATATTCCTTTTAAACGCAAAATTGATCCCTGAATGACATCATGAATAAATATCCATTCAGAAAACAGCAGATAATGGACAGACTTAACCATAAACTGACCATAGAATGATAAAGAACAGGGAAATAAAGCCGTCAGCGTAAATTAAAAAACCAGAAGATTAAATTTGGCTTGTTTCCACAAAATACATAGGCATTAATTGGGCACACACCAATAAAGGTTTCAGAGACTGATGTATTCCACAACAAATGAACCAATGGGACCTTGACACTCATCCTCAGAGGATCTTTACTTGTTCTATAGAAGTGTAATATTTTGTTTTCCTTTCCTTTTGATTATGTTAACAGTAAATCCATCATGGTCATTGACTCATTTGACATATATCAATTCTAAATCTTAGTGTCTGTTATTAAAACCACCAACTAATACTGATTAAACCAATTATATGTAATGATGAAAATATTTCTAATATATGTTTTGCTACTGATCTTGCAGTCATTCTCAAAACAAGAACTTCAAGAGGGATCTTTGAGTACATGTCTATGACTTTCAATATATCATAAATTACATGATTTCTCTTTTTTCCTTATATATACTTTTTGTTGTATGATAATTTGGTAAGATTGTTTGGCAAGGGAAAAATATGCATGAAACTATCAGCTTTTCTTCTTCAATCAGTATACAAACTATCCAAACAAAACAGTATATTTTGTGACAACAACCTGTGTAAACATGAAGTTCTCTTTCAGAAAATTAATCATTTGTTTATAATTACAGACAATTGATGTCAGATGGCTAAAAGACAGACTAAAAAATGATTTGGTTGAACTACAATGTGTTAAATATTTGAAACATGACTGATACAAGGTTTGACCAATATTACCTGGGGTGATTGCCTAGTATCCAAAGGCGAGTCTTTCACAGTCATCTTAGACAAAGTTTCACTGATCTTGTTGGCAGACACTCCAGAGAGTGGTGATGTTTGCAAGTTTGATGGCAAGCTGTTTTGGTGTGGTGATGCACCATACCCCTGAGAGGTAGTGTACACCGATTGTGTCTGTGTGGCAGGTGTTGACAGAGCCGACTGACTGTCTCTTTGGTAAGAAGTAGCACTAGACTGTGTTACAGAAGCCTGGAATGATGTGCCGGTCTGCGAGTCCCTACTCCCACTAGCTGGATATGACCCTGACTGGCTCACGCTGGCCTGAAATGAAGCCGATTGTGAGTCTCTACTAACACTTGTTGGGTAAGATCCAGCTTGTGAGTCCCGGGCACCATGAAAAGAGGATGAGTTTGTCTGTGGTTGATATGACGTAGTCTGTGATGAGTTACCTTGATGATAAAGTGAATTTTGATTGGAGTGAGATTGATACGAGTTTGTGGCTGATGACTGATACAGATTGCCTTGATTTTGCTGACTTGATCCACTGTAGGAGCCACTTCCACTCGAGTACGAACTAGCATTCTGGAATGATGACCCAGCCGACTGTCCATAATTCTGGAATTGAGTCTGACCACTATGGAACTGATTCTGGCCAGATTGATACTGATTTTGTCCACTTTGGTACTGAGTCTGCCCACTAGGGAACTGGTTCTGACTAGTTTGATACTGGTTTGAGCCAGTCTGATACTGGTTCTGATAAGAGCCTGGCTGTGATGAGGATGAATGTGAGAATCCTGACGCACTAGAAAGTCCAGCTGAATTTGAAAGACCAGAATTATTTGTAATTCCTGTTGAATTTGAAAGACCTGCTGCATTAGACAGTCCAGCACTACTTGAAAGCCCTGTGGCACTAGATCGACCAGAATTAGTTGATAGTCCTGTCTTTTGCGATGGATATGTTGTTGATGCATAACCCTGCGTAGATGGACTGTAAGAACTTAAGTTACTGGAATCTGGCTTGGATGTTGCCAATGGTCCTAGAAATAACAAAGAGCATAATTTCAGTTCAAACATGAAAGGAAATTCTATATCAAACTACCGATACTTCTTGATCTTTTAAAAGTACATCATTAGCTGTTCAAGACTAAGCAAAGATAATTCATCATTCAGGTAAACTTTAATCCAATCTGATGTCACCTTTCAGTTTTTTGTACAAAAAATTGATTGTTTCCTGATGGTTTCAATATATTTACCTCCAACACTGGGTGAAATTGACTATAAAAGGTCAATTTGAATTGGTACAATAAATGTTTCGAGTCTTATTATAAATAATATATCATAAAAATTATCAATGGTGTGTTGAATGCAAGACTTCAAACATTTGTTTTGCTGCAAATATTCAACCAAAATAAAAATAAACAGAACTAACCTGAAGTTAGGGAGCTGGAGGATCCTGGATGCTGAGAGTTGATCATTGGACTGGATTTCCGGTCAGACTGAGATGGAGGGAACGGTATAGGCTCTGGTGGACTCATCTGAAATACCAGAATCACATTGGATGGATACAAGTGAGACATCTGTGATAGCACAAATATTATACAAATCACATAATAGCACAACTTTTCATACTTCTGAACATGAAATATTAAACAAGTCGTTAAAAAGATCCATTATACATCTACAAATATTTTTATCAATGTGAGTACAAGGTCCTCTGGCAAATAATTTCTACATTTTACTTGCACAAGAGATACCATTCCCACAATGCTGACATAAAAAGAGAGGAAGACTTTTACAAAAAAGTATCTACCTTGTTCTGACTACGTGATGCAGAGTCCTTCTTGGTAGGGGTGGTGTAGGGAGAGGCTTGGAAAATGTTTGTCCTAGGAGAGGTCTGGTCACCCCCTGACATAGCAGAGGTACTGTTAGCAGGTGGTGTGGTCATTATGGAGGAGGAGATCACAGACTCGCTTGGTTTACTACTCACCTGCTGAGGGGGCAGGTGACCACTTATTGTTTGAGTTGTACTGAAAGGTAAATAAAGATTACATTAGAAATCCATTGTACCCAAATAGAGCTAGGAAACGGTCATTTACATTAAAACTGAAAGTAATCTAAATTCTGATTGAAAACCTACACAAATTCACATTGAATGAAAAAAGATTCCTTGGAAGTTGGATGGAAGGTACAATTTATGCAACTGGTTCTTTTAGACTGATAAAACCAACTTACCTACAAGCATCAGAACTGCTCATATTACTTGTAACAGAAGACTCTCCACCAAAACTAAAAGGTGAAGCATTATCAGATCCAAATTCCCAAGTCCCAAATTGAACATCCAATCTTGTTGTCATGTGTCCAGGCATTTCTACTGCTGAAGCTGGAATCTATAAATATACAGCAAAGAAATATGTATTCAATAGACTACTGATATGCAAATTTTTTGGAATAAATCTTGAAACACTTTCTTTTAATGTTATGTTAATTATTGAACAAGCATGATGCAATTGATAAGAATGGTACCTTAGATGGTGGTGGTAGTTTTGTTCTTTGGGACTTCGGTCGCTGTTGCAACCCTGACTGAGAAGAGGGAACTGGATCCACTTGTCCACCACTATTTTGTTCTAGGCTCGAACTGTATACAGATCCTGTGTTCTGACTGAAGCCGGATGACTGACTCTGACTGTAGGCTGATGATTGGTTCTGACTGTAAACAGATGATGGACTCTGACTGTATGTCGCCTGACCTTGACTAAATCCTGTAGCTGTCTGACTATACCCCGGTGGACTCTGACTATAAGCCGCTACACTCTGGCTGAATCCTGCAGGGCTCTGACTGTAAGAGGTTTGATTCTGACCAAATGACGACACCAATGCATTAATGGCATCAGACGAGGACTGTTGCGAAACCGAAAGCTGATTGGATAGTGATGAAGATGGCAGCTGGCTGGACAAGGATCCAGATTGCATGTGATTTGTCAATGCTGAGCCACCCAGCTGATTGGTCAGATTTTGTCGTGGTGATGATCCAATCTGTATTAAAGGTTAAGTCACAATTAATTACACAAATATCAGTATATGGATTACAACTCTCCAACCAACTGGAAAAGGAAAGAAATGAAAACAATCCAGTGGTATGAAGTCATAAATTAAATATTTCAAACAAATATTTTTAGACATAGATCGTTTTGAAATACAAAGTCCCACACAATGAGCAATGCAGTATATTCCAGAGGAAGTGTCTATCATTCGCTTTCACTGAAAATACTTGAGCTGTTGAAATTCCTTTGGTTTTCATTGCTTGAAAAATTGAAATTGTTTTTTGAAGATTAATGTTTTAATGTGAAAGGAAATGAAAACAAGAATGTCTTGCCTTTTCTGCTTTGTCATTTCCTAATTTCTGAACTTCTGTTACTTTTTGGTAATGGTAACATAAAAAATATCCTTCAATCAAATTTTCATCGAGTAGATATACATACCCCTATAGAATTTTTTATACTTTCTGTGGCCTGCTGGTTGTATTGTGTAATGTAAGCAGATTCTGGCGGTTCACTGGTTGGCTTTTGTAAAAGAGCACCCAGATCTAACCTGTGAAACAATGAACACTTTATGAACAAATGCAATTTCAAGTCCTTGCAAATTGTAGAAACACTGAATAACTAATGACATTGAGCATATAATCAGAAACAACATTCCATTCCATTTGTGTTCTCAACTGAGTCAAGCATTTGCCTTATCCAAACTTTCATTAAATTTCTTAATTCTAAAGTTCCAGAATATGTTGCTTTTGTTGTCTACCAATTACAAAACAATATTTATCTAGCAATACATTCAGAGGCCAAAACAAAACTCCTTCACAGACAGACAATGGGTTTATATACATGAATGGACTTATTACCAAACATAATTATAACTGGTTCAATACAGGAATTTGGGGAAAAGATACCCGATATATTTCATATGAAACAGTCCTGCTACTTTTTATTGCAGCATTTCACTCCTTTAACAAGCATTGACTGACATACAGGTAAGCCTATTTTTACAACCGATGCCTTTTATTAAATTGGAGGAGAAAATCTTGCTTGTTTCTTGCTTTCTTTTTAAATTTTTTCCTCATCCATACTCTTCATATGTATTCAGTATTAATGTGTAGTTTTAAATTTAACTTTGGACATAGTTTGCAATAATTTGTAAAGACATATGTTTACCAACCATTTTCTGCGAGTCTGTTCATAGACAGTTTATCATGTGACTACATTGAATAGAATCATCAAACAAAACTTTCAATATTACCTCTGTCCAAGAGTATTTGTTGTATCAGCCATTGGTGTTGTATTCTCAGATATCTGATCTTCCTGTGTGGTTGTTGCTGTGAAGACTTTAGTTTCTGATAACTATTTCAAAAAATACAAACAAAAATTTTATTAGGAAAACATAATCTTGCTTACAGGTACACAAAATACTATATCATGTGTCTTTTGGTGTTTTGATTTTTTGAAGGCATCAAATTAAATTGTCAATTCATTCTTCTAAATGCGTGAAATGGCCTTGATAGATTCACTGAAGCTTGATTCACAATAAAACAAAACAATGAATAAATTCTTACACTTCCAGTCCATGTATCATCATTCCAATCTTCCATAGACTCCCAGTGACCTAAGCAAAAAAAACCCCCATCAATTATAAATAAGATTTTTCCTGCACACATATTTTATCAATTCAAAATAACCAAATTGTAATTTCAAAGTAAATCATATCAAAATTTCTCATCAGGCAGTTAACACTTTTATTTTGTTCCAGAACAACCATTATTGTTTGTTCCTATAGATAATGTATTGCAAATTGTCTTTTCTTTTATTATGGTGAACTTTTTTCATACTACACTTGAGCTGTGGATGCAGTTACAGAAATATCTTTAAAACTTGCAATACACTGTATACATTAAAAAAACATATTTTACACAGAACAAAATTCTTACTTGCTGCATTTTCTTTCTCTGCATTGGCTGCCGTTTCATTTGTCCATGTATCTATTTGAGGCCCTTTGTCAAACCTAGGATTCCTGTTAAAACTATGGAAATAAGCTTACACTGAATTGTTAGCGATCAATTAGAAATTTTGACTTCATTACTGATTCATATCATTATTATTTAAATTTGACTCAAAGTCAGTTCTACAAAAAATTCCTAAGTAGTTTGAATTAATACAAAATGTTTAGGAAATCTACGTATCAAAGTTTGCAAATCTATAATTGGTATATATACAGTGGAACCCTCTTACTTTGATATTCTATTTTCTAGAAAAAAATATTAACTTGGATATCATAATAACTAAGAAAGCAATATTAAGATATAGGTCTGGTCCTTAAGTGGGATATTCTCCAATCATTAATCAATAGACAAACAACACCATGTTGATATAATCTCTGGATCGGTAAATTATAAACAAATTAATTCTCTATATATATATATAAAAAAAGGAAGTTCTTCTGAAACAGTAAATGTTGGTCAATACATAATGTGATTTGTTCAAACCAGTTGTCAACACAGTAACTAATCATATCATAATGGGAATCAATCTCACTGTCATATCTACTTTCAATTTTTTTTCTTATAGGTAGCAGTAGATTCTTAGTGTAGATATTTAACGAGAATGAAGTACCATAGGTCAACAAACATCATTTGGCAAAGAAATGTATGTGCTTTGCACATTGTTTTGGTGAAAGACAGGATGTGTAAATTGGTTTGGTCCACTTTGTGTATCTGCACATAGGCTGGCTGATAACTTTTAACCTTTTTTCATTGGATGACGTATATACTCATTAACTTGTTCTCGTTGGAACATATAATTGTGATTCATGTTGTTGTGTAATATGACAGAAGAAATAGCAAATACAATAACAATTCCCACCTTTTAACAATGCTGCGAATAATACAGTAAAACATGGATAAGTCAAAGTAGAAGGGACCTAACGAAATATTCAACTTATCCATGGTTGTATGAATGATGACATCGAAGATTGGCCTTATTTTCATTGGTTGTTTACCAGATACGAGTCTCATAGAATGATGTGACAGTAATGAATAAGTAATACATACATAAGAACATTATAAACTTTCATACACTAACGATATCTTTAATTTAAATAAGTAGTTATAAGTACTAATATAAAACAAAATGAAATAATGTGAAACACGTTACTAAATTGCAGCACATGTTTATCCTTAAGAGTAACAAATCCTGTCAATAATATTTAAAAATAAAACTCAATAAATACGTTTTCACGAACATTCTACATAACATTGATAACCTTGATGTGGTTTACCAAAAGGTACAGTACTGTACGAGGGTAACCGTATAATAGAGTATAAAACTTGCACTTTTTATGAGTAGATGTATATCCAGTAAATGTATTTAAAATCACAAACAAATGTGTCAGTTACAAACAAGTGGTTTTTTTCATCTGCATCAGTGCTGTAGTTATCATTTATTTTTTTCCTTTTGGTTTCTGGCAGCTATGTGCATAAAAAAGTAAACAAAACACATTAGATTTTGTTTTAAGATTGGCTGTCTAATTCTGAGTAAATTCAAACTTTCTCCTGTATACCTGTGTAAATGCAGGAATTACTGTTCAATCAAAAATTACAATAGGGCTCCTAAACATAGATACGACTGACCGATTAGATTCAGTCATGGGACGGAAGCCAGGAAATTTCTACCGGAGACAATGTGATGCCTGAATGTTGGACACAAAAATGGAAATTTTGGTAGAATTTAGAAGGGAAGGATCACAAAATATATTCGACATAAGCACAGTATTCGACTCCACAGTGTTTGAATCATCCATGTTTTAATTTACTCGGATAATGAAGAGAAAAAAACTGACCGAACAAAACATTCAACTTATCTTATGTATTTGATTCAAGCATGTTCAATAGAAGTGAGTTTTACTCACTGTATATCATTTGACTATCATGTGAATTTACATGCGTTTGAATCACATCAAGATATCACTTTCCAACTATTTCTACAGACACCAAAAGATGTGGTCCACACACTCACATGTGCTTTCCGAACAAATTAACCTGGAACTGAAGATAGTTATAAATCCCTTTGAAAATTATTAACAAAATAGGATAAAATTCAACAGGATTACGTCTGGGGGTTTCACAATGTACAACCTATCTTCTGTTAGGCTGCTAGAACTGGTAAGGTGGGCTCTAATGTTTATTGGCCCTATCGATCACGGGTTGCCCTTTGTGTCCACAGCATACCTAGACAGGCGTGCAGGGTGACCTTGGACAGTAATAAATGTCACTGTGACACATACTAGAGATTTTGGCTGATAGTATTTTTAATAAGCTGGATATGATGAAATACCACATTATAATAAGTGGGCTCCACTGTATAAGGCCTCCTTTATATCCTGAAGAGATAATACCTGTAAATTTTCTAAACATAGTCTTTGAAACTCAACACAAGTTGACAAACTAAGGAATCACAATAAGCTTACCTTCCTCTTCCTCCTCTTCGAGGCCCTCCTGTCAAAATAAAAATATAAATAAAAATAAAAATAATTGTTTTCTCTTGTTACTTAATGGAAAGAATTGAATATGAATAAGATCACTTCATAATTAACTAGATCCAACGATGCAATTAGCATCTATATAATTAATCAGAAATTTGGTAAAACAACAGCAACATATCAATCAAAAACTTTTATTATTTATTTAAACAGTTAAACTTCAATGTTTCAAAGTCCTAGCCCCCAGTCAAAAAACCTTTGATACATCAAAATTTCAAATCATTCATGGTGGGTTATAGTGGTGATTTCATGATCATGACTTTAGTTGATGACAATATTTCTACCTGAACAAACACAGAAAATACCAAAAACACAAATTTAAATGAAATGAGGAACTTTTTTTATCTTAAAACATTTTCAGATATCAATGAGAAATCAACAATGCATGCTTATGTTTATGTACAGCATCAAACTGGTCTTCACATGTTACAGTAATTATTTCAAGACTGTGATACATAAATGTTAAAGGCACTAATGACTTAAAAGGAAGCAAACTAATTGACAAATTTGAATCTTTTAAGTTTGATTCATGGACATTTGACTGTATATATATCATATGGGCACTGCAAAAACTAAAATGTGACACTTGAGAACTTTTCTGACAATTGTTTCTTGTAGTATGTACTCTCACCAAGTCTTATTATTCTTCATCAGCATTATCGAGTAGACATGCACACTTGTTGAAATACCATTTCACTTACCCCTCCCTCTTCCTCTGCCTCGACCTCGATTATCTGTATCTCGATCCTTATCAAAGGTCCCAAAACCATTCTCCTTATTGTCATGATCATTGGTATTTTCTCTGTTTCCTCTGAATCCACCATCCCCTCTCTCCCTTCCTCGCCCACGAGCCAATCTTGGTGGACGACTGTCAAATCGTCGACCTCTGCGGGAACTGCTTTCTGGTCTGTTGTCCCCACTTCTGTCTGGCCTCTCACGTGGTTCAAAGTTCTGTTCAGTTTTGTCAGGCTTTTCATCAACATTATTCTGTGGTGGTTCTGTCTTATTTGAAGGATTTGCTCTTTTCTTTTTCTTTCCACCTGTCTCTCTCCACTCACCCTGAAAAGATTTAAATGAATGAAGATACTGAGGGGAAATTTGCTATAAAACTCCATCTACTGATTATATTGTACCTTCCTTTTAAAAGAATAGAACATCATAACATCAAATCAATATACCTGATAATTTTCTCCCTCTAAGAGCATGTTAATTGCTCCTTCAGTATCTTGTTGGCAATCATGTAATGCTATTTCACATTCAACTTGGGCTTTGCCTGTCAAATCAATTATCTGGAAAAATACAAACAAAGAAATAATCAGTTTTATATATATTTGTAAAATCTCACATACCTTCTGTCACAAACTGAACATATCTTTCCATGGTATGTAAAGTATCTCTAAATTACCACCATCGGAATTTATACATGCCTTTTCTTAACTATAAAAATATTTAACCATTAAAACTTAAGGGGGAGTTGAAAAAATTGGTTTGAAATTAGAATTTGTAAAGTAATAAGACAAACATCATTGTAGTGACCTTAACCTCCAGAAGATCCATATTGGGATACTTACTTGTTGTACTTTCTGTCTGAATATAGTTTCATCCTCGCTGATCTGTGAGATCTGTGCTATTCGCAGCTGTTCTGGTGTTGCCTACATTGTACATTGAATGCTTCAATTACTTTTTTAATTTCAAAATGAAACACAAGACATTAGATAGATTGCGACAAAACATTTTCGTGGTTCCATCTGTTGTCAAAAGTAATTCAAATTGCTATTTAGATGCCAGCTCATAGATCCAGTATTTTTTCTATTGTATTTTTGAGCACTGTGCCTGTATCAATTCAATGGGAAAGTAATGAAATGCTTTTCTTCATTTGGGGCAAAATGGCAGTTTTTAACGAGTGGATCCAGTCTGTTTTTAGCTGTAAAACAGTTTAGAAATTCACCAACATCGGACATTTTTCTATTTCAAATAAGTTGTATTGGGCTATACATGTAATTAAGCAAGATGCATCTCTTCTTTTTTTTTCTAAAATTTCCTCTTCATAGAGACCAAGGCTAATGCAACTTACAACTTAATGGCAAATTCTGTTCAATGTATATCGATTAAATTGATCCTGCTTCTGGAGGAATCCATTCCTTCAGAAGTGGAACATTTCTTTGACACAAGGTAAGTTGATGTAATTCATTTAGTCAAAAGTATCAACCATATAAAAAGACTTTGTCAATACCACTCCAATCATACCTATAGTCTATATTCCTTGGAGAATACCTAATCTCATTTTGTTTAAATTCAAATTTTGTATAATTCTACTGAAAAGTAATCTTCACAGTGATGTTTACAGCTTCATTATATGTCAAGTACAATGCATTGCTAAACATTTCAGGAAAAAATTGGCCAGGTAAATTCCACATGCCATAAGGCTAGTAGCCAAACTGCTACTTAAAAGCTGTACTACTATATTAATCACACATATCAGATTTCCTAATTAGCTCGTTTTCTCTCTACCTGGTGCATCTTTGAAGAGGATTCATCTGTCTTCACTTGCGGCCGTGATGCAGCTTTTGCATTTTTGTCCTTACTGGGCCTATTGCTAGCACGGGATGCGCTCACCGCTGTGCTCATCATATACAGTATTTACACAACTTTATATACAATAACAGGTATCTGAAACAAATAGAAAATCAACTGAATGTTGTATGCTGATTGGACATAAATGTTGAAAAATTACTGTCATGAAAATATACACCATGTAATTTTGATCTGATACTACAATCATGCATTAAAAACCAATATACAATTATTAGAGTTACCATTCTTTTTTGAACTGACACTGTTATGTTTTCTCTCCTTGCAGTTTACACGTTTTGTTTCAAATTGGGTAGGTTTAATTGTTATGCATTAAAACATGCTAATCGGCTTGCTGTAGAAATGGTTAAAAAACCCTACCATATTACTGGTAAATGTTGGGATTTATTCCCTTATTTCGACATCACTTCATACAAGAATATAATAGTATCATCACAAACCATGTATACTCAATGTTTATCTGTCCGTCATTATCCTATCTCTCTTCTAAAATCACCTTAACAAACTATATGCATTTGGAGTCATGTTGTGGTTGTTTTCGAGAGTAACTTTGAGAATGGTACTGTTGTTAGTTGATATCACATATAATCTTAGTAGTCTTGGCTAGGGCCGTCAAAGTTGCAGAATTTTTACCAGGATTATCCAATCTTTGAAACATCATCCATATCCAGGTACTCAAAATAATCAAGAATGATTTTGTGCTTGGATAAAGTAGGGTAAAAAACTTAAAACTAAAAAAACACTTTATCCAAATAATGAAAATCTTACTTTTTCCTTTCATTACCCGACAGGTATAAATAGTAAACTAATATGTATATATCCCTCATGTTTACATTATTAGGGAAATATACATATTAGTTTACTAATACATGTTTACGCAAAGGTGACGCTGATCAACTAATCTTAAACAAGAAAAAGTGGTGGCCAGGATGAAATGTTACTGAAACAAATGTTGCTTGTAAACACATTTCAATAATATATCATTATTATCAACACACAAGGTGATTATGAACATTTCCTGAAACGTTATCTGTATAATCAGACTGTTGATACATGCTTTGAGTTCTCAATAAACCCAATACATATCTGGGTACACCTCAATTCAGGGCTGCAGGGCATTTGCCGTAGTCTACAGCGGTGAGATAAGTCCATATTTGATGGTGATGTGTCCAATTTATAATTTTTTATGATGAACGAAAACCCTACACTTTTGTTAAACAAATGTATCTAATGCACTTTTGATATAGTAACTATAGTAGTGGATTTTTTTTTGTAAAAACCAGATTACAGTAGCTGGTTCTCAACCCCGACAACCCTTTCCATGTTGCTACTGAAATTCAATCCATGAAGTATTTATGAAAGAAATTCCAAGTAATAGATAAGATCAAATATTAGAGATAAATTCAGTATATACAAGTCTATCTCAGCATTACAAATATTGTATGATGTTCGCGTTTGTGACAAGGGCATTGAAGTGCGATGTTCTGTGCGCAAGTAGCAGTTTTAAAAAGCGGCCTGTAACCAAATTTCCTTCATTTTCATATAAAGACTTTCACTGGAATCATCTCTTCTAAAATAAAACTGATTTTCACATCAACACGCGATATTTGTCGTCTAAACTTCGTCCGTTGTTTCTCGAGGGTGAGCAAATTCAGCAACACAAAACCATGCATGTCAACAGACTATAACGACAGATGATCTACCAGTAAAAACGTTACTTTTACCAGTAATATGTGCCCAAAGAGTGAAATATAACAAATAATTCTGCATAAAGTATTATACAATCAATAAGAGTGACTAGGTTTGCTGGATTTCGACGATTTGCTACGTAACAAAACACCTCGTTCGGCACCATGTGACGCCATGCTGGATTTCCTCATCAATTTTCTGAATATATTGGAACTGTTCTACGATATTTTCATAAGAAAGCTATGAATTTTCAAAACCATGATAAACTTATCTTTGGCAAATACTCAAAACAAATCATATCTTTGAATTAAATATAACGAAATACAGCAAATAGTCCGACCACATTCATTACCTAGGTCTGCTCTCACAATGGCATCGGGTCACGTGATTATACCTAGAATTCGCGCCGCCATATATAAAATTTCCGGAGATGACGTAATGAAGGAATCCCCCTTCACATACATAAAATAGACAGTTTTGATGGATATTGATTAGATGTGTTTCTGCAACAAAGATTATTCTATTAAATAAAATGAATTCTAGACAAAGTGCATGTGTCGTATAGGAGTATTTTGCTGAAAATACCCCTATTTCCGGTCAATCCTCCGAACGATTACGAATGTTAATGATATGTAAAGGGAAACAACTGCAAAAACGACAAGCGTGTACTTGCTAAAAAGACGAAGCATATTATGTCTGATCACTAGAGCATGATGTATTCCTGTGGTAAACAAATTAAGACATGCATGTCATTACGTGTTTGGCAGTGTTAATTTGTTTATACCATATACATTTCTGCACCATTGAAAAGCAAACATAAACCAAACGTTAAATACAAAAATATCACGCTTGATGTTAGATTCAAAGTATATATACTTATGGATACGAGCACTTGCTGTTTTTAATCAACTGATTCATCGTGTTTTTTCTATTATATACACCAGAAATTAATTGAAAGCCAAAAGGAACCAAGAACATTATCGTTATCAAACATGCAGGGCCCTTTTCTTGGTTGAAGGGATCAAGTTTGATAACAGACCTATCCATATAAACAGAACCCACAAATCTCAAAATTTATTTATTTGAATAATTTGTATCTGATAATTAAACTTCTCGGAAATTAAAATGACATTTAATTTCATTTTAGAGAGATTTATTAATCCGGCACACATGAGATGGAACTGATTGTTCAACTACTATCGGATCCTGATATCACAGTAGGTTGCATTCATGATACAACGAGACAATACCTATTTTAAACATATCCTTTTTTTTTTGTTTCAAAATTTGGCAAGCAAGAGAATTGGGCACAAGCCAAAATGACAACTTATTGAAGACCTCTCCTCCACAGTTTAATTCAACAAACAGCAAAATATGCGTTTTGTATTATAGAACGAGTTTTGAAATCAGAAGAGTGAAGGAAGAAAATACTTGTACACCATGTTATTCCCCCGCCTCACAAAAAAGAAAACGGCAAAATTGGTGTGTTAAATTTGAATGTGTAGAAGTACACAACTCGTCATTTCAGAATTTTGACACACAGCTTTTTGTTTACATGTAGTGTTAATTTTGATACTTTTTAATGTGTTTTTAATTTTTTTAATGCAATAACTTATTTATGTAACTGAGGTTTGACACCTATGTGTTGGGATAGTATTAACTTAAGTGATACTTTTAAATCGATTCGATCCCACATTTGTCTGTGACAAAATCAAAATATAATATATATATTTATGAAAAAACAATAATAAATTCTGTTGCGATTAGTCTAGACTTGAAACGTTAAGTGATTGGACTATAATCAGAGACATACGTCTCTGCTATAATGAAGACCGTTTTTGGACTCGCGTTCTACCGGCGAGTTTCCCTATAAGAGCCTCGATTTCTTGCAATCTGTTTGACTTGACATCTCAGGAAAATTATGTCCTTAATTTCTAATTCTTATTCTAGTTTTCTTTCCGCCTATAGAATATTACCATAATCTATAAGCTAATAATCTCAGGGAATATTCATTGAAAGACATTGATAAACGCCGAAAAATGTTTTTTTTTCTCTCTCTCGATGACATCACCAGACATACCTCGGACATGATAGATGTATATGAGAGAGTATGTTGACATATATAGGGATTATCAAGGTCTAAGCAGGGACGTATAACACAGTTTTATATGTTCTTGGTATCAGATGTCCCTTGCATTTTGCTAATTTGGTGAATAATTAAGCATTAACGAATAATTGGTACATGTCGCTTGTTAAAACTGAGCAGGTGTTATCACTACTATACTATATGATATAACAGGTGCTATTGTTACAATGAATAGGTGATATTATCAAATCGTTTTATTGGTACCACTAAATGTAGCTGCTGTCTCTGTTGAGCGGTTTTGAAATGCATTATTTAAACATTTCAATGAAACAGTACAAGCATTCGACTACACCGTAATATGGTTGACTGCCGACAATCATTGAATCATTTGGAAGCTTTCCCCTGTATTTTGAAATATGACATCTATCGTTGTCTTATTCTTGTTTGAGGTTTCAGCGTCAAGACAGTACCCCGAATTCAACTTATTTTTAATGGCTAGAAGCTGACACTATCTGCGTTTGACCTTGCTTTGCATAAAGAACGGACATTTTCAAATATTTTGCAAAATGAGATAAGGTATCAATAAAATAAATGAAAACAATGAAATAAAAACAGCTATCAGTTTTACATGTTATTGCCGAATATTTGTGAATGATAATGATAATACTTATTTTTGTCATTTGCATAGAAGCGTATACTCCGGATTTCTTACTGTGGGTTTATAGTTTAGAATGGTCTAGTCTCTTTTTACCTTCAAACGGAGGAGAGGACCAAATAAAAATGAGTGGGGTGTCAGCAGACTGGGAAAGGAAATTACAGACCATTCGGGCAAACATTGCAACAGGCAATATTGAAAAACTGTTTGGAGAAGAATATATCGTCATTGATCTCTTGAAAGTAATATAGAAATGTTTTAATACATATCAGTGGTATGGAACAACCATTTTTTGGTGATTATGATATGATCACAAGACATTCATGATTTCTGTCGTCTGCACATGTCTAGTTTTTTGTTACAATAATAAGGAAATTGATATTGTTTAGAAAATATTCATCTCTCATTACCCTTGATTTTCAAGCACTCTCTTGTATAAATACTGTGTCAAAGCTGTATGTCTGGTTTCAATTTTAAAATACATGGGAACATTGATTATTCTTTACCTGGCGGTGTTTTTTCTGTGTATATGTGCTCATATGTGCTTGATAGAAAGACATTGCACATTGTCATTGCTAGATAAACTGCATAGATCAAATTTAATGCAAATAGCTGGTATGTCAAAATATTTTGTTGCCACATTAAGGACTACAACCATCATCAGATGGTTGGCTTTTCAAATTGGTCTTTGTTTTTGCTTGGATGCCAGGTTATCCTAACATAGAAACTGAATTATTCACATCATAGAAAAACGAAAAATATCAAAGGCTCTTATAGCTAATCTTTCATGTATCTAAAAATTCAATAATTCTGATATTTTGTCTCACTTTGAGAACCGAAGAATCAAATATATTATTGTGGAACTTTTACAAATGATGTTAACATGAATTCATTATTTGCATTTTGATTTCCTAGGTCTTGTATGAAGACTCATTAGATGTGTCATCCAAGGTAGAGCTGCTTGTTTTGCTAGAGAGCTATGGTGGATATGGAGGAATACAGTCAAGCAGGTTTGTCTTATTTAAAGGACTGAAATTTGCTGTTTGTATATTAGTTTTTTATATGCCTGTCAGAATTGTGGACATGATGTAAAATGGTACAGCATGTCCATTCTTCCACCATAAACTTTTATTTGTGTTCTGATCTCCTCTATCAGACTTCAATCTCTTACAAACTTCCATTCTCTTTAGAGCTTGGCATGCTTCAAAACATCAAAACATCAAAACATATAGCACTCTGTTCCCTCCTGGCATTTTTACTCATAGATGTTTTTACCATTTCCATATTTATATTAGATTTAATGCAATAAATTATGAATATTTCTTTGGCATGGTATGGGCAAATATCATTCCACTTGTTCTAAAAGGGAATAATGTTATCATTGGTTGGTTGGTTGACAGGTTTTCCATCTCCGTGACTCCTCCTGTGTCTGGGTATTGTCTCACCAATGAATGTGGGATTTTACTTATTTGATTAGGAGCATCCTTTTGTTGATGCAAACACAATGCTACATTTCAGGAGAGAGTGAATAATCTTTTAAAGTATGTGGAAAAGATGCAATAGGGGGAATGAAGGAAAATTAATTTTGGAAGTATTTGTGTTAACATATAGAAGTCAAACTGCATGTTATATTATGGAAGGGCAGAATTAATTTTGTGATCACATTTGTCTGGTGTTGTGCAATTGTAAACAATTTTCGACTTCTTCTCAAAAAGCCCTGAATCAGTTTCATTGAAATTTTGCGGAAACTCCCCCTGGCCTAAGATGAACCAAAATATTCAACTTTAATATTATTTTGATAGAAAAATTAGCATTTTTGAGCATAACGTTTATTAATTATTTCCCATCTGAAACATCTTGGTAAGAATGATTAATATAGGATGACTGTTTTACTGGTATGCATGTATTGACACTGGCTTACTATTTTCATTGTCACAAATTCTTTTTCATGACATTTGAAAGATACTTAACCTTTAACCTTTATATGCAATATTGCTTATCTCAGGGCCACTAGGCCTCTCGGTAGATATGTGGGATGGATAACCATTATATATGTTCATTCAGTGTTGACCAGATTGTTGCTTCCTTGTTGGATGTGTTCCACCAGTACCATGGTAGAATTGATGGACAGTCCTTGTTCTTGGAGCAGCTTCTTCTGACCATTACTACACTGCTTATCCAGTATGACCAGCTGGTATGTTGACTATTTTTGTGAGATAGAAGAAAAAGATTATACAGGCAATATACTAGGCTATGAGACCAGGTAAAAATGTTAACTATGCTTTTAGAAATATAAATCGAAATTTGCCCAAGCAGATGTTAAAAAAGGCAGAAATGCCTGAACAGAATTATATATTTTATTCAAAATGATAATTAAAAAAAAGATATGGAAAAATGACAGTGCATTCTGAGCTTGCCTGTAGCCAAATTTTGTGCGAATATACAAAAATTTGAATGTGACCTGCACAGTTAAACTTTAGAAATAGATAGGAAACATATGAGAGACAAATGCTCCTCCTGCTACTTGTTTCAACAATTTTTATATGCCGGTCGAAAGACAGAATGTATTATGTTTTCACGCAGGCTGGCGGCCGCACATAAGTTTCCATTCAATAACTTGAATGATTTTTTTTACAGATTAATTTGAAACTTCACATGAAGATTTATTACCATAAAAGCCAGGTCAGATTTGATAACAAAAAATTTTCACCCATTATTTACAGAGTCATGGCCCTGGGTATGCTTGCAAAATAGGTTTCCGATCGATAACTTGTGAAATTTTTTACAGATTAATTGGAAACTTCACATGGATGTTTATTACCATAAAAGCCAGGTCAAGAGTGATAACCAAAATTTTTCGCCCATTATTTACAGAGTTATGGCCCTTGGTACATTTGAAAAATAGGTTTCCCCTCAATAATTTGAGTAATTTTTCATTTATTAATTTGAAACTTCATATGAAGGTTTATTCCTATGGATGAAACCTTTCTGCCAATTGTCAATGTCAGTTTGTATAAGAGTTGTCAGTAATCCTTCCTACGAATCAAAAATATCCTTTCCTACAAATCGTCTTAGCAGTTTTTGCACAAGCACTGTTAACTTTATAGAAATGCAGTAGATAATCTTGGAAATGAATTTTACAACCTAGAAACCATACTTATCTGCCTGAAATTCATCCAGTTACGGTTGCTCAAATTAGGACGGGCATATTTTGTAACACCTTGTTTTTACTTGTTTCTTTTTAATTTTTCGAGGATGGTGACCTCTTCAAACAGTCCTGTGATTCTATTATGAATGTTGCCACATCACCAAGCAATGTTTCTGACACCAAGAGACTCCGATCATGTGCTTGTCAATGCCTCATACAGTTTGAGGAATGGTTGCCTGTGAGTAAAGTGAATGTTTTAAATGTGAAGATTGCATACCTGTCACTTTACTTGGGAGCTACTGAGTTCAAAGTTCAAGCATCAAGGTCTTTTAAGTTCACACAATAACTGACCTTGATATATTTTCAAGATCAATGAACTGAGGTCAGATATGTTAAAAACCGTTTAGAATCATGCCAGCTTTTGAACAAAGGATATATAACACTCAGTGATGATTGAAGCTTTATTATGTTAATGTTCATGTGAGCAATACAGGCTTTCTGATCTTTTCGCTTTTTAAATTCTTAACATAGTATCATATCATGAAAATCTACACCTGATAAAATTTTGATGGTCATTGGTCATCATGAAAGATTCAAAGTTATTTAACACTACCATTTTTTATGAAGAAAGGAATACATATATATTCATTCGTTGTTTTAAAACAAATTTAATGCTTTAAGGGCTGTCTTTGGAAAGGAAAGGAAACACTTAGGAGGATTTTGAAATTGGAGCGATCAGATATATACCAAGACTACCTGCTGTTGATCGTCAAGGTGGTGGAAAATGCTATATGGTCAGTGTAGTAGTTGTATATCAGTGGCAGTGATTCATTATTGCTGAGTGAAAAATTTTAAAAATTGAAAGTTGTTGATAGCTTTAAATTTTCGAAATGTCAAAGGATTGATATATTTTGTGACTATCTTAAGAATAAGAGTTATTTTCATTACTTAAAAGTATGTGTATAGTTTCCAGTTTGACAAGTAGTATGGGATAGTTAAAATATCCTCTGTAAGGTACGTGTTATCAATGAATGATAGAGAGTTATCCTCTTAATCTTAGAAAATAAATGGAATCAAACAAGTGTTTTTATTTCTCATTTGAATTTTAGATTTAATGCTACAGCTGTATAATAGTTGTAAAAGACCTTGTATGCTTTCATTAACAGTTCCAATGGTAATGATTCACCAGACATGAACAGTGGTAATGGACATGTAAGTTTGAGAGAGAAAATGTATGGTAGTCCATATTGATAACCATGAAGTACAAAGCCACTGTTTTGTTTTGGCTTTCTGTATTTCTGACTGAATAGCATAATGTAACTCTTTTGTTTGATTGTCTTTAATTTACTTTTAACAAAAGAAAAGGCTCATTAAAAAAATTCAAGATGATTTGGGAAGGCATTTATTAATGATATGTCATTTAAACATCATTCTTACTAGGTAAATAGGAATGACTTAATAATTTTCAAGCTTTAGCTTCTATCAGTCTAAGAAATAGTATTGTCAAGTCTGGATGTTTGCAAGGTATACATACTACAAAATGTACCAGATTGCAGCAGGTGGTAAAGTAAATTTATGTTGTTCCCTAAAATTGGCTTAATAATCAATTTAGTGGTGAAATGGTCCATTAAATTGAAAAATTCAAAATGTTATTTTGTAAAGGTCCTTAACTTCATTCTCTGATGCAAACTATTTTTCATTGATAGAGATTGGATCGCCAGTTTTCATCTGACCCCCAGGAAATGCGCCAAATGGTATCCATGGTGATGGAAAATGTGGTAGTGCTTACACCAGGTGGACTATGGCATATTGTCTTGTCATTGATCAACTTCATTCATCATTTACCAGAGATGACTGCTATGGTACAGAATATTCAGGAAAATGTCCTCTTTATGAAATTGTGAAAATCTTCTCCTCCATGTAACTTGTTGTATAACTTTTATGACATGCCCCCAGCCATGTCACTTGTAAAAACTTTCTTCCCAAATAAATAAAGTCTTGTGTTAACATTTCCCTCCCAATATATTCTTACTTGTGAAAACTTGCTAAACCCCTGTATGTACTGTTTTGTGGAGAGTTGCTATCACTATGCTTGGCAACTTGCTGCAGTGATTTATATGTGAAGGAAATAATACCTGTTTAAAGGTAAAATTTTTAATGTAAGTTTTTCAGAAATCACAAAGTTTACTTTCTTGGTTTAAAAATCCATTATGTTTATTAGGAGTTTTTCAAGTTAAAATTTCACTCCAAAGTTTTCTTTCATCTTAAATGATGTTGTCATGTGAATAAATATTGTGTTTTTTAATGTTATAAACATTTATTCTTAGATATTCAAGCCACTGATGCTGCATCATATGGCCACCATGGATATTTGTATATTGCATCTAATTCTGTATCTACAGGTAACTACCTTTTATGATTTCTATCAATATTTGAAATGTTATTGTGAAGTATTTATACAATATTTGTGTAAAGGAAGTAAAAAACTTGAAAATCTGAAGACAATATATTTTTGAAATGTTGTTTATCAATTTGAGAAAAAGAACCCCTGAGAGAATTTCCTATGGAATATTGTAACTATAAATAGAAAATAAGTTTTTTTTGCAATAACTTCAGTTCCCTGTGGCCAATCAACCTCAAACTTTATACAGTTCTTCCTTACCAAAAGTGCTTGTTCGAGATTGCTTTCAAAGTTCGAAGGTCAAAGGTCAAGGTCACTGTTACTATAAATAGAACATTTGTTTCCTTACAATTACCTTACCAAAGGTACTTGCTTTGGATTACTTTTCAAGTAAAAAGGTCAAAAGTCAAGGTCATCGTAGCTGTAAAAAGAAAATTAGTTTTATGTGATTACTTGAATTTTCTTTGGACAATGAAACAATGCATTGCAAATGACATTTATTTCCTTGCTTTTACATCTGCACATTACAAGTATTGATACACATACACTGTACATACAAATTATTGCAAATTAACATTTTCATATCTTTAACTTTCTATAAAAAATTGGAATTGAAATAAAAACATTATATTATGTCAATAAGGAAAATCTATCCTCAGAATTTGGTTCCCTTTGACACTATACACCTAATCTGCAAGTTTACTCATCACATCTCAAACAAATGGACAAATTATATAAATACAATGAATACAATGAATATCTATGTCTATTGTTTCATAAATCTCCAGAAACCTTGCTGGGCAGGTGACACATCTGCTTCCATGCAATAAATACTGTAAAATCATTGATTTTTATAGGGGATTTATATTTGTTGAATTCACGGATACTCTTAATTGAAAAATAAATACATTCATGAAATGATACACAGATAAGTGTTGACATGAATTATAGTACATGTACAAGAAGATTTTGCAAGCCTGATTTATCCATGAAATCATGTGCTAAAGAAAATGTACGCTTTTTGGGAAACCATAGAATTTACAGAATGAAGTTAAAAATAAAACCCTTCTGTAAATCCATCTCTCCAACACAGCAGAAAGCCAAGTCAAAGTAACCAGAGTTATCTGATATCAAATTTAGAATAAATTGATATCATTGAAAGTGAAAGAATAGAATATCATTGTTAAGGATGTTTGAATTTATTTGTAGTTTTATAGCAATTGGTAAATTTCTTTATTTTCTTTTTGATTTGATTGAATTGGTATTGCATAAAAATGACTAAAAATGATATAAATTTTCTATTTTAATTCAATCAAAGAGAGAGTTTGAGAAGGAAGTGTTGATGGAAGGGGAAGAAAAACAGTTGATTCAGAGCCTCTTAACTTCTATCAATCATCCCTCATTGAGCCCTGCTCACAGACTTTTTGTGTGTCATTGGACTAGACATCATTCACTGGTAAGTATATCTGAGGTAGACATTATTATGTTGATATTGACCTCTGAGAATACTGTGATAGAAATTCAGTTAATGAGAACTTAATTGTGGTAGGGAGTTTTAAATGTGGAATCCTGATAGAAATGATCTGAAGATTGTCTCTTAGATAGGTTCCAATAGATATTTCATAGGTATTTACCTAGATAAATATAGCTTATCAAATTTGAAATAAAAGCTCAGATTTGATTAGAAATGTTGATGGATATTTTACATTTAGTTTGAAGTAGTCCTCCTTTACTTGACTGAAGCACATCCCATTTCATGGTAGAAAATGAGTGCAAAATTTCTAAATGTATTCCAGTCATGTGATGAAGGCAGTTACTTGTTACCTGCGGTGATGGCAGAGAAGTACCGGCTGTGCTTCTTCCCTAGTGTGTTTGATCCACCGGACTGTCAACTTGCCAAGCTCTGCCTTTTTAATCTGTGCTTCTCTCCTCTACCTGAAGAGCCAAGTGGTAAGTAGATGTTGTTATCACTTAGATATAATAGTACTGTGTATTTGCTTGATTTTGTAGATATGCACTTGAAATAAATGTCTACAAAGTAACTGTGCTACTATGTGATGAGAGTGATTTTTTCTTCAGAATTCATGATGCTGATGACAAGACGAGAAAACTTTTATCTCTGGATATTTACATACCACTTCAACCTTTTCTGAAATTGTTAAAACATAGTAATTATTTTAAAGCAGCATTGTTACTTTCCAATATCACATGCTCAGTTAACTTGTGAAAAGATCAAAACCTCTAATTTTTTGGGTGAAATTTATCAGTTTGGTATTTTTTAAAAAGATGTTTATCTTGGACACAGAGAGTGAAATGAAAACTGTGTTTGTAAGCATTCAAAAGAGATTGAAGGAATGAAACATAAACCATCCTGCAGACTGCCTGTTGTATAATAATGCTATTGAGATGAAAAAAATTGACATTTGATTTTTCACTTTCATCCATTGTTGAATAGTGAACTGTTGATTCAATAATCTAATCTCTTTCATTGACAATTGAAAAAAATGTTTTCTGAAGCTCACAAACATGGTTTTCAATGGCTGTGTTAGAAATAAAACATATTTTTAGATGAACTCTATTTTTACATGATAGTTGTTAAGTGAGATAGATATGCATGAATGTCTTAATGTCATTCCTGATATAGATAATGTAGTTTAAATTCACTTCTCGATGTTCTGAATTCATGATACCTAATGATGCAATACATCCAATTGGGTAATCATACACTAGACATCTTAGTATCTGTTTTCTGACCAACTACTTCTACATATCTTTATAAAATGTTCAGGTGTGGCAGCAGCATTGTTGCTAGGCAGTGTTGGATACCTTCACAAGTTGGTGTGGCACACAGGAAGTGATCGTGTGGCTGTAATTCTATTCCGTGCTCTATTTCACATGTATCAGCGGCACTGTAGCAAATCCTTCTCTCAAGATATTAATCGGTGGGTATATATAGCAACTGGATATTTAATGTTAATGTTCTTTACTAGTGCTTTTAAAAGCCTGAATTAATCTACAGCAGTACATTAAACTTGATTGAGTTGGATTAAAATCAGTGGTGTTTAGGAAAAAAAGCACTTTTTTGAGATGCCTTATTCACACATACATTGTACAGAGTTTCAAACTTCTGTTTTAAATTTTTGATTAATTTTAATGATACAAAACACCTGTACTTGCTATTTTAAATGACTGTGTGTATTAATAATTGTGTGAGAATTAATCACTTGTATGTATTTTATACAAAAGGGATTGGTTCATTGTATGGTTCTCAGTATTTCAGTTACCAGTGTGGCTTTGAAGGCTATAATTATACAGTATATTTGTTATACTCAAAATAGCAAGTACGTTTCATTGAAGATTGCTTTATTGACAAGCAGACAAAAGATCTGTGTAACAAGGAATGAGATGAAGTCACATGCAAATTCACCAAAATTTGACAGAGGATTGATGGAAATGCCAAAATACCACAATAAACCACCCTAATTTGTTGGAAAAAAAAAACCCCATCAAAATTTGCTGATGCCAAAATATTCAGATTTATGGTAATATTTTCTGTCTGTAATGATTTCAGGTTTCTCCGAGGCCTGATCTCTGGATTTCCTTACTTTATACCACATGCTTTAGACTTCATTGAGTGTTTGAGAAATACCACACCTGACAGGTGGGTACCTTCATGTCTTTATCTTTAGTGCTTTCATTTTAGGAATGTTTGAGCTGAACATTTTTGATGATGACAACTAAAGTTATGTAATAATCATTTGTTATGGAATTATGAATTCATTAGTATTTTGAATCTATTCAACTATAAAGTTTAAATACACTTCATTATGTAATTAGGTGAAAATGTATATTTTTGTGACTCCTTTTCATAGTGCATTCTAATTCTAGGATTTTTCCTTAAATGTTGCCAGTATTGGCAGATATCCTTTGCATTTTATCAGTGCTTTTATTTTAATATTGACAGAAATATGTTTTACTGCACTTATCTTTTCGTTATGGTGTGGTTATTTTTTTTTATTAGGAGGCGTTTAGTGTTATTTATGTATGTCCACTCCATTCCATTCTATCCTGTCCCATTGCATTGTGTCATGTTGTCTCCCATCACAACCCGTTGAAAATCTGTTGAATCTGATTTGATTCATATTTTTCCCATGGTATCATGACATCAAGTTCTACACCTTGTCAGATTCTAGATTGGAAGCATTCAGGTCTGAAACACATTTTCTTGTTTGATATGATCTGAGGCTGTTTTTCATAATCCTGGACTTTGTAGAACTAATAGATATAATTGTTAAACACATGAACTCTATAAAGTTTAAGGGAAACTTCTTTTGTTCTAATAAATACACACATTTTTAAATAGGATGAGATTACACAGAAACCTGTCTTTTTTTCTGACACCCAAATATTTAAAAATCCTGTGATATTTTACACCTATTTTGTAATGAATCATGCCAAATAAACCACCAGTTTATTTTGAGATCCTGCTTTGTTCTAGGTCGACATTATGAGCTATAGATCAAATAAGTTCTGTTGTTAATCATTTTAAAGTATAAATTATGAATCATTGAAATAATGAAAAACATGCATCTTTTCAATATTGGACAGCCCTGTTTACACAGAGATACTGAGTTTGCTCCACCATCAGATTGTGACCACACCAGAGGATCAGACTGCAGCCTACTTCTATTTCTACCTCCTGGTTATGAAAAGTGCTTCTCTGCATACAGAAATTGAGCCCAAGGTTAGTCAGTTTGAATCTTTCAGGAATGTAAAAATTAGGATCTTGCATCCTTAAAAGGTAATAATTCAATTCCCCTTGGTCCCCTATTGTGCAATGTCCCATTTTCAGACTGATCTGAAAAACAAGCTGGCCAGCAGGTGACCAATTTCGATTTTGACAGTTTGGAAATAGATCAATTTCATTTGTATATACCTCTTGGTCCCTAATAGTGCCCTTTTGAGTTTGGGACTGATTAGAAAAACAAAAATGGCTGACAGGAAAGGAAAGGAAAAGAATAGAAAAGATTCAACTTTAAAGAGTAATTAAAGATCAATCAATGGTCGGCACCAAGATACCACTAGGATCTCTTGTTATCCCTTTCCTACTAAAAAGCTTGTGTATTAGAGATCTGGTTGAACATATTTAGTTTGCATTTACACCATAGGGACATTTGTAATTCTACAGCTTTATAAGTGATTGTCTGTATAGTTAAGAGGCTTAGATCACACGCTGTGTTCGAGTTCAAAAGCTTGTGTAGAAGACATCACTTTATTGGACCCGTTGATAGATGTTTATATCAGAGGGTATGGTAACATAAAAAAAAAATGTAAAGGTGCAAAGGTCAAAAGTCATGCAAATCAATCACAACCTGATATAGTATTGCATCATTAAGAAAAAAAAGATTGTTGTTGTCATTGGTCAAGTTGAAAGGATCCAATTCTTGCAAGTTATTTCCTTTATTCAGATGTGTTATTATCAGGAGTTATTAAGATCTACTAACAAAAGTATATCTATATGAGTCCTTCTTCCTTATCACAGTCATAAATCATTCATCTTATTTAAAGAATGTTTATTTTCTAGTCCACTGTGAAGTTTCTGAGCTACTTGGCAAACCATTCTATCATGATAGATGATGGCAGCTGGTTACTTGGTAATGGAATCTTGTCTGTTGTTCAAAATCTACTTATATGTCATGGAACAGAGGACCTCTACCATGGTAAGTTTTTATCACTTATGCACAGAAATTGTTAAGAAAGACTTGAAAGTTAGAAACACACTGCAAATTAATTGTGAAGTGGTGTAAGGTTACCTACCAAAGGAGCATGCGAGTATTTCTTTAGAAAAGGCATCCCTCCAAAGTCAACTTCTTAATAATTAAGAGGTCAAGGGTCATGATATTGGGCCTGTAGCATGCTAGAATGAAGAACTGCTATGTTGTTCAGCTAGTGACCTTTATCACTTTCAAAGTCACAGGGATCAAATGTGTTAGAATCTTCAAATAGCCATGCTTTGAAAATTGAGAATTGAATGTCATTATTTTACCTTTAATTCAATGTATGTAAAGAAAGGGTGTGGTGTTTGGGATGAAGATGAAAGTTACTGAAATAAGTTCTTTAAATAATATTGCCTCTTTATAATAAACTCATTTAATATCATGATGTCTTACATGTCTCTTCACATTAAAATAAGTATAGAATTAAATGATGTAAGAAAACATCACACATTTACAACTGGTATAAGTTATGACAAGACTATACTTTTATGAAATCCTAACGCCCATTTGTTTGATCAAAGTAAAATATACATATTTAAAGCTTTACCATTTTTAGTGTTGTTCCAAATTAAGTTCATATCTTGAGAAGTTCTCAACAGATATGGCTCATATTTACACCATAGTATCATACCATCAAGTTCCACATCTTGTTGTATTGAGATTGTCATTGGTCAAGGTGAAACAGTCACATTTAACAGCTCCTGCCACTGAGCATTGATACCTATATGGTTGACTGCAGGATCATTTATTTCTTACAGGCATTTTCTAGGCTCAGATATGTTATTGATTGTTAGAATCAAATGACTAAAACATTTTTAGGTTTTGATTTTTATTTGAAATGTGTTGAGAGGTAAGAGAGTTTTAGCCCGTCATCCTCAGATTCTGGGATATCCAACTGTCCATGTCTGAAAATGTCCATATTTTATCATTTTTGAGACAATATTCCTTACCACTATTCTTGGGGATTCTTCAGTTGTTTCTGCCTAAATTGAACTCTTTGATAGAACATACTGCTGGTGATTTGTAAAAATACTTTTTAATACCTTGTTTTTGGTTGTAATCAATCTCTTTGTTGACAGCTGTAGGTGACTTGCTGTTCTACATGATGACATGTTACCGAGATATAGATGTTCGTGATAAATCCTTGTTCCTTTATGCCTTGGTCACCTCCTCTACTGATGACAAGGTATGGAACTCAACATGTAAAGGCATTGAAGATTTCATCTGGTGCTTGTTCACTTGATTATGTGTCATATGTTATTTGCTACAGTAGCTGTTTTTCATAAAATTGTCATATTTATTTCCCTGCAGTAATTTCTTTGTTGATAATGCATGTTGTGAATTTAAAATGTATATATATATCCCAATGTTTCTAGTTTGGTAAACATTACAGTAATTGCAAAATCAGTTGTCTAGTCTGTCCAGGTGGTATATAGTGCTCTGTAAACACAGGTTGTAGTGAGCTTCAACTCAATGTCAAAGGTCAGATTTCAATAAATCTAGTTCAAAATATAGCTTTTAAAGATATGTGGATTAAAAAATTAACCATACGTTGATCTGCATCTTCATCAGGAAATTGTTGATTGCACCATAAATAAGACACTGTTACAGATTTTACCATCTTAATAAGATTAAAATGCATGAGTTAATTACCAGACAACCACTTACTGGGAGATTTATAATTTTCTTGTGAGTGACTTTACACATGATTTCACCTACAGATCAGAGGACTCCTGCAAACTATGTCCAGTGCTCAAAGTGTCCATGAGGCATTGTCAACAATACTTCCTGGTATGTTGTTTATTTCTCTGTGCATATCATTATCTTCATACAAAGATAATAAGATAATGATCATAACCAATGTAAAATGTGCAAAAGAACCAATATTTTGATTCAGTATAGCGAGTTATAAAATATCCTTGACAACTAAGAAAATGTTTGCTTGAACATAAATACAAAGACGGTAGTTGTTTATATGCCATTTATATTAAAGTTAAATGTTATTAGTACAAAGTTTTCTTTTTGTATGTATATTGAACTTGATCATGATACAATTAACTGAAATCTAATTACCATTAATTTATCTATGAAGCCTAAAACAAGAAGTACTTGTGCAAGTGGATGTTGATTAATTTTAGTGAAAATATGGCAGTTTAATTTTTGGAATGGATGCGTTTTAACTTTCTTAAGTCGCCCTTTAAATGTGAGAACTATTTATATATTATAGGTGCATTAGATAAGAACAAAGGCCAGATTATGGTTTTGGATACTCCAATCTTCTCATTAGACAGGTAAGTAGAGAGAGGGAAAAAAATGTTGGAGATGTAGTGGTAAGAGGGAACAATCTTTCACCAAATCTCAATTTAGGTAGAGATGCTAAATGGGTGAAACTGAATCCCAGTCACTCATTGGCTGATTTAGTTGTGTGAGTCTTTGTTATAAGCTGAACAGTATGAAATATTTGTGTTAATTATAAAATAAAAAAAAAATAAACATAATGACATAAGGAGATTGTAACCCCAGCAGAAATGTTGGTGAACAGCTAGCACACATATGTATTACCCAATACTCTGAATAAAATTAATGATTCAGTGACTGTACAGCTCTGGATGTCCTGATACACTGTATTTAGATGGTGTGGCTGGGAATATTCCCACCAATTTCACCTGTCCAAATTGACCACAGGAGAGATATTTTAATGCTAACAACAGTTTTAAAAGTCATTAGAATGAGTTCTTATAAGGCACAGAACAGCCAGAAATTTTGCAACTTGGATTGAATATGCCTTTAAAAGAAACCATTATACTATAATGCAAAACAAAGTTTTGTGACATAAATAAAAGATTTAAATGTTACAAAATTAATCTTACATCTTATCCCAACAGGAAAGATATCAAAGCAGAAATAGACAAATCAGCATTAATAGATGTACAGTCAGAAGTTAATGGTAAGTCATCTGTTTTCTTGTAGACTTCAAAAGCTTCCATCAACAAATTTCAGATTAGCCAAATGGATTTTAAGATTTACGTAGAGCTTAGACACCAAATGCAGTAATGAAATATACATGCAAAGTTAAGAACATCTGTGACAGGTATATTCTACATAATCCCTTCTCCTCTCAGTATGCAAGTTCATTGTATTTTTTTTTACTTGTCCAGACACCTTTGAAGACTATATACAGAGACTACAGAAATGCTCCACCATTCTCACCGCCTCATATAGCTTGTCACTGGTTAGTCTCATTAATATCTTGGGCAAAATGTTGCAACAAATGTCAAATCTATCTGGTTATTTAGAACATCAAAAGTTCATTTTAATGTAGTCATTAAGAAAGATAATTTCCTCAAGCCAATATTGATGATATTCAACAATAATAATAGTTATACTTTATCAAGAGCATGAAAAATTAGTTTCTTTTAAAGTAACGTTTTGTCTTGAAAAATGTGTACATATATGAAATGAATTTTGTGAATGACAATCATATTACAGACTAAAGACAATCTTGAGAAAGTATATGCAGTGACTGTCCATATAGAAACAGCTGATACATTGGAAAAAGTCAAAGGTAAAACATTTTGTAAAGAACTATGTAGGAATACTGAGAAAGACACATGCTTAACTTCCTGAGAAATGGCAAAAACTAAGTTTTTTCATCAAGATGGTCTGCTGTTGGCATCTTAACCATTATGTTGTTCTGATTAGTCTCAAAATGAATCGTAAAAACTAGGTGCCAAGGGGAACCCAATGGTTAATAAAAAATTTGAGAAACTTTTCAGGAAATACACTGTAAATGCACTTAATTGGGTGCAAACTGATTTTAGTGTTATCATTTTGTGACAGATTAACACACTGATGCCTGCAGAAACTGCAATTAGTACAGTTATATTTTAGTAGAAAACTTTCAGTATGAAAAGTGGTGAAATAAATACCTGGTAGGTATGTTAACAGTGATTATAAAAAAGAATTTTTTAAGGAAGAATGGAAATCATTTATTATATTCACGTTTTATCATAACTCTTTGTTGTTAGATAAAAAATTATGATTTGTATATGCTCAGATCTATCTATTCAACTGTATTTCAGACCTACACATTTCCAGATTAAAGAAGAGAGGTAATGTATCAAAAACAGTTTTTTTTCATATCATCCAAGATGAACTCTGATGGATTATTATTAAAAATATTATTTTTAGTCTCAGATATCAGGAAATCTGTAACCCCCAGATCCTGTGGAGAATGGGTAAATTTAAGAAATGTAAAGAAATGATTTGTTTTGGTTTGCTCTCAAGGGTAAATTTATGAAATGTAAAGAAATGATTTGTTTTGGTTTGCTCACAACTGAAAGTAATTAATTTCTAAGATAATTAGCATGGGTCATTTGCATTGATTGTAAGATACTTGGTATCTTCTTCCTATGAACACTCCCTCTTGGCCCATATGATGGGACTAAAAGAGATGGTTAATATACATACATAAGCTAAAACTTGTGAGTCATCATATAAATCAATTAAATAGACTTCACTATATTGTCATGGAAATCATTGTGGGTATCAAAAGGGGAAAAAATGTATATTCAGTCATTTTTTGACTTCATAATTAAAGAAAAAAAATGTAAATTTTAGTTCTCATTTTCAGATTGTCACCAAGTAACACTCACTATGTCGCCAATAAAACCACTTCCTTGTCCTTGTCAGGTTTGGTAAGTCACATGTCCCGTTATAATTATTACTGTGTTATTGCTTCCAGTCCAGAACTCACTGATTTATTAAAGACCAAATATGACTTCTACACTGATTTGGCAATAAAGACAGACTTTTGTGTAATTGAAAGGTGTGACCTTAGCTAGGATACAGGAGTAAGATCCAAGATTTTAAATAAGAGATATTTTCTTTATGAATTCCCCCATCATTATGTACCGATATATTGAAAAATTGACTTCATGATTTCAAAGATATTGTTCAAAACTATAAATATTTTTTTGGTACAACAGAGGTCTATATCTATGTAATTCTTTGAAATTATATACATTTGTCTGCAGGATTGAGTTTCTGGAAGGAAAGCAGACTTATAAGTGCCAGACTGATGCTGTGATCTTGACATTGGATGATTTCATGCTACCTCTACAGACCGACCTGTCAGCGGGTGGGGCCAATGATCTATTTGACCTTATATGGCAGTGGTGTACAAATAACAATAACCAAGATGATGGGTGAGATTGTCACATATATTTATTGAAAGGTCATTGCCCGAGTGGCAGAAATCTGCTATGCTTTTGTTTGCAAATTTATACCTAAAACAGGATCATGCTAATACCTGGTACATGTGGCTGATGGTAGAGAAATAAGAATGGAAATTGAACAGTAAATAATGTATTATGCGTGAAGGCTTGCTTTATGCATCATGGCATGAATATTCCATCACTCCTGCATCAGTTTCATTTAGGAAACATGGGATTCTCCTCCCAACAACTATGTGTGTTATATAAACAAAATGAAATGTGGCCACAAATTCACTGTAAAGTAAGGCAAAGGGATGCATAATATCCTAAAGGGGTTAGAAGAGTAAATTAAAGTCTTCATGTCTGGATGGTAACAAGTTTAGCTTTGAGGAAAATGTCTATTATGGATAGTTGTCTAGCTGGAGCAGAGCCAATATTTGCTGTAGTCAGAACTGAAGCAGCTCCATTTGCTGTCTTCTACCTTTCACTGGCCTTTCTAATGCTGGTCTGAATTATCAGTCTCTTAATAAACTATTCATTTACAGTAAACTCTCCCAATGAATTGGACAACTGCTACTGTCAGCCATTTGTTTGGTGTTTATAAACTACAGTAACTTGACTGCTCTTGCTACTACATGTATTTGAAATTGTTACAGGGATAAATCTTAGTAGTTCTGGGCACAGTAGGAATTTAAAATCTTTTTCTTATTTATGACCATTGGATTACCAAATGCCATATTAATGTGAAAATAATTACTTTCACTACTGTGGAAAACACTTATTTTCCATTTGGTTTTATTTTTATTAGCCCACAAACTGTTATTCAAATCATTCTGCATCCGTGGTCCACCGTCCATTCGTAAACAGTTTTTCTTATTTCTTGAGGAGTACTGAATAGATCTTTCTCAAATTACATGTGTATGCTCCATGTGATCTCTAGTTATGCATGTTTGATTTTGGGACTGATCATAAAATAAAATGGCTGACCTTGGATTTTTTCAATGAAGTTCGTTATCGCTATTTCTTGAAAAAGTAAGAGATGGATATCTCTCAAATTTCATATGTAGGCTCCCCTTGGTCTCTTGTTGTGCCCATACTATTTTGGGACTGATCCAAAAAAACAAAATGGCCAAAAAGCAGCCATCTTGGATTTTGACTTTGAAAGTTTGTTATTGTTATTTCTTGAGAAGTACAGCATGGATCTTTCTTAAATTTCTTACGTAGGTTCAGTTTAGTCCCTAGTTGTGCCCATTCAATTTTGGATCTGATCAGGAAAACAAAATGGCATAAAAGTAGCCATCTTGTTTTTTTTAAACAGTTTGTTACCGATCTTTCTTGTAAACAAGTTTACCCCAATTTTTAGTTCACTAGGTTCAATGATTTTTTTTACTTTTTATATTTTTATTTTGATAGAAATAACCAAGGCATTGAATCTGTCAAAGTTCTCCACATGTCGCTGTTCGAGTTCAAGCAAAGAACCAGTCAGAAGCTACACCATTATAAAGTATTGGAAACTGATAACAAAGGTAATGACAGTCATTGTTGATATTACTGATTTTAAGCATATGTAGTTAAGATACTGAGTAAAGATATGGTTTTGCATATTTGTACAAATCATCCAGTTTTCTACAAGAATCTAATACTTCAAGAAAATAATTTTGAAATCTGAGAATTGTGAAATTAATTCAGAAGTTTTCACACATCGTCTCCTTAAAGAAATTGTGAGTTTTGTGGTAAAAACTGTATTTTTCTTGTCAACAGTAACAATTTAAAAACTGCTTTATTGAAATCAGAATATTTTACAATTTTTCTTTCTTGCTATATTGATGCTTTTTGTTTTAATCCAATTCTGGTCTCATAAAATGGCATTTACTTTATTTACAGATTCTTCGTCAGTATTGAAGTTTGCGATGTTCCTTCCAACACAGTATCATTTGTTGCTGAGCTGTTGTGAAACGAATGATAACATTTGTGTCTCCATTGCAACAGATTTTTACCCCATTTTGCCCTATGTTGATGAATTCCTTACAAAACTTTGAAATTTTCTCAGTACAAATGAGATTGAAATGAGTGCAGAGTTAATTAAAACTTATATATACATTGTTTAACATATTTGATAATTTTAAGATAAAAACAAACTTCCACTGACAATACAGTGTACCTGGTCAAATGAAGATGGAACTCAAATTGTACTGATACTGCTTAATATATAGAATTTTCTGTGTGTACTGAAAACGGTTTTAATTTCTTCTACCAAAAAATTAAAAAAAAAAACATTGTGCCAATGTGCATTCAAGTAGATCATGCAAAACAATTTCCAATTTCCAAAGCAGAAATGAAAAATTAGAACTTGATATCTGTTTTGTAAATGGCTGTGTGGTTGTGCAACACAATTTTGAATAAAATTATTCGGTGAATTACAGCCCCCAACCAAAACACTACCTTACCATGGTGAATCCATCCATCAAGTATGAAGTTCAGGTGACAAGAAAGGCAGGAGATGGGGCCTGGACATACTTTTAATTTGATGTAGGTGAAAGGTCAAACTATAGGTCAGGGTGACCTACTACTGATTCCTAACACACTACCTCATCAACATAAACAGATACCCTTGAAGTGACAAGTAATGTAATTCAGGGACTAGTGAATCAATTTTCCATGATAAAATTTGGATTTTCAGGGAAACATGAGTGCTCATCTAATAACAATGGCAGAGAAATATTTTGATAATATATATTCATTAAAGGAGTATCGTTATAGCAAAGCAGTGCTGACATTGTATAATTTTAACACATTCTTTACTCAATTATTTTTCATCAAAACTCATATTAAGGTCTTTTGACATAAATTCTGGAGACTTTTAAGTAAAGGAGATTTATCTCAAATCAAATATGCATCACAGTAACATATATTTGGAATTTTATTGACTTTGTAAGAATGATACAGAAGCTAGAATTTTACTATTTACTATGGCTGCCACTCCTATTTTCTGGTTGAATGTGGTCCATTGAAATTTGTCTTACAAGCCACAGAGGGAGATAGACAGATTGATGTAAATTATTATAGAAAGTTGTTAATGTTATAACAGGTCATATGTTACTGTTTTAAATTTGATTGTACAAGGTAACAGTCACAGTGTATAAATCTATTTGTATGAAAGGGTAGTGCAATAAAACAATTATACATTATACTGAATTTCTGATTATTGTTAATATTCTAATGCATTCCTGATATAAATCCAAAGCAGCTAGAGTATAGCAAGGTTTCTCTTCAATAATTAGTGTATATTTTTAGGCAGTCTGATTCAAAGGTAGTCATTGTGTTTAGATGATCATCTTTTCACCATTTAGATTAAGCTAAAAAATGTCATTGGTTCTGAACAAGTGTTGCTTTTATTTGAATGTCAGAAATCTAAGATGACAATGTTAAGGAAAAGATGCTGAAAAGTGTAAGTGTACAGTTTACACTTCAGCAAGTTTGTAACAAGATTGGTCAATCATGACTTCTCTGAAAAAGCACTTATTTCAAGCTTCTTCTAAAGTTCCACCAGTGAGCTTTTGCTCGAACTTGTTGTTTGAAAGACTCTTTAATTATCCTTACCTAATTTAATTTTTCATCTTGGTATCAAACCAAGGATGGCAACCATGGTTGGCATTTTGAAAAACTTAAAACTTCTTTGCTGCCATTACAGCTAAAAATTTGTGGGAATGAAACTGAAATCGAGACAATGTTGTTTTTGTCTCCTTTACTACTAAAATCCATAATTGTTTTAATCATTTAATTAGAAGGTGAAGTATTGTGAGCTATTCGTAGCATTTATCCTCTGGACTACCTTCAATATAAAAAGTGAACCAAGGACCTAACTCTTTCACAAGAGGGCTACAAACTCGTTTTTATTTGACAGCACACTATTAGATCAAGTGATACTGTGATGCAGGGTAAGAGATTCTTACATAGTGGAGCATGAGATCTAGAATGACAAATGTGAAAACTGCTTACTTCATTCATGATATTAGTGGGGACCTAGGACTTAAGTTTACAAGTAGCTATTAGGCAATTGTTAGGAAAATTCATGACACTTTTCAACTTTGGTGGAACAATATAAAATGAATAATAATAAAAAAAATTCTATATCAACCTTATTGAAAGAGTTTATATCTTGATGTAGGTCCTGTGTGTTTGACTGTTGATATTTGAAAAGAGCTTGGTATTATCCATGAACAAATTTATGCAACATTGTATAAACTCTGGAGTAATACAAGAAGTCACAAGATGTCCAACAAGAGGGCCATGGCCCCTAACAGTCATCTGATAATCGATGAATGGATGGGAGAATCACAGACGATGAATTCCTGCGATGATATTTCAGACCACATTTGGTATAAATCCATTCAAGTATTAAGGAAGAACAGCGTTTTGAAGCAAAATAATTAACTAACTTTCCCTTGAGGGTCAAATCAATTTTCTGAATTTAAGAAATGATTTTCCATCTTTAATGATGTTTCAGACCAAATTTGGTTGAAATTCATTCAACCATTAAGAACAAGAGGGCCAAGGCACTTAACAGTTATCTGACAATCGATGAATGGATGTGCAAACCAAAGGATTCGCTGATGGTGGTCTGACAAATATGATGAATTCAAAGTTTGAATATTCCTTGAAAGTATCCGAAAATCATAAATGGTAGGTTCTGTGCATGAAAAAAGGTTGCACCATCATGTTACAAAATAACTCCTGTGGTTACCATGTTGGAAGTTTTGATCAGACTGAAAAGTAACAACAAATCATCTCTTTCTTATCTTCAAAAATATCAAACATGTTAAGAAATTCAGACTATTTGTTCTAGATGAGTTATGTTGGATTTTGGACCAAAGCATTAAAATACAATTTGGTCAGGACAATGTAAGCATCACTTCATGCATGTTTAATATCATTGCCACTCCCTGTTAACATTTAAGGTCAAATTTGGTTGAAATCTACCAAGGCATTGAGGAGGAGTAGTGTTTTGAAGCAATATATTGTCTAATTTCCCCATTTGGAGCCCCACCCCAAGTCCCTAGGTGTCAAATTAACTTTCTGGATTTATAAAATGGTTTCCACCCACAATGATGTATTGTACCATGTTTGGTTTAAATCCATGTGGGCATAAAGCAAGGTGGTGGACAATGACAGACAATACACAACAGCAATGGGTCATCTTGACCCTCTGGGTCAGATGACCTAAAAAATTGATGGTAAAAGATAAATAATATCAATATATTAAGGCACAATTAGAGCATTAACCTAATATATACAGAAAGTTCTGTCGAGTTCAGTGGAATGCTTTTGAAGTTGAAAGGAAAGTTAACACTAATTTTGTGGGTTTTATTTTTTACTATATTTAGATGGTAACAGAAAAAATATGAAAAATGAAATGTCATCAATAGTAAAAGGCACTAACCTAATATATACAAAATGTTTAGTTTAGTTAACGGGAATGGTTTTGAAGTTGTAGTCTGGAAATGAAAGTAAACATTAATTTTGTGTCTTTTGGCTATGATTCCATGGTAACAAACACAAAAAAAAAAGATCTAAAATAAAATGTTGTCAATAGAAAAGGCACAACTAGGGCACTAACTTAAAAAAGCAAGCTTTGTGAAATTGAGTTCAACGATTATGAAGTTATAGCTTGGAAAAGCCCTTGGACGGAAGGAGCCTAAATTTATATTCCCGCAAACGCATTTTGTCAGAGATAAACATCATACCTGGTACGTGTAATACTTGAGCAAAATAATCTTTAAAAATATGTCAAAGATCGGAAAGAATGATAACAAATACTGTAAGGTTAATAAACATGACAAACTTTATTAAGGTTATGATATTCCTCTTACATTTTCAACACAATTCTAATCATTCATAAACACTATAAAAAACAATTATAGTAGTAGCTCCATTCTCTCGTAACTATTAACCATTTACTCACATTTTTCAGTAGCTATATAGATCAGTCAGTAAATCTGACCAGTCAGAAGCAACCAGAAAAATCTCATCATCAGGAAATTATCTTTTGATATGATTGTTTAAATATAGACATTATTGTCAATTACTTCAGACATCAAAGACAGTCAGTCTTCACCAATTCAATGACTTTTCACACTTTACATATACCTTCCCAAAAATGTACACAACAATGAAAAAATCATGCAAAACATCATCTTATGGAGATCACAGCTTTGGGCAAATAAAAATAAAAAGTTTTGTGGAAGAAGAAGACGAATGGATTTGAATAGCCTTGTACCCCTATGTAGCATATAACTCACTGGTATCCTAAAATCCTTAAATCACATTTGTAGAATGTGGGATAATTTTTCAAAGAGCCATTTTAGCATCAAGTTTGAAATTTTGGTCCACCATATTGTCATATGTAGAGTGATCCATCTGAAGGGCCTACATAACCAATGGCAATAAGAATTACGTCCACAAGGGTCCATACACCAAGACCACCAAAGCTAAATAATTTACCGATCCCTTCTCTCCAAAGTCCAAGATAGAAGCGATCAACACCAAATCCACCAAGTGTCACACTAAAAACAAAGCAGAGAAAAGATTTAATTGTATTAAAAGCCCTCCTGATCCTTACTTGCTGAGGAATTATATAAAGATCTACAACTATGTAATTAAAGGAAATTGATCAGTGATTGGTTTGTACTAAATACATAAAATATGTACCCAGGTATATGTTTGTATATCCAACACTTTAAACGGACAGTTAACTTATTAATGTATTACATAAAGTTTTATAAAATCAATTAAAAAAACTAATTTGGGGTCTGAAGTATCTAATTAAAGAGGACAAAAAAATAAACAAATGATAACATTTGTAGGAACCATTTTTATAAACATGATATAAAATGATTTTTTATCATAAAGGAACTCTCACCTTAGTAATAGAGCTGTAGACCATTTGTATCCACTTGTCCAGTTGCAGGGAAGAGACTTGTGAAATTGTCTTTTACCTTTGAATATTAACATACATAGCTATAGACTACAAATCTCTGTCAGTGGAAAAATTGTCTTTGTCTTGACCCATATTTAAATTTTTTCAGATAAACTGCAAGGCTGATTCATTACATTTGGTTGTTCCGTTTGTGGATGAAGCCTGACAACAGTTGAGAAAAGAAATGACCATGACTGATATTCAAGGCCCTTGGGTTCATATTCATTTGAACACTCTAAAGGACTTCCTCTGAATAACTCAATGGTCCTTTTTTAAGTGTGTGAAGTTTGATAACAATCTCCAAAGAAATGAAGCAGCTACAGTGCTGACAAGGATTTTCAAGGAAGAATAATGGTTACTTGGACCTTAGAACCACAAAATTCCAATCCAATAAATGATAGTACTTTATAAGTGTGAAGATTGATGAAAATCCCTCCAGCAATGAAGCTGTTAGAGCATTGACAATGATTTCAAGGAATAGTAGTGGTGACCTTGGCCCTAGAATCCTGAAATTTTAAATGGTCTGAGATTGGCTATTATATTGAATATTATAATTTTAGCTTATTGAAAATATTTAAACGTAAGAAATTGCATTCAAGATTGGATAATAATTTAGTGAGGAAGGATTGGGGTAAATAATAAGAGTTGTCTCCTCTTACCCAAGCAGATAACTTCACTCTTCACCTGACACTTGGCGATAAATGTCTGACTGGGTGCTGTAACAACTGTACAGGTGGAAGAAGAATTACAGGTGTAGAGCGAAGGGTCCAATTGGTAACAGTACTTGCATTCATACTGAAGGTTGAAGGTCTTCTTCCCCTGTAAAATATCATATTGTTATATTCTTCTTTAATCTTCTGTAAAATTTCAAAATTATCAACAGACACAGTAATGAAAATGTGATCAGCTGGTGGTGAGACAATAAAACTTTGTTATACAAAGAACAATTATTTTAGAAAAAATGCTTCAGTAAACATTTGACATCATAAACAACAAACTAAACAACTTACTGTACAATTTATTTCACTCTTCACAGTGCATTGTGCTGTTTCTTTATTTCCATACTGGCAATTAGTGTTGAGGTTACATTCAATACATTCTGCTCCTAGTTTATGACACTCGACACCATCAGGGCAGAACTCGTTCTGATTTCTAGAAGAAATTTGGTCTTCTGAAGAGGGTTCGATAGACTTTGGAGTAGTAACATTTATCTGTACCTGAGGTGAAGCTCCTGCTTTCACAGTGGTATATTGTTCTGATGAAGTTGAAGTAGGTGCAATATTGTTTTCTGAAATATCAAATTATATAGCATTATTACTGCCACTAGCACTTCGATAATTTCTGTGTAATCTGCTGAGTCTACAAACTGTGCCCAATCCGACTATTTTAAGTCCGGCTGTATATGGAAAGCATAGGAATATTAAACACTTCCCTAATTTTCTTTTCTGACCAATAAAATTTCATAAATCAAATATTAATGTGTGATCTGCTAAAACCAATTTAACAGTTGCAGATATGTAATAAAACTATGGTTAAGACACGCCTCTCTTTCTGCTATTGAGTTAAGGCTCTAAACAATTTGTTAAATAAACCAACTACTTAACAGTCAATGAATTTATCATCAGTAATGGCACTTGCATGAAATGTGGCGTCCAAGCAAGGCTCTTCAAATATTAGAGTTTGGCAATTAATATTGGAGACTGGACAAAGTTATGTCCCTTACCAAATGTGGTGACTTTACAGAAAAAGTCCCAGTTAATTAAACCCTTACAAATTTTGAATTGTAATTAGCATGATTTAAGGAGACAAGTGAAGAAACCAAAATGAAATGAAGTTCTGGAATATATGAATACAAACAGATAAAGAAATTTATATGTTCAGTTTTTGATTTACATTTTGTCATCAGGAAAGCAAAAAATAAATAATCAAGATGCAGAAGTGTATCTCTTGTCATTTTCTCATGAGAGTGAGTACATTGCAAATTGCTGCTCTGGTACCAAGATATTTGCAGTCAACGCAAATAAATCCAAATAATAATATATCCTGAAAAGTGTTCTCAAGTTGGTTGTAAAATAATCTTTGAATTATATACATATGCCATTGTATATATTTATAGATATACCAAAGGGTAATATTCAATCGCAACAAGTCCAGGGTACCAGAAGAGTAATTTATTACAATCTGTCTACAGGTTTTGCCCGAACATGTGGGCTTCTTCAGGACCAAGAATTTGCTGAAATTTTAGTAGTTTGTTACCATGACAGTGTTGTTGCTTTTAAGACAGGTATTTAGAAATAAATTCCTTCTATAAAGTTGTAGTGTTAAGTTGGAATTAGCAGTATTTTTGCATTTTTAGCATTTTTTCAGTCCATGACCATGCCAATCACATGTCAGAAATCAGCAAACTTTTTTATTTACACAAATTTTATCTCTCTACTATTAATGTGATAGTTATGTATTTTATAAATATATATATTTTTAATGATGCGTTTTTCAAAACTAAACTGCTATACCTGTATATCTCAAAAATGACCAATAATTTCAGGAAAAATGCAAATTAGCTGTTTCTTGCGACAGTAGTACATATTGTTATAGGGGAGATAATAATCAGGAAATAATACTTGTGCATAACTGACTTTCATCTTTAAGATGATAACACAGCCATGCAGGAAAACCTCAAATAATCAATCAACCAATTGATAATTAAATACAACTCCTGATTTACTTCAACAAAGACTAAGGCCCACTATTCCCTTGTTCTGATTGCCTTGTTCAAGCCTCTGTCAGTTTCAGTAATTGCTACACTCCTGTAAGGCTTTGCTTTTTTCATATTTTTTTGTAATGTTTTCTTGATTCAGTAATAATTGGCATGACATTACAATCATAATCGAGAAAACAAATATTATGTTTTTTGATACATAGACCTTTAGACGGTATGAAAATGAATTTTTACATTTATGAATTCAACAAATAACATCGGTTCCTTAGAGCTTGGATCATGATGCAGTGGAAATGTAAAATTCTACATCAACAATTTTTTATGTATAACTTGACAATCTGGCCCCATGCAAATGTTTTACAGCGTGATAACCCTATTGGAAACAAGCTGTCGACTAACAGTTATCATGGAACATCCAAAGTAGTAAAGGTCCAAGACATATGATCATGATCGTAATTGATTATTTGTGTGATGTTGACAATTTCCTCCGATAATAATAGACCATACAATCCCTACATCTACTCTCAGTACATTATCTGCCTAGTAACAATTCATACTAAATCAGTATCGGTGTTTCTATTATTGTCAAAGAGGCTGGACTAATGTATTCGTCTTAATTAATTCAGCTTGTTAAGTAAACCGATTTTTACCATTAGTTGCTGTATGTAGACAAGGTATACTCGACAGAGTTAAAAAAGTCAATACAGTCCATTTAACCCTTAATGACAACAAATCCATCAGATCTTCGGCATCGGCAGCAACATCACGGAAGTAAACAGGGGTTTACCGGAAGTAAGATGGAAAAGTAACAGCCAATCAGCTCTTTTGTTATATTACAGGGAATTCCTGCAGACGTATGAAGAGGAGAGGGTAGTATGCCCGTCTACTTCTTTTCTGAATTAAAATCAGTTGTGTGTCAAGATGAATGGAACGATACTGCAGAAAAATCCTGTTGTGTATATCAGCAGAACAGAATCGTTCTCTGCCTGCCATAGACTCAACAGGCAAGTATTGTTATGTTTTTTTTTTTGCTTATTGTAAAATAAGGGGCATGTGATGATATTTCTTTATATATAACTGTATCATTGAACACATTAAAGCTTGTGAATGTTTAGATTTAATTCAGTTAAATTCAAGGAAAGTGTCTATTTCATTTTCAGAAGTTAAGCTAGCCATCATACTCGCATACGAAGATCCCCCTTCCTCCAGAAACTTGTATCTGAAAAAGTAATACAAAATTGAGGAATGGATATAATCAATTTCTCTGAACCATTTTTTGTGTATACAGGAAATTCTGTTCAGTGAAAATGTCTATTACTCAAATAATTTCGTTTTCAGAAGTTGAACTGGCCACCATACTCACATATGACGAGAATTTTTTTTTTACATTTCAATTAAATGTTTAAAACTTTTTTTTTTATTTCTTTTTCCAGAAATGTCTGATATAGTATTATATGTCCCTGCTTTTCAAATCAATATTTTTATGAAAAAAAAATCTATGTCATGTGTGTTCTTTTGATTTTGGGACACTAGATCAGAAAATCAAAGTGGCCAACAGATGGTCATCTTAACGCACTGAACCATTTTTTGTGTATGCAAGAACTATAGAAGTGCATATCAATTCTACTCTGTGTTTACTTTAACAATTAAGAGTTCATTAACACAAAAAAATGGTTCATGAGCTTGGAATTTTCTTGGTACTCATTGTACTTGTAAATATATCATATGTACATGATCAAGGCTTTTACACTCTGGATTGTATTAGGCGCTGGTACCATTTGGAACCCCTTGCTGCACAACCAAATGTATTTGGTAGAAAGATGAATGGCAAGTGTTTTCCATTTTATTTTCATGGTTTATAATTTGGATAGATATGCTAATTCAGTATCCTCAGGTGAGAGGTTGATCTTTTCTTATTGTCAATAAAGGTCAGATGATGTTGGTCTTATGTACAGTCAATGATTCAATCATGGAATCTAAAATATCTGCTTTTTAGGTCACCTTATCATATATATCAATCTCTAGACCATCAGTAAAGTTATTGCCATCTGCTTTTAAAACATCAAACATTCGATTGTACTGGGGAAGTCTTATATTTCAAGCAGATTCCTTGGTTTTATTGTCTGTCTTGATAAAACTTTACAACCTGAACCTACACATCTACCTCTCATTGTCAGAAGGGTTCTGTATTATGTGTTTAAAGTCTCTGTCTCAGTAAAAGATGTAGAAAGTAATGTCAAAAGAACATGGGGTATGTAATATAATGTTGGAAGATTTGTATAGTAACTATCGGTCATATAATATATTGTATTTAATGTCCTAATCATAATTGACATATAGTTATAGTATAACATCATGGAAATGTGATACATGTGTATCACTATTGCACTACAAAGGTGTTGAGGTATTTGAATGCCCTTGAAATCTCCGTGTTAAGGTTTGCCACACAGTCTATATAAAACATTAAAGTGATATTGTCAGAGTAGTGTCAGCTGTTTCAAACCTCTAGAAATATGCTAATTTTGCTATCTCCTTCGTCGCAGAAATTCAGTTTTGATCATTAAGATAAGCAAACCATAATTAGCATATTAACTTGTGATAACAGGGACGTATAATACACATATATATAATATTATACGTCCCAGGTGATAATGAGCAATTAAAATATATTTTATATATATGTAGTACTGTATATGACCACTTTAGGGTGCATGCCTTGGCTGAGTGTCCAGTTGCATTCAGAAATGATGAAAAAAAATGACAACACCTACTTTTTTATTTAGGATATATAATTAGTCTATAAATAATATCAAATGGATTCTTGGAAATCACACTATAGTCTGTTTCAAATTTCTACTTACTCTCAGTTGAACTGGAAGCTGTCTGCTACCCAAATATCCCCTATAGTCTGTTTCATAAAACTCGAATTTAAGTCTTATTAAAGTGTACGCTGAGAGTAATTTTATATTTAAATATAATGTTAAGAATGCCGTAAAAATAATAATGATGAAAACCCCGTCAAAATCCGTCGCCCCAGTGTCGAGTTATTAAAGCTCAAAGTTGTCGATTTTCACCTGTCCGCCCAGACCTAATCAGCCGAATCGTCATTTCCGCGGAATCGAGGCTCTTCTACTCGTGACGTCATAAGTTCAACAGAAATGGCAGTCAACATGACTGACAGTGACAACGACACCGCAACTGAGAGCGATTTGAGCATGAGTTTTGAGGAGTCTGATTATGGTGTGAATGGTATGTCTGAAGACGGAATCCAGCCCTACCGATTTGAACTGGAATTACAAGACGATGTATCAAGTGAGGAGGAAAATGACCCTTCGAAAAGTGACGATCGCTTGGGCAACATAGATTGGCACGTACTTCACTGGGTCTCACCAGTAGTCACGATAGTAGTCGAACAGTGAATCGTCGTTTCAAAGAAACAAAATAAAATTGGATGTGGTTTTGGACTAATTTTACTATCTTCAAGTCTCGATCAACAATTTCTGACGTCGGGAAATCGTGTTTGTGCAAGACCATGCATACATTCACGAGGTGTCGGGAATTTTTCTTTCCAGGGAATTTTCGTAGCACTTTGGATATATATAGATAGGGTGTCAACAACCAATTATAACACCCTCCGCTGTGTTAATAATAAAAATTTGATGTTTTAGAAGTTTAAACAATTATTTGACTGGTTTTTACCCTAGCATTGGTACACGTCTGTTGTTAGCCGACAGGCGTGTCGCCTCACAGGTGTCACCATTGTTTTTTCCAGCCACAGAAGTGCTAATTACCTAACCTGGCACAGGTGTGATTATGAGTTATGAGCGCTAATTCACCGACCCCTCGTTCACTACCTTAGATATTGCGAAGATGTGAAGTACTTTCACGTAAATAAACAAAGAAATTACCACGGAAAATCCCAAAATAGATCACAATCACATGTAGCACAGTAAAGACAATGTGGCTGCATCAACAGAAGCATTGAACTTATGACGTCACAGGTTTGGGTGCCCGAAAACGAGGTCAACGCCTCTCAGCCAAAGGTGTGTTTTTCAGAAAATTCGCAATTTCTCAGTAACGGAACATTCCACGGCATTCGCGTTTTCGGCATAGTGTATTTTATGTGCAGAACTATTTTTCAAGGTCAACATAGCTGACCTCTCAGGGTACACTTTAAGGGCGCCATTGCCTTTAATTATAATGATCCACTGAAAGACCAAAAGGTCATAATAGTGGACGTAAATGTTGTTAAAATAAATAAATTCAATTACCTGCGCACTGTGCCCTTTTTAGGTCATATACGGTAAGTTACACACAAGGGAAGAAATAAGTTCCACGTCGAACTTTTCAGTGAGTATCTTAGAGATAATATATATTAATATATATATATATATAATTAGTGAAATATCAGTGTATCAGAGAGATTGATCTATATATGCTGCCTGTATGAATATTGACCAGTCTATAATGATTTATTTGTTAATATTAATAGAGGTCTACATGACGAGCCATTTTGATATGTTACGCATGCTACTTCATGGCATAAGCATGAAAAAATGTTGATTTGAGTTGATATGATTTCTTAAATTTTGCAAAGACCTCTCCATGATGTAATTTCCAAATTATTCTTGCCAAAACCTTGTTGAATTATACTTACGATACAACAAATTGAATTAAAGACCAACTTATTTTTGATCCCTTGTCAATTTCCAAAGTAGAGGGCTTTAATTTCACTATGTATCTCATATTCTTGTCAATAGAACACTGATGTTTGTTGCTGAAACAATACCTTATCATAGTATCAATTAGCAATGTATATATATATGTATGTGTTGATTGAAATATTTCAGGTTTTTGTTAAGGTTACTCTTTGGTATGTGCTAGCTACACTATGTTTATCTTAGGTGCCATATTCAACAAATTATATAGACCTGAGGAAAAAGGTCCTGTTCACAGTACTAGAGTAAAATTGCACTTTGAGATTTCATTGTACATTGTACTTGTTCAATGAAGACATTACATTTTGTTTTTGTTTCCAGTTCAGAATTGAGTAAGGAGGAAAATAAAGAGATATATGGGAAATGTAACAACCCAAATGGACATGGACATAACTACACAGGTATTTGTTTTTTTATTGTAAGATAATCATAATACATATACTAAGAATGATGAGCATGGAACATTTAAGCTTGTCTTTATAGTCATTCCATGATTTTGTTGTTTTCAACTGCAATATGTTAGAAGCTTGTAACTTGGTTTAAACATTATGTTTTTGAGATATCTATTTTATGAATAGTGGTTAAATTTTCCCAGGGGAGAGCAAAACATTATTGTACAGAGATAAATCACCAAAAGTGTTTCTTTATTGTATATCAATATTACTTAGTAAAATCTTTTCAAACACGGTTTTGTTGTATTCCAGTGGAAGTTATTCTACGAGGCCCAGTAAGTATTGAAATTTTTAAATTGTATACCCTGGTACCTGTACTGTATTTTCAGTTAGATATGGAACACAGATATCAAATCAAAGGTACCACTTCTGTTGGTACTTTTAAGCATTTTATGTTAAAAACCTGTCACATTAAATAGGTCTACATTTACAGCAGAAATTCATACATGAATCAAACACTGATATTTTGTTTCTTGGTATGTACGATGCTAAAATGTCACATGAGATCCCCACAATGGTATAATCCCTTAATCAGCTCAGGGGCAACATGTCAGTTTTACTCGAAGTTGAACAATATTGAAATAGCATGTGGTAGATTTGTTTACTGAACTTGTTTGATATGACCCATTGTAGAACATGTAGTAGACCATTGATTGAAAAGAATAAAAAATGAGTTAAAACATTTAAAAAAATTACTAATCACATGTTTTAATTGGTGTAAAAAATTGAAAAGCCAAATAATTGTTTATGTTAAGTAGCCATCCTTAACTTCCATCTAACTTTTGAATTTTGAATGAAGGTACCTTGTTTTCTATACCTACATTGCAGATGACATTCCCCAGTGTGGGATGCTACAGCATCCACACTCAACTCTAATTCACAAATATTATCAGGGAAGGCCTCATGATGAAAGTTATCTGTTTTGACTTTTGAGTTGTTAAGTTCAAAAACAATTTTTACTTTGTAGGTAGATCCTGTCACAGGAATGGTGATGAATTTGACAGACCTGAAAAAATTCATGAATGTAAGTACTAATGTTTTTACTAAAGATCATGTGTTTATGGGATAGTGTGTTACCCATCCATCCCAAAGTATCAAGAACTCCGATGTCATCACTTCACTGACATTATTTCTTTAAGCATTGTGATCAAAGGTGATCAAGGGTTCTGTCTCTCCTTAATTCCATTTTTTGTCTTGGTTGTGGTTAAATTTAAAGTCATGGATAGATAGAAACTTTCCAATTTAAGTTGAAGTATATTTTCTAGGTAGCTGTAGTGGATTTTGATACTGAAAGTTTTTAAAATGATTTTGAAAGGTTGTGTAGGGAAAAATCATAATGGACAATGAGCCCACTTAATAAATTTATTCATAAAGCATCTGGCTTTGACCTCTTAATGAACTTCAAGACAAGCATTTAAAAAAATTATTTTACCCCAAAAGTATATCAAAGGAAATTCTCCAGAACAACAAAGAGGAAAGAAGGGAAAAGATCTACTTTATAAAAGTGGTGGGAACCAAGAAAGCTCTAGGGTCTGTTGTTGGGTTGAGGAGTAACTAAGTTCCATATAATCCAGTAAATTCAGATTAACAAGAAGTTTCTGCTCTCGCAAAGATTTTATTGTATTATTTTTTTTTTTCATTTCAGATGGCGATCATGGATGTAATGGACCACAAAAATATTGATAAAGATGTACCCTACTTTAAAAATGTTGTCAGGTAATAGCTAAATTCAGTATACAAACATGTCTTGCAGATAAAAGCTTAATATTTGTAACTGCCGCCCCCATTTCATGATTGCAATATGCAACTGTATCATGGCTCTATTCTCTTCTTTGTAAACAAATATTTTCCTAATGTCTCCTCTAACTCTGTCTCACTTTTGGCCTTTAGTTGAGCGTTCCCCCAATGGAGGTATTTCTCCAAGCTGAGACATACCTGAGTCTATAGACATCCTAGTGATAACTCTCAGTGTTTAGTGTGATAGTACTATAACAAGGAGGCTTACACCAACTTTTTGCAGCTTTCCACAAACACTCACTCAACATATGCTATTAGCTTACATACATGTATACAGGAAAAGTCTATCCTTACTAAATATAACTGATCAAAGATCTGGGGCATACTTTTTTTGATTTGTCAGTCTGTCTGTTTTGATGTTTATGGGGTTTCATCGGATAACTTCACTTTAACTGCCCAATTAAGACCATGTTTGATATATTTCTTTCTATCAGTAATATCTGGGATGAGTTTGGTATTGTCAAAATCTGTCAAAACTTACCAAAGTTATGGGGATCAAAAAATCTTGAAATAGATCATTTCTTCTTTTCCATCAAATAATTTAAATTTTTACTGTCTAATTTGAACGAAATTTGGTGTATTGCTTTGTATTAATAAGATCTCACTCACTCTGACTTTGGTCAAAATCTCAACATTTGACCAAATTATGGCAATTTAAAACCCATAAATAGACCATTTCTTCTTTTCTGTCAAATAACTTTTATTTTTGTATTGCTTACATGCTCCCCGAACTGAGAGCATACAGTTGCTGCTTTGTCCACCCGTGCATCTGTCATAATTTTGTCTGAAGCAAAAAGGTATCAACATAAAACTATAAGACTTCATAGGTAGATAGATCAAAGGAAGGAAAAATGCAATGCACAAGAACCATAACTCTCTTTTGCATAATTTTGGAGTTGTTGCCCATTGTTTTTTTTTCATACTTAAATTTTGTCCCAGTTGAGCTGCATAACTGTCTCAGATGGCCCTTGTATAAGTGAAATCTCAGATGATATCAATATCGTTCAAGATCTATCTGTAGTTGCCAGAACTATGGGATTTTAATGATGAAAATAAGAGAGATTGTGTAAAAATAATGTTAACAAGACCCACTTTGTTTGAAAGACTGAAACATCTGCTTTATTGGTATTTTTTTCCCCTTAATTTGTTGAATATGGCCCAAAGTTGCCATTGCAATCAGTATCTTATACCCTTGTGGAAATGCTTTCTCATATAACATATGCATTCCTAATGACCTTTCACTGTTTTTCACGACATTTGTTGACCTACACATTTGATGTACCAGGTATTACAAAAATGCCTTTCAGTTGAATGTTCAAATCCTCATATTTGCTAAGCCTTCATGAATCGCTTACCCACAATGCAAAGTGTTTCTCAAACATATCAAAAATCTGTTTCAAAATATAAAATGTTTTTATATTTTTTTGTATAAGTATGCAAATAACTAAACAGTGAAACAGATACACCATAATTAAACTCAAAACATGCTACAAGTAATTAACAATGAAAAACGCAGATTGCTTGAAGTACAACAGATTTCTCCTTGCAATGTATACTTGGCCAGACATCAATAATAAACAGAATTTATAGTCATGATTGGCTAATTGAAAATGTACGATGTGTTATTGATTATTAAGTTTATCGTTCCATATTCTATTGATATAATCCATGATTAAGCAAAAGTATGTGTTACATTTATAATTACATGTTATTATAGTATGGCCTGTATCGCAATATGATTTGTATGTATATTATAATACACCACCTAATATGGACTGTCTTTAACCACACTAAAAGGAAATACGATTTATATGAGTACATGTATAAATAACATCCATCACATAAAATCTTATTTTAAAACCATCAATGAATATTAAAAATATAGAAAAGATCCTGTAGAAAGTTACCTGTTCAGTAGAATAGAAATTCTTATACCAAATGCAGTAGGGCATACTTCTATTTCATTAGCATTACAAACCTGAGGAAAATATTCTGAAATATCTGGTCAGTACTTTTATAGTTTGTCATCACACTCAGTAAGTTCTATCTTGGTGTTAATCACATCTGTATCATGAGTATCTGCAGGACATTTTTCAGTAAACTAAATGTTCAACCTGATAAAGCGTCTTTTACTTTACAGCACAGCAGAAAATATAGCAGTATTCATTTGGAGAAGTCTGTCCGAGCATCTGGATCCAGGGCTTTTATATGAAGTCAAAGTTTATGAAACTGGAAAGAATGTTGCATTTTATAGAGGAGAATATGTGTAACAAGTTCTTTAGAGAAAGTTAGAAAAAAAAAGAAGATATGCTAGAAATATCAAAAAGAACTGTCACATGGGTGAGATTTACTGGCAAGAGATTTATACGTTTTATTCATTGATGTCTTTGTTAACATTATGCTATTTTTTGCTTATCTGATTATCTGGTTTTGAATATTTTCCAATCTCATCAAAAGAGTCTCTTTAATTTTAGTTAGCTTTATGATATATAGATTTATTTTGACATTTTATATTGAATGTTCTAAATTTATGAATTATTTGAAGATGATATTTTTTGCATCCTATTACATTCCTCTAGATAATGATATTGATTAGGTCTAAATATTTATCATTTGTATGATTACCAATTTATTTATTGGATGCATGTCGGTCCCTTCAATAAAACTTGCTATAATCCAAACATCACAAGGAGAACTATTATACATGGATGTTTTTTTCCATTCAAAGCTGTTTTTTCTTTCCATAGATACTGTTGGAGTTATTTGTGACCAATGATTGTACAATGTCATATTCAAGTTATGATCTGGGTTTGTCAGAAATTATTGTGATATTAGCTGGAACATGATATTTTGAGATGTTCCCATTAATATAACTTGATGTTTGTGGAAAGTTGATGTGATATGAATTGGAACATCACAATTTGAGATGTTTCCCTTAATATCAATTATTATTTGTCAAAAGTTGACTTGATATTAAGTGGAACATGACATTTTGAGACTTTCCCCTTAATATATCTTATTGTTGGTCTGAAGGTTATGTGATATTCACTTAACATGGCATTTTGAGATGTTGGGTACGTGAGGACTTCTTTATCTTAAATCAGTATTTTATGATAGCACGTATGATAATAGAAAAATATGTTCTAAAAAGTATTTAGTTGCATACCGTCTTAAAAATGTTAAATATTGATTCTTCTATAGGTAATGATATTGATCGTGTTTTATCAGCATTTCTTGTGATCATTAAATGCTTGTCTCTGTATACTGGTACTCAGATCTATGTAGCCATGGATAGAGATCTTGTTTTAGTTAACTTATATATTTTGGTTTTTGGTTTTTCTCTAGCTTGTTGTGTGTATAACATTTCAGTTTTTGTTAGGAATAAAGAAATATTCTCTGATTGTTTGTTGTTTGTATTATATTTATTTTTAAAGCTGTAAAGCATCATGGAAATAATGATAAATTTTGTATCTCTGCATACATGTAACTAAAGGGTAATATTCAAGTGCAACAAGTCCAAGTATATTTATTACAATCTGTCTACCAGTTTCGCCCGCACATGTGGGCCTGAAGAAGCCCACATGTTCGGGCGAAACTGGTAGACAGATTGTAATAAATATGCTCTTCTGGTACCCTGGACTTGTTGCGATTGAATATTACCCTTTAGTTACCACTATCTCTCAATCGCCCTGCATACCTGGAGGTATATCCAAGCTAGGGACCACGGAACCTACAAACACTACGAAAAGAACAGCGTTGGCTCTATACCCCTACGGATCAGCATACATCTTGTATTTGCCATATCAGTATAAAAATTATTTGTGACATTTCACTAACTACTCTGTCACCTTCATCAGACTGTGTTAAGTGTATTATCACTATGATAAAGAAGGTGCTTTGCTTAGACGTTTCAGCGATAGACTAAACAACACGTTTCTTCTCAGCTCCATGTTTTTTTTTATTTCCAGAACGAGGCTGTCCTATAACCAATACAGGAGAGGATCTAAGAGAGATAACTCTTATGAGATTACAACTACTATAGATCATTACAACTCCCCTTTTGAAAATAGGTATTTTATCTTTAAAAGTTCAATTGTCATTGGAGGGAGCATATGATATATATGTAACTTGTATTTTGTGGTTAATTGACCATACTGAAACAAAATAGCTCGAAATTAAACTGCATGTTGATACATGTCTGAAACTTAATATTTCTTTGTTGTTTATAATATTGTCACAGTTTCTAAGTAATAGTGTATATCCAACCCTCTTGATTGAGAATTATATGTGGAACACAAGCAACAAATAAAATGTGATAATTTTGCAATTATGAGTGACCAAATTCACCAGAAGATAATGGACCAAAAATAGTTTTGATTTTGAACTCTTTACTGATGAATTTTATCAAGCATAACTACCAGGATCAGGATAGACTGTCCTGCCTGAGACCTAACATTAAAAAGGGGATTATTCTGCCCCTGTGCACTTCACATCTCATAATCTTTGAATCGTGCTGGCAGTTTCACACTTCTGCCGTATTTTGTCTTCATACTCGGAGAGTTTCCGGTGGGCATTGCTAGTGCTGTCGCCTTATGCGTTGGCGTGTCACTAGGTTTCGTAGTTGATTCTTGCTCCATGAAATCAGGAATGTCCTCTGTGTTTCTCCTGAATGTTTCCTCTCGTGACTGAATGATGTCTCGACGATTTCGACGAAACTTCTCACCATCAGGTGTCACTACTGTGTAGGACCTCGGGTATTCAGAGTGATTATAAATGTTTCCTGGAGTCCATTGTCCTCTGTGTTTAAAACGAATCTTATCTCCGTCATTTAATTCCGACAGGCGTTTGGCTCCAATATCAAAATATTTTTTCTGCTTTTGCTGCGATTTCTGTCTGGTTTTCTGAACGTGTTCTGAAGACACTACACGTGGTTGAAGTTTAAGTTGGGTAACTGGTAGCACAGATCTAAGCTCTCTGCTCATGAGTAGTTGTGCTGGTGATTCTGTATCCGTAGGCGAGTTCCTGTACTCGAGTAGAGCAAGATACGGATCTTGCCCATTAGCGTTGGTTTTCTCAAGGATGCGTTTCATGGTTTGTACAGATTTCTCTGCTAAGCCGTTCGCTTGAGCAAAATAGGGACTTGATGTTGTGTGTTTAAACTTCCACTTTGTCGCAAATGTTTTGAATTCGGATGAGGAATATTGTGGACCATTGTCGCTCCTCACTTCAAACGGTATTCCATGTCGTGCAAAGATAGATTTCAGGTGTGTTATTACTGTTACACTTTTAGTGTTCTCCAACTTTGCTACCTCAAAGTATCGGGAATAGTAATCAGTGACTATCAGGAAGTCTGACTGGTTCCATGAGAATAAGTCGGTTCCCACAACTTGCCACGGTCCACTTGGTACAGGTGTTGGCTTCAAAGGTTCTTTCTGATTGTTGTTCCTCATATCCATACAGGTACTACACCTTGATATCATGTCAGCAATATCAGTGTTCATGCCATGCCAATAAACAATACTTCTGGCTCTGAGTTTGGTTTTTTCTATACCAAAGTGACCTACATGAAGATCTGACAGTATTTCATCTTGGAGACTTTCCGGAATTACTATCCTTTCTCCTTTGAGCACTATGCCTTCGTTGATAGTTAGTTCATTTCTAAGTTTCCAAAACTCTTGTAGGTTTTTTGTTAGAACATTTTTATTTTCTGGCCAGCCATTCTCTATCAATGCCTTAACTTGACTGAGTTGTTCATCCTCGTCTGTTCGAGTGCGAATTTGATCCATTTTATTGACAGAGACAGGTAGACTGTTCAAAACAGTGTGTACATGACAATTGAGTTCTTCATCCATGTTCCCATCCTTGTTGGGAAGATATGCACGAGAAAGTGTGTCCGCTACTACTAATTCCTTGCCTGGCCTGTAGATTAGAGTGAAATCATAGCGTTGTAGACGTAGAAGCATTCTCTGTAACCTAGGTGGCGCTTGAGATAGGGGTTTCTTTAGTATGGCTTCCAACGGCTTGTGATCACTTTCTACAGTTAGTGCCTGCGATCCACAGGTGTAGTTGTTGAAGCGTTCTAAAGCAAAGGTAACTGCAAGAAGTTCCTTCTCTATTTGTGCATATCTTGACTCTGTGTCAGTCATTGCTCTAGAGGCAAATGCTATGGGCTTATTCCTCTGTAGAATTACAGCACCTAATCCGGATTTTGATGCATCTGCACTTACGGTGGTTGGTAATCTTGGGTCATAAAATGCTAGTACTGGCTCTTTTGACAATATGCCTAGTATTTGCTTGAAAGCGTCATCCTGACTTTTGTTCCACTGAAATGCGACATCCTTTCTGAGCAACTCTCGAATCGGCTGTGTGATGGTTGACATGTTTGGTATGAACTTGGCTAAGTAATTGACAGTTCCAAGTAGTCTCTCTACTCCTTTTTTGTCAACTGGTCGGGGCATCTCAGTAATTGCACTCAGTTTTTCTGGATCTGGTTTTACACCAGCGGCAGACAGTCTGTGACCTATATATGTGACCTCATTTTCGCTGAACCTGCATTTGTCCTTGTTCAAGGTGAGATTTATCTGTTCGCAACTACGCAACACACGATCGAGACGAGCATCGTGCTCCGCGTTATCCTTTCCAAACACAAGTATGTCGTCTATGTCCACTTCGACACCTTCAATGTCATCGAAATGTTGTGCTATACGCTTCTGAAAAACTTCTTGCGCACTCTTTATGCCAAACGGCATGCGTAGGTAACAGTACCTGCCGAAAGGTGTATTAAAGGTTGTCAAGAGTTGGCTAGGCTCATCTAGAGGGATTTGCCAATAACCACTGTTGGCATCGAGCTTAGTAAAGATTTTAGCACCTGACATTCGCGTTGTGATATCTTCAATTGTTGGTAACTCAAAATGTTCACGCTTTATGGCCTTGTTCAAATTCCTCGGGTCGAGGCACACTCTTAACTTGCCTGACTTGGGCTTTTCCACTAGCACTATGGAGCTGACCCAGTCAGTGGGTTCATCAACTTTTCTCACGACACCATTTTTCTCCATTTCGTTGAGTGTGATTTTTAATTTGTCGCGTAGATTTGCAGGGATTTTACGTGGTGGGTTTACAACCGGTGTTACACTTTTGTCAACTTTGATGGTGTATGGCTCCTTAAGGCAACCTAATCCTTTAAATATTTCCAGAAACTTGCTAGTAGGGTCCTGTTTATCCACTGACGGCTCAGTAACCTTTTCAGTCATCATGACCACTTTTACTAGCCCAAGGTCTTGACATGATTTGAATCCAAGTAATGGGACTGTGTCTTCCCTTGCGACGTAGAATTCAACGTTTTCATTTAGGCATTGGAGCCTACACTTCCCCTTTATGGGTATTTTGTTGCCAGTGTAGCTCGATAGTCGCGTTGCCGTGTCCGATAATTTGATTTTTGGTTCTACATTTAGACAGTTAAACAACTTGTCCGATATAATGTTGGCCTGGGAGCCCGTGTCTAATTTGAACCTGACATTTGTTCCATTGATGTTGAGATTTGCGAAAGCTTCATTAGTTCCAACCTCTGTTTTGTGATTATGTACTGCACCAATGAACAAGTCTTCGAATCCTTCCATGTCCACTGCCTCATTCGCGTGTACCACTTTAGTTTTACACTGTCGAGCGAAATGATTCATTCCCTTACATTTATCACATATTTGACCAAATGCTGGACATTTCCGATATCCGTGTTTAGTGCCACAACGTCCACACTGAAATAGTTTTTGTTTTACATGTTGTTTGCTGTGGTTGGAGTTGTCTCCCCTGACTGACTGTTTCTTGTTACCTCCCCTTGCACTATGTGGTCTATTTGTATAACGTTCCTTGGGGGGTCTGTTTTGTTTATCACGATGATTTTTGTGTACTGCGTTGACTTCTTCTGTGTTTAGATTTTTTAACATTTGTTGTGACTCCTCACTGGCTCTGCAAGCAGTTATGGCCCTTTCAAGTGTGAGTTGATTGTCTCTCAAAAGTCGTTCTTTCACCTTTTCTGAAAATACACCACAGACAATACGATCGCGTAACATTTCATCTTCCAGTGTACCAAATTTACAGTTTTTTGCAATAATGCGTAGTTCGGTCACGAATTCATCAATAGTTTCTGTTTTACCTTGTGTACGTGCGTAGAATCTGTGTCGCCACACAGTTATGTTTTCCCTCGGGGCACAGTGAGACTTAAATTTGTTTATTAAAACTTCAATTTTGTCTTTTTCTTCCTCTGTGAATGTGAAAGTGTTGTAAATTTCCCTTCCGTCTTGTCCTATTATGTATAGGAATGCACTACATTTTTCCTTTTCAGATTTATCTGACATCGCTATATCTAAATATAGTCGCATGGATTGTTCCCATTTTCTCCATTTTTGTGGGAGATTTCCCTCAGACGCCGAAAAGTCTAATTCTGGGGGTGGGCGGATATGTTCCATTATGTTGGATTGGGCTGATAATGTCTATTTGCCTGTATTTCGGTATTTTACCGGTCTGGGTAGGGGGTTTTGGTTTCTGGCGGGTAGCACGTGTTTTATACAGCGCACACTAGATGTCATCGATTCGACAGTTATTGACGAGTTAAGCGATATGACATACTATATTCATTCCGCCGATATCTGGTTGGATATGTTGCCTTACCAAATACCCATATTTCCATCAGTATCCCGCTGTCTGACACCATGCTTTGCTTAGACGTTTCAGCGATAGACTAAACAACACGTTTCTTCTCAGCTCCATGTTTTTTTTTATTTCCAGAACGAGGCTGTCCTATAACCAATACAGGAGAGGATCTAAGAGAGATAACTCTTACGAGATTACAACTACTATAGATCATTACAGAAGGTATTGAATTGACAGGGCTTTTCCTTGTAATGACCTTATATAGATATGTATAAAAAGGTGGAAAATAATGACAAAATGGCGATAAGATTATACTGAAAAGAGATTGAATGGGTAGTGTTTTATATGTATATGAGGTGGTCGTAGTCTGTACAATCCCAAGAAAGTTGATATAGCTAGGCTTTGACCTTCTGCTTAAAAAGGTTGTTTTCTCTGTCCAACTGTGGAATTGTCCCAGACATTAATATGGTGTGTCATGACATTTTGGCACTGATTTGTTGCTCTGTGACTGATTGTTTTCGCTCTGATCTGGAGGTGACACATTATTAGTGTATTTCAAACATAATTCATAAAGTTGCAAGTGAAGTGTTAATAAGATATATATGTATTTTATTCCTGTGACCATGAAAATAAGGCCAAGGTCATTCGTATAATTTGAATTGAGGATTTAGGTCACAGTTGCAAATATCAGCCACATTGAGATAAACACCCTGCAACCTTAGCAGAATGATTCATTGCCATTGGATTTCATTTAAATTTTTTACTGATGTTGTTGAAAAATCTTCTTTCATCTCATCTATTTGGGATAACTTTCACATATTTAGCACCTTTTAACACCTTCCCAGATCTTTGATTTGATCAGACACTTTTGTAATTGCCACTCTGTTGTATGTATACAACTTTTGATGCTGAACAGATCAAAAACTTGTCAACATGTATAGAGATCCCTTTGTTGATGGGCAAAGGTAATGGGTTATGCTGATTTTTATTTGTTTGTCATGTTAAATGATTGTTAACTGATAGCATAAATAGGGGGCTTGTAGCTGTTGTAATATTTTGTTATTTGTTTTTTTTAATTTTCAGACCAACATGTTGCAGTTGAAAACTTAGCTGTTAGAAAATCAAAATTTAGAAGTTTGAATGCTTTGATTTTATAAACCAACTCCTTTTCATCTCTTTACTTCCTACAATTTAGATAATTGCATCCATTTTTGTAGGGGAAATATTTCTAGCAAATTACCATTTTCTCCGGAATTATGGACAATATTACCGCTCGAAAATTAGCTTTTGATTGTAAACTTCCGGTTGAAAATGTTTTCTGCTTTCGCAGCAGAAAGTTTAAAAATAGAAATGGTGTAAGGTGTACCTAGTTTATCTTAAAACCCCGGCCTGCGGTCAGTACCTTAATGTATTGAATAAATATCGGCGTTGTAGGACGTGAACCAGCTGTACAAGGTTGGCTAGGGGCGTATACTCTACTTACATTGTACCGGCAGACGATACTGAGTACGGGTAAGTAGAGCGCCTGTGATCTAAACGAAGGGTACAATGTATGTTTATTCATGATTACCCATTGACTAGCATTCTTGAGAAAAGTTCATTTTGTAAATGAAGATGATGTGATGATTAAGTGTTCCCGCACATTTATCTTTGAGGACTAGCTCAACACTTCGTAATGATTGTGTCGTCTACGAAATTCTCCTCTTGTTATCCACATAACGGTAGTCTGCTAACGCTGACGATAAACGCAGGCTTCAACTTTCGGAACCTGTGATTATTTTAAGTTTAATCGGACTATTATAATATCAACCTGTAACCTATGACCATAAAGCGATGTTACTATATGTAGCTTCATACTGATGATATATTTAATATAACTTATCTCGTGCGTGCAGACACTGTTTAACGTTTGTCACAGTTACTTCTGTAAAACCCAATACCTACCGGCCCAGCTTACCTACCTCTCGCAGTGAATTTCCTTTCCTATCATCCATATCCCTTAAGGCACAAAGTTTAAAATGATCCCAAATACTAATTCGGCCAATAAGTAACCTCATAAAAAGTCTATTTATTAACCATTTAGTAAACTCCTACTAAAACCTCCAACCTCTTTCAATACGAACTTCACAATAAAAAGATTTAATCATCGGAAAATGTTGAAAAGTGAACAGCAACATGGAGAAAGGAACAGTGTGGATTTAAATAAAGTATAGACATTGATAAAGCGGGAGTATATAGAATGGCAGATAGAATTATACCTGTATGGAAACCAAAAACAGATCACCACCAGCACCTTACTAACAACTAGCTCAAAGTCCATTGGATGGGACTTAAAATGGTGACCCATGTGAGAATGTCCAACTTGTACGATAAAGTTCCCTCTGCGGCTTTTTGAAAAAGAGCAGGTGTGATAATGCGGGTCAAGAGGTTAGAGTTAGGTTAATAGCAATAGGGATTATTTATTAAGTAATTTTGATGGAATTCCCAAATACTTTCCACATATCAGAATTTATCTAGTGTAGGACCCCTTGCTCTGCTACTCTGTCCTTTACCGGTCCTCTTGTTGGGATATAATAATATAATAATATACAACATTTATATAGTGAATATCTATTTTGACAAAATACTCTATTGGGCTTCACAATTACATAATAATCTTACTACAAAATTTACAGAACATGTATAACACAGTAATCAACATATGTAGAATGTGTAACACAGTAACCAAATCAAGTGCTTAGAGTTAGGCTAGGTCTACAATTAGGCTTGGTTTAAGAAACATTGACCGCCCCTCTCTCCCTTATCTCTGTATCCCAATCTTTCCCATTGCTTCCTATTTTTCCCCTTCTACTCATTTTCTCTTATATATTAAAGGACTAAACCTGTTAGAAAAAATAAATAAACTTCAATAATTCACTGTGTGTGTAGGCACTGCTTCATGTTTTGTCACATGCACAGAAAGTGCACATGCATTTGAGTAGTCTATGCATTTGAGTAGTCTTTAGTTATTTTATCCTTTCATTTTCATTCATAGGATTACTGCCTGAAAAATGCCAAAGCAAAAATCAAAGAAGAACAACCGTCATGTGCCTTATGCTGTTGGTTTCAAACCACCCCCTGAACAGGCAAAGATCAAAGCAATTGGATCTTGTCCAATAGTTCCAGAATTAGATCCACAGTCCTCTGATGGTTTTGAATTTTTTCCTCCCATTCCCCAGCCAACAAGCATTGATGACTGGCTTGCCCAGTATAACGAGGAAGGACAGTCGTATTGGGATTATCTTAAACAAAGTCCTTGGCTTTCAAAGAGAAAGTTGAAGTACATGCCACAATTATTTGTGCACAATGGAAGAACTATTTTGGAGAAATATCCAAATGGTAAAATATACCTGCTGCCTCTTGGTGACTTTACTGGTGAAAATTGTGTTAAGTTTAAATACTTGATTGAATTTTCTCAGATCTACTTGGGTATACCTGTGGTTGAATTACCAGGAATTGCCCTTGAAGAAGAAAATCATAAAATTTTCTGGACAGAAAATCCTGAAGATCGACCAATATATGGCAAGAGGTCAAGTGCTCGAAAAAGAAAATTTGAAATAAATTCCAGATTCCATCCAGCAACAAAACGTATACAATTGAAAATGGATGAGACATTATTGCGTTTGAAGAGCCTTATCCCAGCAGATGCTATCTGCATGGTTGGCCTGACAATGTATGATCTCTACGGAGATGACACAGACCTTTTTGTAGCAGGAATGGCAGCTGGGAATCATCGCGTTGCAGTGTTCAGTTTCAATAGGTATGACCCAGCTCTTACTTTTTCCATTGAAAAGTGGTATGACATCACTTGTAACAGCTCCATGAGTTCTAGTGAACGAAGAAAACTGATTTTGCAACGAAGCTGTAAGCTGTTGGTTCATGAAATTGGACATCTGCTGGGCATCGATCACTGTATATATTATGACTGCTGTATGAATGGATCGGGCCACTTGACTGAGGACTTCAGACAACCCATGCACTTGTGTCCTGTTGATCTTCACAAGCTGCATACACTAGTGGGATTTGATGTTGTCAGCAGGTATCAAGCTCTCGCTAAGTTCTACATGGATCACAAAATGGATGAAGAACATAATTGGGTAATTAAGAGGATTGAATTCATCTTGAACCAATCAAAAACATGATGATATCGACCATACCTCAACATGGTTTAATATGACTTCATACAACTGGGTAGCCCTGTGGTCATTACTCTAATTTTTTTATGGGTCTAGCATAAAAAGTGTCAACAAATTACAAGAAGTTAGCAACATCAAAAGATATGTTTTTATGATCATAATACACCTTTGTACTAAGTTTCATGTTGATATTTGTAAAATTAGTTGAGTACAGGAGATTTTAAATTCCCTCCCTGTCATTTCTTGACACTTTTTAGATAGACCATATTGAATTATTTGTCTTCAGGTCTTCATTTAATTCGTGTATCGGCTGTGTTTTATAATATTTTCTGTATATTGTTGATGCTGATGGCAATTACATATGTTTTAATCATAATTGATTATGTATCAGACTGTGATAATCAGATTTTGCAATTTTATTTATGTATCAACTTATTTATTGCAATTGTTATGTTTTTCTATAGAATTTATTGTAATTGTTATTTTTTTCTAAAGAATATATTTTAAGGGAAATTTTTTTTTCTACAACCAATTGACCATAAAGATACATGTACGACACTATAATGTTCATACTAAACTATGACCTTGATCATACAAAAGTGTGACTTTGATCATACAAATATTTGACCATGATCACACAAAATTGTGGCCTTAATCACGAAAAACAGAAAGGTTGATCATGTAAAACTGACCTTGATCATACAAAGCTGTGATTGACCTTGGTCACACCAAACCAAACTTGACCATATGCAGGCTGATAAATGTTACCTCACACCAGGTCTACTATATGCATGTACACAAGTTTCATTACAGTTGTCAAGAACATGTGTTATTAAAGGTAGACTTGAGTTTCTGTGTTTCCATGTTTTATGCAATGTATCAAGGAGTACTAAATGATTTAGACTACAAATATGTTTGGAATAAAGATTAACTACATTTGAACATGTTGATTAAAAGCTGAAATCTAATTAAGGGTGTAAGCTACATTAATGCAACATGGACTGAAGACAAAAGAAGCAAACTTACTATGAAATGCATCTCCATTCCAAAAAAGTTCCTAAATTGTATGTCATCAAAATAAATCATTGAAATAATTGCATTAAATATCTTCTGTTTAATCAATGGTACATAACATTAAGATTTTGATTGAGTTACCGATTTATCAATACATAACTGCATCTAATTTTACAACTACCAAATCTTAGACTATCATAGAAAGCACATTGTACACTGTTGATATTGAATGAAACCCAACAAAAGGGGGAGTATATTGAGCTTTTTCTCAACAGCATTTAAGCAGTGACAACATTAAGTACCACTACAACAACGACTTTCAAATTCAAGCTTTTGACACCAGTAACATTTGCTCATACAATTGACTACTTTATGTGATTTCTCTGTTAATCCTCATCTTTACTTCTAATGAAAATGAATGTATTATGCGGGAGGTAGTATTCATCTATCATTAACAATAATTCTATACAGAACACAGGCTGTAGTGTATCAGTAACTTTAGTACTATACAGAACACAGGCTTTAGTGTGTGAGGTAGCAGATATATATATATCAGTAACTTTAGTACTATACAGAACACAGGCTGTAGTGTGTGAGGTAGCAGATATATATATATCAGTAACTTTATTACTATACAGAACAGACTGTAGTGTGTGTGGTAGCAGATATATATATATCAGTAACTTTAGTACTATACAGAACACAGACTGTAGTGTGTGAGGTAGCAGATATATATATATCAGTAACTTTAGTACTATACAGAACACAGGCTGTAGTGTGTGAGGTAGCAGATATATATATCAGTAACTATAGTACTATATAGAACACAGGCTGTAGTGTGTGAGGTAGCAGATATATATATCAGTAAATGGATAATGTGGGAGGTAGCCTTAACTTTTGCTTTTACACAGACTATACAGAACATACTGGTAATCCTCAAATTCATAAAGTAGCTGCAAGAAATTTGAAAAAAATAACAGAATACTGGAGTCAGTTGTATTGATGAGGTTTGTGAGGTCCTTCTGGTAAAATGGAAAACAAATGCTAATTTCTTTATATCACATTTATTTTTTGCATGAAAATAATATTGAGAAAATGTGACAGTGCGTTTGTCACATTCATATATATACACACTTATGTATTTTATAGAAATGCATAAAAAATATAAACAAATATACTACAATGGTAAAGGACGGTTTTTAATGCACAACTTTTGTATTTTAAAAAAACCAGTTGAAACACAGCACATTTTTAATCTTTAACATATTTAAGATCATTGTAACAGAAATAAATAATAAAATATCAACAAATATTTAAATGGTAGAAAAGGATGGTTCCTAATGCATGTATTCAGCAGTTTTGTTAGAGAATTATAATATCACAGACTTTGCAAATTCCTTGCATTGGATCTATAATAAGCAGAAACCAAACAAATATTGAAGAATTTATGCAAACTATTTTATATACATAGGGAACTATTTTGCATACATTGGGTCTTAAAAGTTTTAAAGACACATAGTCTGAATGGTTATTTCAATAGGTAAAAACCATTTAAAGTTTATGGAGCGGTTCCCTATGACAAGTAGCTAAGTCTCTCTAGAGAGTGTTCTCACAAGTCACTTTTTTTTTCTTCTTTTGTAACGCTCAAAACAATATCTCTTGATTATTAGATTACTACTTCTGTTGGTGGGTTGTACACAGACTGATTTATTTTTAAATATTTCATTTAAATCCTAAAATTCCATTTTGATATCATTTTCATATAACTTCTTACAAGGAAATTGAAAATAGAATCATGCTCTGAATATTTTACATTCATTTACTCTTTTCAACTGGTTACAAAATATTTGTCCACTTCCCATGTACTTGTATATGTTGTACCAGACATGCTATCCTGGACAAGAGAAAACAAGGCTCTGAACTTTAGTTCATTTATAATGCTTAGCAAGGGTATTGAAATGGATAAGCCATAATATTGGTTACAAATCAAGGTAATGACAGTACATGCACATAGGTATTCAGCATTCTTTCTGTAAAACTCCAAAACAATTACTGATGTTTACAAAATACTGTGCATGTTTATCTAATGAGTAAACAACAAACATGTTCATAATTTTAGATATACATGTACAGGATATTAATACATATTTACCAGTATCCTACCTGTAAGTGAGAAAGATTCCATCTTTCTTTTGAATGATGTAATGGAAATGTTTGACTACCTGTGATGTCAGCTATTACAAACATCTAGGAGACTGACAATTTTCTAGTCAGAAACCACTTACATTATTCAAATTTAAGAGCACAAACAAAACCTTTTAGTACTTTGCAGCACAAATGAAATAAAATTCAATGGAAAACCATTGATAGTTTGTGAAGACATTTTCAGGCAGAAAAAAAATGAAATGTAGTGAATTGTTGAGAATGTTGATTAAACAGGAATTGATAACAAAAGATAACCAGAAATTCACAAACAAAAAATACTGCTTTGGAAAAATGATTATCCTTCCAATAAATTACATTATGAAAGAAAAAAGCAGGTTTTTGTTTTCAATTAAATATTTCTCTTAACATACCAACAAATTGTACAAAAGAAATTTGGAATCAGGAATGGAGTATGTAACAAATCTTAAAAGGAGATGAAAATGAAATGAGCTTAATCATACAATCTTCTGGAAATCTGTAATCTAGTATGCCTAATTAAATCATATTCATTATACTTTCTGCTTACATTTTGTTTTAACAGATTGGCAGAAATAATCTATGTAAATATCACAAATTTGGATATAAAATATATTCAAATTTACACACAACCCAACAAAGATGTGAGTTAATGGTTGGTTAAGCTAACTGCTGGCTGATAAACAAGAAATATCCAAAACAATTTAACAAAGTATAATCTGGAATGTTTTTCCGCATCTTTGGTCTGATTACGCATCACCTAAATAGCCAGTGGTGTATATCTGCCATTTTAAAAAATTCGAACAATCTCTTGAGTTCTGGTTCTGAGATTTATTTGACCTTAATTATATGTTCAGGTCAACAGTCATCTATATCTTTTGGTTTTTCGAGATAACTGTGCAATTAGCTGGGGCTATCCATCTTTTATATGCCCTGATTCTTCAAGAATAAGTTTGACCTATATATTGTGTGTTCAGGTTGATGGTGCAACCACACCTTGGCTGTTCTGAGATAACCTTGACCTTATTTGTGTATTTATATCAAAGGTCATCAAAGTCAAGTCTAAAACATTGACCTATTTATGACTTTTCCTTGATGATACAACCATTCCAATACCTGGTTTTTTCTTTTTTCTATCAAACAGTACCAAATATGATCAATTGAAAACTATCTCTGACACTTGTATGATGGTGACGAGTCTGACACTTGTATGATCACTTGTGTGATGGTGACAACTCTGACACTTGTATGATGGCGGCGACTCTGACACTTGTATGATGGCGACAACTCTGACACTTGTATGTAGAGGACAACAACTACTTGACTTTAGCTGTACTAGGTGGTGTAATTGGGTCAAGCTGAGCTGTCTTGACCTTCATAGGCACAGCCTGTTTCATCATGGCCTCATATTTGAGAGCATTTTGTTTACGTTCCTCTTGCAGCCAGTACAACATCTCAATCCTATCCCACTTCATCTTTTCTTCATATGACCGTCCCTGAAAAGGACAGGAATCAAAGCATGCATGATCTGGAGTGTAGTGGTATCAACAAATCCAGCAATCATAGATAAAATACATGAAATACCATTCCACCACCCACAATATCCTAAAATTTTTTTATTCTATATCAACAGCATCCTTTGAAATATACATTGGGACTAGGTAAATCCTAGAGAGGTAGTTATTGGAAAACAAATTAAATTCATGTAGTGAATATATTCAAGGGATAAAGAAATGCGGTATAGAGATGAGATTCTCTGACCCCATGTTGTCCCATTATTGCAGCAAAACTACCTCACATTCCGGTAGGATAATGCTTGACCCCATGTAGCGAGGATCTGTTGCGACTTTCTCACTAACAACAATATCCACCCACTGAACTGGCTGCCATACAGCCTCGACCTATCCCCTATTGAGCACTTGTGTGACCAGCTGGAAAAACAGGTTTGATAATGCCAGCCTCTCCCTGTTACTCTGGCCCAACTGAGTGCAGCCCTCTTGGAAGAACGGGCCAACATCCCAATGAGGAGGATAAACTCACTCATGAACCCCATGCCTAGGAGAATCAGGGCTGTGGAAAGAGTAAATAGGGGAAGCTCCCACAATCAGTCCATTTTGGTTTCTGATTACAGAGTTCTCTTTCAATTCCCTTCAATTACTCCTAAATCACTTACCAATTAAAAACCGTTGATTTTGCAGTTTGTTCTATATGGATAAATCTTCATGTTTACTTAAAAATATCGAACATTATGCTCGACATCTTGCCTAGAATCATCTTCAAAGTTTACCCTGCATTTCTTTATCCCTTGAGTATAGTTTAATTTTCACATTTTTGAACAAACAATTAAATAAAAATGTCTTCTCATAAAAGTAAGGAAGAATTGCAGAAGTCAGCAGAAATTTGAAACAGTATCAAATCAATAAGACCTTACCTTGTATGTGATGATATCTTGAAAGTGTTGCGTCATATAATCTATCTCAATTTTTATCTCTCGGTCATAATAATCAATTCTCTGTGAAAGAAAGAATTATCACTTAGTACAAGCTGAAGAAAAATTTGATAGTTATTCCTAAATTTGGAAACTTGACTTAAAAAACAAAGTCTCACTGGCCTTGATGGCTATCTGACTAACTATGAAGAAACAGGTGTACATGTACCTGCAGTATCACATGATTTTACAGAAGCAATACAGTGTAATGTGCATCAAAATGTATCCAGACTCAGAAATTTCACAGTTTAACTGCCTTGACACAAGGATGGCTAGTTAACAGATGTCAAATATATACCTGGTCATTTTCTTATATACACTATAGTCAATTTCACCCCCTCCCCAGTGGGGAACTAGATGCAGGGCAACTTGGAACTTCACAATATTGGTTAAGCCCTTGATCGCTGTGAAAGAATTTTAGTTCTGACATTTCTAATCATTGGGAACAGGTGTCTTTTTTTTGGGCCCCTAATGGCCCCTTCCCTGGCTTCCTAGAAGTCCAGATTTATCAATTTCACAAACTACTTTGCCCAAAATAATGTTTGGAGCCAAATATGATTAAAATTAGTCTACTAGTTTTCAAGATGTTGAAAAATGTGAAGAATTAAGTTTACATTCAGTGAACGGAACACACTGATGATTTCTTATCCTGACCCTTTGAGTCAGATGATCTTAACATGCATTTAATGTGTATATATCTAAATGATATAAGTTGATGAAATTTGATCCTGTTTGCAAAGTGTTTCAGTCTCATCGTCATATTTTGATGAGATAGCAAAACATCCTTGTGACCCAAATCTATTGTCATTTATGAATGGACGTTTAGGTAAGATTTTCATAATCAAGAGAGATAGCTACACAACAATATGTGGGTTTATACTTAGTTTGTACCAGTGTGTGGTGAGATCGACTGCTGCTGATGATGAATGTTTTATATCTGGACTATATATGGCATGCACTGTAAGGAACTAGTAATTATGTGGGAACATTAAACAAGACAGATTATCAATGACAGGTGCTTGATTAAGTTATACATTACACACCATCTGGGACCTAGTTTTTATGATATACTCATACATCAGCTCTCCATTGCACTGACACAATTATTTTATCACATATTTTTTTCATCTTTTTTACAGTCTCTACCAGTAGGTTTTATTCTGTAGTGTATGAACACGTAATTCAGTTAATACTGTCAATAGTTATCAGATGTTTCTGTTATGGGGATTGCTACAATCTTAAATGAATATATCAACTTGTTATTCAGCCAATGCTATCCTTAATATTCTAGTCTATAACAACCTGGTGCCTATCACACTGTAATAGTGTAAACAGATTAACAAGAGTCTGGCTGAACAAGTCTAATGATATCCGAGTGCCAAACAATAGAGTGAGTTGTCTTGATCCAACTGGCCAAATGAGTAAGTTACATTGGGTAGTCTAAATGATGATTAATGCCCCTATGTCAGCAACTCTCACTTGAATATTAACTTATCTGAGAAATACTCCAGACAATGATCGTGTGTTTTTATTGATATAAAAGCTTTAGAAGTTCACTCTTTGTAAAAAAGTCTTTATTTATGATCAATTGCCAAACCAAAGTTGGAAAATCCTTTACATGTTTATGTGAGAGTTCCCTATTTACCATAAACATGTATACTACACAGCAAGACCTGGAATAACTACACACCTGCATTCTTCCTACGATATGACGACACAAGTGTACAGCACATGCAACTTAACACTTTACCTGTAAAGGCATCTACTACACCTGTAAATTTCAATATGCAGATTGGTCACATCTATTTCTTTTGTGTCGGCCTTGTGAACTTCATATAACATCGGTTTGAATGTTAAATGGGACCCTCTATTATTAATTTGTATTTGTATCGATATCCTGACAAAGTGTTTCTTTATAGACACTACTCAGCTAAAGTATTTTTTAATCTTATCTTTGCATAATTACCACTAGAATGTTTTCTCCAAAATTTTCTGAATCTTGTAAATTTGCCAAATGATGCCATATTAGGGGTTTAAACCCAGGATATCCACCAATTTGTTAACATTGAAAAGGGTTGACTACAACAAGAATGTTTAAGATACCTACCTGAAGGTGGTACTTGTCTTACCATAGAGAGAATGTTTGAGATGCACACCATAAGATGGTACTTGCTTTACAATGGAGAGAAGGTTTCAGAAACACACTTTAAGATGGTACTTGCTTTACAATGGAGAGAAGGTTTCAGAAACATACCTTAAGATGGTACTTGCTTTACAATGGAGAGAAGGTTTCAGAAACACACTTTAAGATGGTACTTGTCTTACAATAGAGAGGTTTCAGTAACACACTTTAAGATGGTACTTGCTTTACAATGGAGAGAAGGTTTCAGAAACATACTTAAATATGGTACTCCCCTTACAATGGAGAGAATGTTACAGAAACACACCTTAAGATGGTACTTGCCTAACCATGGAGAGAGGGTTTCAGAAACATACCTTAAGATGGTACTTGCCTAACCATGGAGAGAGGGTTTCAGAAACATACCTTAAGATGGTACTTGCCTAACCATGGAGAGAGGGTTTCAGAATGTTTCAGATACCTATCATAAGATTGTTCCTGACTACAAGATAGCTAGGCTATGTACTCTCCTTACAATGGGGAGAGGGTTTCAGAAATATACCTTAAGATGGTACTTTCCTATAAGTTGGTACTTGCCTTATAATAAAAACTGCGCTGTTTGGCTTCCTGTAGCCTTTTTACTGAACTCCTTTTGCTACCTAAATGGAAAAATAAAATTAAGAATTAAGACAACTTGTGATTACACCAGAAATATACTTCGGTGTCATTCTTGCATTACTGTGAACCACTTCAGTATAACCATTGATACATAAAGTTTTCTTCCATGTGTATGGCAGATACAAAAAAAAAAAAAAAAAAAAATACACCTCTAATTAAGGACAAAAGAGCTTTCTTAAAATATCTTTGATCAGGAGGATTTACTATTTTTTAGCAGCTTTCAACACATGGAAAGGTTTAAAAGCCATTTCTTCTCTGCTACCATTACTTCATTAATAATATACATGTATACAAATTCTATCTATCTTGCCAGATATACCTTTCTCAAAGAATCTGTTGGGGTCAGAAGCGTTTCGTTCAAACTTTTCTAGTTTTGCCAATAAATCTTCCCTCTTCAAAATGAATTCTGTCACTTTCTCCCATCGGTCAATCACCTGCAATATACAGACAAAAACCCCAAACTATTTTTTTCTGTTTCACAATTGATATAAACAGGACTTAATTCATGTATCAGTTATACTAGAAAGATTAAGCTCAGCATGTTTGAAATCCTGGGAATGTGGCCTGGAACATTTTCAGATTTAAACAAAATCTGTTTAATCTTATTTAAAAGTCTTTGACAAAAATTGATCCTATGATTTGGTACAACAAATGGAAAGTAAAAAGCAGCTTTACAGTTAGTTATGTTTGTTCTGCTAAATGAATTATGTACATCAATTATGTATCAAAATAACAAAGAAACAATCTATTTTGTCTCATAATGGATGTATACTATACCTCGAAGAGACGTGAGTAAAACTCATTACAGCTATATTTTATTGCCATGTCGAGTCGGTGGGAATCTGGCATTTCCAAGGATTTCCAAACCTTTTCCAGTCGATCCTGAGGCGTGAGAGGCATTTCCACACCAGCACTCTGTATGTAATACACAAACAGATAGTCAACTTACACAAAAATAGACTGCTTTCAAAAAGAATGAAATTAAAGATAAAAAACAACAAAGTTTCAAATGTAAGTATGGAAATTAAAGGAGATTATTTTTTTATTTTGTTTTAGTTTTTTATACAATTATACTTCCAAAAGAAGTCCTTTCCAAATTTAAAACAGGGCACTATACAAAATTTCAAGAAAATAAGGAGCAGGTATTCCATACATATCAAAAGATCATTATCTCCGATACAACAAACTTCAAGATTATTACAAGAGATTGTACAATAAATTTGTTTTCATGCAAATTCATACCAAAGAAATATTTGCCATAAATGGACATCTTCCAAACTATTAGAGGATTAAGTTAAAAAATAAAGGTTTCTCATGCAGGAAAATTTCAGACAAGTCTACCTCTTCTGACCGCTCTGTATCCATCTTGCTCATTGTTCCTGTCACAGATGTAACCTTTGACTGCCGTGACTGTCTGGATTGTATGAAGTCCCTGTGAGAGAAAAAAGTAATTTAATGAGGTAGCAACTTGTGAAAACATATTATATTCTATTTAGAAGAATAACATCAATCCTAACCAACAGAAAACCAAATTAAATTGGAAAAGATGTACAAAATCCCAACAGCAATTCCATTCTACATCTCAATGAGCACATACTTTTGATACAGTGTACAAGTTAGTATGTCAACTGACATCGACATGCTATGTCAAATAATTTTATGTCACGTACTCAGGATATCATACCACAGAAAATTATTTCAATTTCAGTTACCATACCAACAACTAGTTTGTACCTTGTTGAAGTCTTCTCCTGTAGGCGAGCAGAGTGACGGGCTGCGGCACGTTCATGCAAGGTCTTGGCTGACTTAGATGTATCTGCAGACTTCTGTCTCTTGGATGAAGCATCGTCATCATCTTTTGACGTAAAAAGAAAACAAAAATTTATAAAATAAAGCTTGAAAACATGGAAAATTAATCACAAACACATACTTCAAGTATAATTTTTTTTCGTTTAAATTTGTTTAACGTTATTTTTAAAGATCAGATTCTTTTCAATATTTCTGAAACTCCCAGTTGTATCAAGCTAACTTTCTTAATGAAACAATCAAATAACATTGTTTTTGCATATTTTCATTTTGAATTGAATAACTGAAATAGAAAATACAATAATGATATTAAAACATTTAAAAAAAAATGGATTTAAGAAAAATACTAGATATATTTCTAAATATCAGTAAAAAAATATAAAAATCTGGAATACAAGGGATATGGCAAATATATTTGATAAGCTGAGACTTTCAAACTGAAAAATATTGATATTTTACCATCAATAATAGCAGGGTCCTTCCCTAAGCCACCCATCAGAATGGTGTTTACATTCCACATCCCTTCTTCATATTTATTCTTCACTTCCTTTAGTTCATTCAGTTTCTTCTCTCGTTCTCTGTTGAAAAAAAATGACAAAGAATAATGCAAAAGTTTTTTATTCCAAACATTTTAGCAACATAACATGTATAGTGTCATATTTAAAAAATGCATTTGAGAAATTCTTACTTCTAATCACCTCGATACATTATTGCTAGCTATAAATGTATTAGGATTTGAAATGTTTGTTTGAGCAAATGTCAAAGGATTTACGGATGAAAATGGATATCTTGATTATTGTAACAAGCACAATTTTTGTTATTTGAAATCAAAATCCCCTGGCATATTTTGATCAAATATAAAAAAAGAATTAACATTAAGGAAATATTTAAAAAAAATAAGCAACAAAAAAGATTACCATAGCAACGAAATACACAACATACATACCATTTACCCTTCAGAAGCATTTTGTTTTAATGAATTAAAATACTAAGAATCTAATGCAGGGTTTTTCCTGGGACCCTCAAATCTTATGAATGTATGAGTCCAGGTACTCAAATCATACATAGTAATGAGTAAAACCCTATAAATTTTGAGGGTCCTTTGTCAATTCAACAAGTCGGGGAAAATACTGCCAATTTTTTTTAAAACATTATATTTGAAATATACATTATTTCAGTAATCTTAATGAACCTTCACTCATAATTATAGAAAACTACTCTAAATTTTTCACAAGCAGATACATTTCATAATTTCATTTCACTTCTTAAGTGTTAAACACAATGCCAACCAGGAGTTCCTGTACTCACAATTTTAAGTACATAGCTTGCTTTGTATGGCTCTATAAGTTTGTATTGTATAGCTTTAACTATCTGTGAAAGACAAACCTTATTACATAGTTTTTATTTCAGAAAATTCACAATAAAAATTTGAATAAAAGTTTGGATTAAGTTTACAACATAAAGAACAAATAAAAAAAGAATGACAAATATTCTGTCACATAACACAGAGAGAATATTTGTTGAGTAACCAGGTATGTGATTGTGACAGTAGCTGATGATAAAATTTTACATTTTTGGTAAGCTGAAAAAAAAACCCACAAAGTACTAGGGAACAGTAATACAAGATGAACATGCCAGAAAAGTGGAAATAGTTACTGGATATAGAAACACCCCCTAAAAAACATTAAAAAAACATTATGCAACAATTTTTAAGTTAACCATCCACAAGTATTAGATATCACAGCAGAACATTCCATACAAAATGACAATATGCATATTACTGAACATATAGGCACCAATCCTATCTGAGGTTAAGGCTGATTTTTATAATGTAAAAACAACACAATGAAAATGATTCATCCATGTAAAGTCACTCATGCAGAACGGAGTTGTCTCTCTTATTATAAATCAAATCAGAAATATAGCATTTGAATACATGGGTGTTTTATATTGAGTGAAATCTGAATATGTGTCTCTTAACTTGAAGCTTCTAGATCACAAAACCACGGGGTGAAATTTAAGAATGTGGAACTACTTGAAGCTTACAGACCACAAACCAAAAGATGAACTTCATGAATGTTTTATTGTAACTATGTAATCAATGTATTATCATAATGAACAGTGATTTTTTAATGTCAGCACTACATTGCCTAGTAAATACAGATGAAGATAAAAAGATGATGATGACGCAGCAGATTAGCACTGGATCTATGTAAAAGAAACTACTACCAGTACTTACACTTCACCCTTCTGTCGTTTCCTGTAAGTAACACATGGTGTGGTTCTTAACCCTTAACAGATCTTTTTAAACAAATATTTTTTTATCTAATTTCCTTATAGGATGAAAAAAAAAAAAAAAAAACAAAGCTCAAGACAATAGTAAAAAACACAACATGCTATTAATATATTGGAGAAAAACATCAGACAAATTTCAATGTGCTGGTGTCCTGTAATCAACTTTTTATATGCTATCTACTCAATGATATGGATAAAACTTCCCTAAAGAACCTGTGTACATGGAAATGTTATTGAGATGTAATTCATCATTGATTTGGGCTGGAAATAGGTATGGTAGGTCACATTTTTTTGATGAAATTAGACACTGATTAAGGTTGAATTGCAGAAAAGGATTTAATTTCATAAGTCAACCAGAGAATCAATTTTTTGTAGGCATGTCAACTACCAGGCCTGATCTCTTCAAAAATCAAATGAAAAGTCACTTAATTGGGAAAAATGATTGTTTCTTTAATGAAAAAATACTAATTTTTCATACTGCAGTATACATTCTGAGAGAAATTACTTAAAGTCAAAGTAGAAAAAAATCTTAATTATATACACAAGTCATGTCCTGATACACTGCAAAGCTTCAACTTACTGATTTTTAAAAAGACCTTTAAAAGCAGCATGCATTTAATTCCATGAAACAAAAATGAAAACGATCAATTAAGGAAAAGTTAAAAAAGATATAATTAATAGGTTAACATCTTTCCTACCTCATTTCTGACACTTTGCTAGAGTGTGGTTTGGGGACTTTGGGAGCGTTGACATGGTTTATAAGGGTTGGCTGTTGAATGGACTGTGTGTACATTGATATCTGTGGACCAGCTGACTCTTCATCATCATCATCATCTTCATCGTCAGAATCAAAAAAGTGGAATGTTGCACCAAGATAGTCATTTTCCTAAAACAAATTTTGTTTTAAAATCAAGGATACAGCATTTATTTTTTTTATTTTATATGATAAAGAAAAAAAAACACATACTTAATTGCACTTTTCAATTTTTAGTTTTGCATTACCAGTATAATTACAAATGCAATTCAAGAAGGGCTATATTTATATTGTTAAGGGTTTAAACAAGAGACAGTATATATTTGTTATATTCAGGGATCTATTTGTGAGAAACAGATATCTTGAAATCTATCCATTATGCTTCATAATTTCATTTAAACAACAATGAATTTGAACCAATGAAAAAAATTTCCTTTACAGCACCTTGAGTCTGATTATTACTGATAGTAAGTTGAGATTGACTGGTGTCTACCTTCTGTCATTCTATTCTACTTTAATAAATCAATTTCAACATTTGAAAAATGACATTTAATCATCCTTTTTCTTAGTCATATACTCACATTATATTACAATTAAACAAGACACATTTAATTCAAAGTCATTAAATCTACAGAACTTTTATCATTATTGGAAAGATCAAAATAAATATCAATTATAAACATACACAAATATCAGTTTTCATTGGATCACAATAACAAAGGTCAATCACTTACCTGGTGAGAAACATTTACAATTTATAATATATGTACAACATTGTAACACAAGGACTACATAGCTAGCATCCTATTCTAATCCGATTTGTTTTAAACTTTAAAAATAAAATGTACGAGACATTACTATAAGAATTAGCCTCTTTAAACAGCTAATGTCAGTAACTACTTTCTGGTGGTTGAAGATGAAGGTTGTCTGATTTCTGTAGACGTGGAAAGTGATAGTCCCTGCTACACCTATTTTTATATGATGTATTGGTAATATCAGATATATCTATTCTTACTGCTAGAATAGAAAATATTTTGAATAAATCCATTCTGTAGATCAAACACATGAATGAAAATAAAGAAAGTCTAACTAATGTCAACAAAGAAATTTTAACCAATGTCAACAAAGAAATTTTAACCAATGTCAACAAAGTAAGCCTAACCAATATCAACAAAGAAATTTTAACCAATGTCAACAAAGAAATTTTAACCAATGTCAACAAAGTAAGTCTAACCAATGTCAACAAAGTAAGCCTAACCAATGTCAACAAAGGAAGTCTAACCAATGTCAACAGAGAAAGTATAACCAATGTCAACAAAGTAAGCCTAACCAATGTCAACAAAGGAAGTCTAACCAATGTCAACAAAGTAAGCCTAACCAATGTCAACAAAGTAAGTCTAACCAATGTCAACAAAGTAAGCCTAACCAATGCCAACAAAGTAAGTCTAACCAATGTCAACAAAGTAAGCCTAACCAATGTCAACAGAGAAAGTATAAGCAATGTCAACAAAGAAAGTCTGATCAATGTCAACAAAGTAAGCCTAACCAATGTCAACAAAGAAAGTCTAACCAATGTCAACAAAGTAAGCCTAACCAATGTCAACAGAGAAAGTATAACCAATGTCAACAAAGAAAGTCTAACCAATGTCAACAGAGAAAGTATAACCAATGTCAACAAAGTAAGCCTAACCAATGTCAACAAAGGAAGCCTAACCAATGTCAACAAAGTAAGTATAACCAATGTCAACAGAGAAAGTCTAACCAATGTCAACAAAGAAAGTATAACCAATGTCAACAAAGAAAGTATAACCAATGTCAACAAAGTAAGCCTAACCAATGTCCACAAAGAAAGTCTGATCAATGTCAACAAAGAAAGTCTAACCAATGTCAACAAAGTAAGCCTAACCAATGTCAACAAAGTAAGTCTAACCAATGTCAACAAAGAAAGTATAACCAATGTCAACAAAGAAACTCTAACCAATGTCAACAGAGAAAGTATAACCAATGTCAACAAAGACGGTCTGATTAATGTCAACAAAGTAAGCCTAACCAATGTCAACAAAGTAAGTATAACCAATGTCAACAAAGAAAGTCTAACCAATGTCAACAAAGTAAGTATAACCAATGTCAACAAAGGAAGTCTAACCAATGTCAACAGAGAAAGTATAACCAATGTCAACAAAGAAACTCTGACCAATGTCAACAAAGTAAGCCAAACCAATGTCAACAAAGAAAGTCTAACCAATGTCAACAAAGTAAGCCTAACCAATGTCAACAAAGGAAGTATAACCAATGTCAACAAAGTAAGCCTAACCAATGTCAACAAAGAAAGCCTAACCAATGTCAACAAAGTAAGCCTAACCAATGTCAACAGAGAAAGTATAACCAATGTCAACAAAGACGGTCTGATTAATGTCAACAAAGTAAGCCTAACCAATGTCAACAAAGTAAGTATAACCAATGTCAACAATAACCAATGTCAACAAAGGAAGTCTAACCAATGTCAACAGAGAAAGTATAACCAATGTCAACAAAGAAAGTCTAACCAATGTCAACAAAGTAAGTATAACCAATGTCAACAAAGGAAGTCTAACCAATGTCAACAGAGAAAGTATAACCAATGTCAACAAAGAAAGTCTGACCAATGTCAACAAAGTAAGCCAAACCAATGTCAACAGAGAAAGTATAACCAATGTCAACAAAGACGGTCTGATTAATGTCAACAAAGTAAGCCTAACCAATGTCAACAAAGTAAGTATAACCAATGTCAACAAAGAAAGTCTAACCAATGTCAACAAAGTAAGTATAACCAATGTCAACAAAGGAAGTCTAACCAATGTCAACAGAGAAAGTATAACCAATGTCAACAAAGAAAGTCTGACCAATGTCAACAAAGTAAGCCAAACCAATGTCAACAAAGAAAGTCTAACCAATGTCAACAAAGTAAGCCTAACCAATGTCAACAAAGGAAGTATAACCAATGTCAACAAAGTAAGCCTAACCAATGTCAACAAAGAAAGCCTAACCAATGTCAACAAAGTAAGCCTAACCAATGTCAACAGAGAAAGTATAACCAATGTCAACAAAGACGATCTGATTAATGTCAACAAAGTAAGCCTAACCAATGTCAACAAAGTAAGTATAACCAATGTCAACAAAGAAAGTCTAACCAATGTCAACAAAGTAAGTATAACCAATGTCAACAAAGGAAGTCTAACCAATGTCAACAGAGAAAGTATAACCAATGTCAACAAAGAAAGTCTGACCAATGTCAACAAGGTAAGCCAAACCAATGTCAACAAAGAAAGTCTAACCAATGTCAACAAAGTAAGCCTAACCAATGTCAACAAAGGAAGTATAACCAATGTCAACAAAGTAAGCCTAACCAATGTCAACAAAGAAAGCCTAACCAATGTCAACAAAGTAAGTCTAACCAATGTCAACAAAGTAAGCCTAACCAATGTCCACAAAGAAAGTCTGATCAATGTCAACAAAGAAAGTCTAACCAATGTCAACAAAGTAAGCCTAACCAATGTCAACAAAGTAAGTATAACCAATGTCAACAAAGGAAGCCTAACCAATGTCAACAGAGAAAGTATAACGAATGTCAACAAAGAAAGTCTAACCAATGTCAACAAAGAAAGCCTAACTGATGTCAACATAGAAAGCCTAACTGATGTCAACATAGAACTGCAACAATGTCAATTAAGAAGGTCTAAAGGTGTCATTAAACTAATCTAACTAAACTTACATCATTTTAAGAAAAAAACACAGAATGTGGTTATCATGTAAAAATTTATAAGTCACAGTGATGTTCATGTCACATGATGGTGTAGCCCTCCTGTGACCATGTCACTTAAGAGTATCACAAAAATGGAGCTAAGCATAACACTGAACAAACTAAGGTGTCAAAGACATGAAACAACAGATCTTAGGTAAAATGCAAACCCTTAATGACATGGCATGAGGTGCATAAAAAAAATTCTTGTTCAACTTTGAGTCCTGTAGATGTCAATTGACATTGCAGCAATTATTTATATGATAATGACCTGAGTAGTATTTACAGAATGAAAAGAACTAGTGTAAAATCACTGTATTTTTATTCAGAAGGGACATTGAGATATGTATCCAGTGACAGGTTAACACAACAAATTCAAGGACAGTGTAACCTTGTGTTAATCTGGACTCTGAAAATCTGGACAGACATTGATGTCCAAACATTTACGGAGTGATCAATAGTTATGATTACATACATCCACATAAATATCAATTCAAAAATTGATTTCTCAATTTAAAAACAGATGACAGTCAATTTCATTCATTCTGATTCTATTGCAACTCTTACCATGATGATGAATCTATTTTCAAATGATGCAGTTCACCATAGACATTACAACCAGTATATAATATTTAGGTGAGAATGAAAAGTTATGTAGTTTTTTATTTCTTCTTTTCTATTCTTTTTTAAATATTGCTGTTGTCTCACCATAATATATATATATAACCTAGTGAATAAATATTATTTGAAAAAAATTTTGATTTTTTTTTTTTTTTTTTTTTATGAAGACACTTCTTTTTCTAAATAAGGCTATTGAACAACAGCTGATTTAAAAAAGAAACAATTTTCCCAACACTAAAATGTCCAGAATAAGACTGGCAGACACTGTACAGATATTTCCAACTACAGAACACAGCCATAACCTATTATAATCAACCAAATACATGTACAAGTTTCTCAAGTGCAACAAAGATGTTAAAGAAACGAGGACAATAAAAATCTAGTCACAAACTCTGTTACACATAAAAATGCACCGTATGTGACACCCAGCAGGAATTTAATTGGGTCAAGAGTCCAAATTAAAGAAAAAAGTTTAAATCTAAGATAAGTAATGGAGGATCTTTCAGTGATTTCTCTAACTTTTAAGTCTTTAAAGTTGACCTAGTCACTTTAGCTTCTAATTCAGGCATTTCATCCATGTAATGAAATCTGCTAAATTTTAATTGGGTTAATTCATAGCAGATTTTTTTTGTTTTTTTTTCTTAATTGGTTACAGAATTTACAAACTGCATTGGATTTTTAGTACGGCAAATTTTACTTACAATGTGAGTTACAAAATTATGCAATAGTATCTAATATGCTTTTTCAGAATTTATTATTACATATTTGGGAGACATGGGTCAGTTGAAGTCAGATCTGTTAATGTGGCCTTAAACAAATTAAATTGCATCCCTGTATTAAAGATGGTTTTAATAACGGAGTAAGCAAGTAAGCTTGTCAGTATAAGTGGACACATGACATGGTAGTTACTTCTAGTATGTCAGCTTATCAGAGACAAAAACAGAACTATATACTGAAAGAGCCTTACATTGTCCTGAAAATAGGAGAAAAAGAAAAAATTATAAAATAGCATTGCATTTTTTTTACTGTATTAATGAAGTCTTGAAGAGATTTCAACAATGATAACCATAGTTCACACAGACTTTAAGAAAACAAATTCCAAAACCTTTCAGGGACATTGATTAAAGTTTTTGTTTACTTCAAATGACTGAATTTTGAGAACAAAGTTTTAATCAACATTTCAGCTTTTAAAGCAGGTATTCAGCACATATACAGGTAAAAATTGTAACAAAGAGAAAAACAAACAAATAAAACTCATATTTTCATCAAATATTTTGGGGACTCATTCTTATAAGTATTTTTTGATCACACATTTCAATGCTTCTACAAAAAAATAAAAGACATAAATTCAAGGCATTACGTGAAGTGATAGCCAACATTAACCTTTAGGACAGAGAATGCCAACAGTCAGACTTTTCCAACCAAGTGCTGAAATTCATTTCTGTATGAACCATGACAAATGACAATTTAATGAATGTAGTGAAGATCCTTGTCAGCCTGACACTAATGAATCTATAAAAGATGAGGGTCACTTTTGTCCAAAAACTTCTATGTGATTTTGTATATAACATCGACATGAACGTAAACTATCTAAAAATTCTAAATTTTTCAATTTGCAGGAGATAAAACTGGGGTTACCTTACAATATTTCTTATTTAAGTTTTCTTTTAGTTTTTATTTAAAGCATTTTTGAGCTGGAGATTACATTAAATCTTTTATATTGAAATATCAAATTACAGTAAATGATGAGGAACTCATAATGTCTGTGCAAAGACAAACATAAAAAAAACTTTCTAGGCTTTCCTTAAACATAGAACTAATTGGCAAATTGTTTACATCACAATAAAAACAACTGAAAATGGCACCTCCATGTTTCAGTTTACTACAAATAGGAGGATGAAAATTCATGTTTCTTTTTCACTGTAACAATTTTAGAAATTTTCATTTATTATCCATGTGTAAATTCACAAAATAATACAAGCAACAAATTCAATATATTGTTAGTGTTGTAAAATAAAACCACCAAATGTACTAGTGTGGAAACATGCAATCAGAACAATCAAATATGGATATTAAAGATGTTAGTTAACTTACAAAGGGGAGATAACTAAGAAAAGAAACAGGGTTTAAATTAAAGAACAATAATAAACATGATTGTTCAAGTCTTCTATAGTTCTCATGATAATTCTACAGTGAAATAGGACACACTTAAGACTTGGGCAACAATTTATCAGTAGTTTCCATGGTAACACTTCCTTTGGCCTATAACTTATCAGCAGCGAGTATACACTATGTCAGAAAACACACATTTTGTTTGGTAGTTAATAGCAGAACCTGGATTATCCAGTGTCAGATGAAAGAAGTCAAATAACTGAGCATCAACACCAGGGATTCTGTAAAGATGGGGTTTTCATCTTCTTTTGACATGTTTTGGATGGCTAGGCTATCTGTCATCAGAACAACCACAGACCCATAAAGTCTCATGTCAATAGTGTGTAAAACAATGGAAAAGCTAATCAGATCACACATTACCAAGCACATGTTCACTAACTATTTACCAACAAGCAGTATGACTTTATGTCAGGATGTTCAACAGCTTTGCAGCTCTTAAATGTTTTAGAAGAATAGAACTGAAGTCCTTTGATAATGCCCTAGATGTGGAATGCATATACTTAGACTTTAGAAAAGTCTTCGACACAGTCCCTGACCACAGACTGATGAACAAAGGACATATAGGAACAACGGAGCAGTTCCCACTTGGTTGAAAGACTTTTTTTACAACAGACAGCAACGAGTAGTCGTAAATAGAGCAACATCTGATTGGGGCAATGTAACATCTGGCATACCTCAGAGTTCGGTGCTAGGGCCACTCTTGTTTGTTATATACATAACTGGCTTGCCAGAATTTGTGGATTCAACTGTATACTTATTTGCTGAAAATATTCCAAGCTATGAAGTCTGAAGAAAATGAGAAATATTTACAGGAAGATCTACTCAGACTTTCTTAGTGGAGCAAGACTTAGCTGCTCACAATGAATGAGGACAAATGTAAGTTCATGCATTTTGGAAAGCACAAGAATAAAACCACTGCTTATGTACTTAATAACACAATTCTTGAAGAAGTTGAAGAATAGAAAGATCTTGGGAGTCACTTTCGACAAAGAACTTTGGACAAATCAGTGAAAAGGTACTAAAGCCAACATCAATATTTGGCATGGTAAGAAGGATATTCAAGTTTACAGATTCTAAATCATTTATCCCACTTTACAAATCACTAGTAAGAATCCACCTCGAATACACCAATGCTGTTGGGAACCCTACAAAATGAAACATTGAACAACTGGAAGGTGTACAAAGAAAGGCAACAAAACAACTACCTGGAATGGAAAACCTGACATATTCAGAAAGACTACCAACCTTTACTACAGGTGTATACAAGATGATATGATAGGGATGTACAAGACAGTGAGAGGGAAATATGATGAGGAGGCCATACAGTTTATAAGGATGTGGTTGCATAACTCAGAAAGAACCAGTTCAAGGACAAACTCATTGAAAATATTCCCAAAACATGCAAGAAAATCACTATGAAAAATTCATTCTCCAGAAGAACAACAGCAGTATGGAACTGACCACTGTCTGATCACATAGTAACTGCAAACACACTAAACAGCTTTAAAAATAAACTGAATGACTACTGGAATTGACAGGAAAGTTTAACAACTGGAAGTGAAATTTATTATTATAATAATAACTCTTATGAGTCCAGTGATGAGGATCCCTAAAAGAACCTGTGCTGGAAAATATCATTAAATAAAAATAAATTACTTTAAACCAATATTGACGGAGCCAAGATGCAAATGTGGTTCATAAAATTACGTCATGGTAATATTTTACAGATCCCGTGACTTACCATACAAATCTTGGGAATTACCATATTGGAGAAGACTTGGAAATATCTTAATGCCTCAGATTATATGGGAAGTTTAATTTGGCAATAAGGCTAAGAAAGGAATTACAGCATTATCTAAGGGTTTGTCAGATTAGACAGGATGTCAAAATACTCAAGGTTTGCTATTACAGATTTTGCTATATGTTTTACTGGAAAAACGGTCCCAGTTATGTTTCAAATGGCAACCAAAACATGAACTGACCAACAGAAAAATATGTTGACATGTTACCTGGTGTGTGACCCGGGCCGCCATTAAAGTTGACACACTGTCTATCAATGGTATCTTAGGTAGACCGAGGGTGCAAGCATCCTTGTGGCCTTTAGATTTCATATCATTATGTTGACTGCTATAATCGTTGTGGTCACTTTTAAGACAAGACTTTGACTGCTTTTTGCCGGACTTGACAGATTCTTGGTGACTACTTTCAAGAGAAGATTGTTGTGGGAGTGTACTTTGAGTGAGATTTTTCTGAGGGACATTGTATGAGCTTATATGCAATGGATAAAATGTCTGTAATTCTTTGAAATCCAGGGAAGGTAGACTAAGGATGGCCAATATGTCTAAGGACACACTTGTGTTGCTGTGTTGGGGGGAGGGGCTGTTTGTAGGGGTTGCAGCAATCTCTAGTAGACCTGGAACAATGTCCTCCTATTGACAGAAATGAGAAAGAAAGAAACACAAAGCAAGAAATATTAGTTGATTAATTATTTCAGGATTGCAAAAGGACATACTCTTTGTCACAACTAAGCACAAACCCTCACTTTTCTTGCACCCATAATTTTAAGTCTGCAAGCAGCAACCATTTTCTTAGATGCAATAACTTTGTGTTGCCGAAAATTTATTAAGTACCAAAAAGTTAAAAAAAAAAGGTCTATCAGACTACATCTATAATTGTAAGTTTTAATTTTTCAAATGACTGTATTTTATTAAATGAGAAAAAACCAAAAGTTAGTCAATCACCAAAAGCTTCAGTTGATTTCTTGGTATGATAAATGGTACCCAAATAAGAATCCTGAGGGTGTGCTGAAGGACAAAGATGTCTTATCTACAGTACACACACATACTAGCTAGAAGTGTAATATGATTATAATGAACAAATAAAATACAGTCAAACCCAATTGAGAAAACATCTATGGGAAAAGATAATATTGTATACTTTTGCTTTTTCTTTTTAGTTGTCTTTCGAGGAAAATGTGCAGAAACCAACAAAAATGTTCTATTTTTAAATGTTTTAGATGTAATGCCTGGGTTGACTGTATTTTGACTATCACTAGATACTACCATGAAAATATCTAGAGGGCTAGCTGAAAGAATAGATAGAAAACACCCAGCTGAAACAAAGACAAGGTTAGTCAGGTCACAAACAGAAATCAATTCATCATCTTTAAAATCAACTCCAAACATGGCAATTTAAATGACTTAAACACTGATGTAGAAAATATCTGAAATAGCAGGACTTATTTCCCTGTCATCTTTATCAATTTTCAAAATTGGAATTTTTTGTGCAACTATATAACATGGAGGAAATTTCCAGCAGTGTTGATAGTTATGTCATTGTTGAAGTAAAAGTCATTCCAAATATCCATGGAATGTGTTGTCCTAATTTCTTGGTATGTATGTCATTAGTGTAGATTTGAATTTAAAGAGAAATGGTGTTAATTTTTGTTTGTGATGATGAGCTATGATATACCCGATAATTTACTGTATTTATCCAGCAAGAAGCCACAGTATCAACACACAATCACTGAATTAAAGTGGAGTATTGACTGATTACGGGACAAGAAAACAATGTGTCATTTCCCAAAAGCTGAAAAAGATTGAAGTCATAGGCTTATTACCAGACATTGGCTTGTTAATGGATAAATACAGTAGGTTTGAAAGTAAGTAGAGATCACAGCAGTCAGTTAGAAGCAGGTGCTAGCTAGTTTAAACACCAACACCACCACACCCTAAAGTCTACAAGATCTGTACCGTGGTAGATAGGTATTTCATGTAATCATCGCTGGTGATGGTACTCTTCCACCACTGAAGCCAAGACGCATAAGTGCGCGCCATCTTCTCTGCTACAAATTTTGGCATATTATCGCCCTGCAGCATCTGTGACATCTTGCCAGGATTATGCATGGCATCATGAACACGTTCCATATTTGGAGTCTAAAACCAATTTGTAAATTATTTCAACATTTGTTTATAGATCTTTTCTGAACTTACATGTACAACGTATATAAAAATAGGAACAGGCGTAACATGTAAAATCTGACATATGAAAATCAGTTCTGGTCAAATTTGACCTTGTAATGGATTCCCTTTTTCCACAATTACGTGAAGCAAACAATTGCTTGCAAAGCACATTACAATCAAGAAAAATCCTACTTCATATTTCTTTGAAAATTGTTAAAAATAAATAACTGTCATTTTTGCAATTAATGACAATAAATGATGGTTTTTATAGTTCACACCTCCCCTTCAACATGTCAGATGAAACATGGGAAATACTATGTCTTCATTACCAGAATAATTCACATCTGATTAAAACTATTGATGGAGGTGGTTCTCAGAAACTCTTAAACACATTGTTAATACATACATGAAGACTATTTCACACAATATCTAACACATCACATCCCTGTACAAAATGGTTCATTAGCTTTCATATGAATCCTTAATGAATATTCATGGTATTTAGTGACAAAATAGTGTCATGTTATTTCTTATGTTGAGATACTGATGAAATCCTTTTATCTTTTTTCAGATAAAACTAACCTTACTGAACTTCCTCTATCAGATCTGTCATTATCAACCTGCACCAGTATACTGATACCTTGCTAATTTCCACACTGTTAACTTAATTACATCGTCCATTTAAAATCATCTTTCAGAAAGTCATATTCCTCACCAATTTTTGTGATCAAATTTTACTTATTTTAAACAATTTCGTAAACATTCTTAACAAAACAACAACGAAAGTATTTATTCCACAACACACACATGCTCTCATAAATGTAATGCTCAATTTCAAGAATAAGGTTAATTTATATGTATAGTTTCAAGTCTGTAAGAGCTAATTTTTAATATATCGATTGTTTGTCAATTTTCATAGTTTATTTTATATTTAATTACATGTACGTGTACGTGTTTCATCTACTACAGGTTATATCTGTGGTTTTTTCCTTTCTTTTTTTTGTTGATATCAAAACGTGAGAAATATTAGGAAAATGTTTTTATGTGGCAAGTGGCAGTTTTAAAAAATATTGAATATCCGATTCTTGTGGTATAAGTCTGCATGATGACATGTAACAAGCTTATGATCGGTCAGCATAATCAAAGAAAACTTAATTGTCTGTAACCGACGTGCACAATTATTTGGTTTATGTAATTTGTTTAAAACTTTCATCATTTTCCATTTAGCTGACCTGTACAGATTTCTGGTAGATCCAAGTATTGGAAAGAATGGATCTGTTAATCTTTTATCTTTAAATAAATGTATCAATTCAAGAGTGGAAAATTGTTGATGAAACAGTTGGAAATAAATATGTACACAGTAAACAGGTAAACAAAATAAACAGAATTTATCATTTAGGCTGGGTTGTAACTAATTAAACTAGGTTATTGTTAAATGTAAACTAGGTTATAATTAGGTAATTTTCAACAACTCATCATTATGTAATTAGAAAATTGACATTTCACAGAAACAAAAATTAGTTTCGTATTGTCAAATTAACACTATACTTGGTAACACAACATTCCATGCACACAGACACACTTTGACACTTTTATAAATCAACATACATGACTTGAAATGATATATATGATATTTACAAAAAATACAGTAACAGATCTTTCTCTAAAAACACTTGAACAACAAAAACTTCATCAGTAATGCCGTTACATTCATAAAATCCAGAGTCAATTTATTTCTCTCTTTCATTTTTCTGTAAGAAAACTTAAGCGATATTCTCAGGAACATATGATTTAATCAGCTCAATATCTTACTAACTAAAACCTGTAAAATAGGAACATGTATAATAAATTAAAACAACATCAAAAATAAGAAAAAATCAGATAAACTATGGATATATGAGGTGAGTAGTCATGCTCAATCAACTGTTATGTATTTATCTATACACACATCTTTCTTACTTACTACGTTGCTTAGCCACTGTTATGCATCAGAGAATAATAAACACATTGTCAAAATAATAGTGCTTAACAAGTCCTGTTTTTCTCTCAACAAAATCACAGTTATCTTGTGAGTTGATAGCAAAAATTCGTTCAGAATAAACGAGAAAAAAAAATACATAAAAAAAAAAAAATGACTTGAGGATACTCTTCTATTTTAGATGTGAACAAAGCAAAAAACAATACAGAATTTCAGATGAATAACTCAATTAGAAAAATAGTGCACAGAGTTAATTTTAATGATCAAAATGAAAAAAAAGTGATAAAGACTCCATACTCTTTACAATCGAAACTTTGAGTACCACATACATATACAAGGAATTCTGTAAATAATGATATAATAACTCCAAAACAATTCTCCAGGTATTTAATTACTTACTGTTGGCTGGAAGATATCTTCTCCAAGGAAATTTTTAGGAGGATTATTGGGCCTGTAATAAAGACGAAAGAAATGACAATACAATTGTTTCAGCTTTAAATGAAAAACAATTAAACTAAAAAATCCATGAAATTTAACCTTTGTAGATTGGATTAACATTAAGATTATATCTAAAAATAACATACGTCTTCACCCAAGTTTTGGGATCTTCTCCTCCCCATGGTGGCTGTTTATCTGTCCTCAGTTTGGGGTTGATGACACGTTCTGACTTGCGTTTATTAAGGGTTGCTGATGCCATTGTGCCAGACAGATTTACAGTGTCGGCAGCAGGCACAACATAGACATCCTGTAATTTAGAGTATGAATGGAGACTGCATCATTGTATGATTCTAAGAATAACTCAAATCAATTCAAGAAAAGTGTACTAATTTATGATTACAGAAAATGTAATGAAATCATTAGACTTCAGCAGACTTGTGTAATTTTTCTGAGAAACCTTCTACCCACCACATTTATACAGAGATAGCTTGTTTTAAAACAAAGTCATTTTTAACAAAATTTTTTATTTATTCAAAAGACAATTTTTGTTATAAGTTCAGAAAATGTCAGTTATAGATCTGAATACAGCTAACTCTTTGAATAAGGTGTCATTTTTAGAAAATAAATCAATATTAGTAAAAAACATTAGCACAACTGTTGATAGTTAAAGTGATTCTTTTAGAACTGCTGATTCACTTACATCATCCAGTCGTAGATGTGTTGTTGGGACTGTCTTCATGATTTCCCTGTAAACCTCAGTGATCTCCTCACCTAGAAATAAGTTCTTGTCAAGATTCTTTACTGTGACAGGGTCAATCTAGAATGGATATAATAATCATAAATAAGATACAAACTGAATGTATATGATTATTCAAAAGTATATTTGGAGTAAAAATTGGTTCATTTATACTTGAATAGTGTGACTTTCTCTAGAAAAACAAACAAACATCTTTAATACATGAATGCCCCAAATCTTGTGCATGTAGGTATCCTTGTTTGATAAATATTCAGTAGTTATAAAATGTGTCAAATGTGATATTTGATTCCTTAATCTGTTGTGAATTATGGGACAGTACAGACATAGATATGGTCTTCTCATGAAATGATAAAAGTGAAAAAAGAAAAACCAACTGTAACCTCACCTCAGGTAACCTGCCAGCTACATCAACAGTAAACCTACAGTAACTTCACCTCAGGTAACCTGCTAGCTATCTCAACAGTAAACCTACAGTAACTTCACCTCAGGTAACCTGCTAGCTATCTCAACAGTAAACCTACAGCAACTTCACCTCAGGTAACCTGCTAGCTATCTCAACAGTAAACCTACAGTAACTTCACCTCAGGTAACCTGCCAGCTATCTCAACAGTAAACCTACAGTAACTTCACCTCAGGTAACCTGCCAGCTACATCAACAATAAACGTACAGTAACTTCACCTCAGGTAACCTGCTAGCTATCTCAACAATAAACCTACAACAACTTCTCCTCAGGTAACCTGCCAGCTACATTAACAATAAACATACAGTAACTTCACCTCAGGTAACCTGCTAGCTATCTCAACAGTAAACCTACAGTAACTTCTCCTCAGGTAACCTGCAAGCTATCTCAACAGTAAACCTACAGTAACTTCACCTCAGGTAACCTGCCAGCTACATTAACAATAAAAGTACAGTAACTTTACCTCAGGTAACCTGCTAGCTACATCAACAGTAAACCTACAGTAACTTCACCTCAGGTAACCTGCTAGCAACATCAACAGTAAACCTACAGTAACCTCACCTCAGGTAACTTGCCAGCTACATCAACAGTAAACCTACAGTAACTTCACCTCAGGTAACTTGCCAGCTACATCAACAGTAAACCAACAGCAACTTCTCGTCAGGTAACCTGCTAGCTACATCAACAGTAAAACCTACAGTAACTTCACCTCAGGTAACCTGCCAGCTACATCAACAGTAAACCTACAGTAACTTCACCTCAGGTAACCTGCCAGCTACATCAACAGTAAAACCTACAGTAACCTCACCTCAGGTAACCTGCTAACTACCTCAACTGTAAAACCTAGAGAAACTTCACCTCAGGTAACCTGCTAGCTACCTCAACTGTAAAACCTAAAGAAACTTCACCTCAGTTAACCTGCTAGCTACATCAACAATAAACCTACAGTAACTTACTTTCTCATATGTTTCATATAAAGTTATACCTAACTTATTACATATAGGGAAAGTTCTTGTCTGTTTCCTGTAATAATTCTCCTACTCTCATAATCAATTCTGTTTGTTTGGTAAATGTTTGACTTACCTCGTCCATGAGATCATTGAAGACTGTGGAGAACCTGTCTATTGTGATGGAGGACATGCAGACTCTCTCTGACACACGAATATCTGATGCTCTCACGGTCATCTGACACAAGTAAATTTAAGACTTATTGAGGTTTTAATTTTTCAAATTACCTCCCTTTTTCCTAATTTGAGAGCAAAAAAAAAAAAAATATATAAGCCAACAACGTTGACATGCCATAAATACCATGTTGAAATAATAATGTCATAATTACAACACAGAACTCTCATGTGGTTGAACATTATCAGAACCAGCCTATACCTACCCCTGGGAGTTTGGCACTAACAGTGGCTGGCTGTGGATGTGTGGGCTCACGAAGAGGTATTCTGAAATACAGGACACATAATGACACATCAATACACTCAAGTTGTTTACATAATCTGGCAAATGAAACAAATAAATAAACAAGAGATCCCAGAGGGATCTTGGTGCCAATCATTGTTTGATCTTCATTTGCCCTTTGAAAGTTGGATCTTTTCTCTTCTCTGTTTTTGCTCTTAATGATGAGAAATTAGGACATTTCTTTGCAGAAATAGCGATAATCTTTACCTGCCAAATCCAAGATGGTCATCTGGAAGCCGTTTTGTTTTTTCTGATCAGTCCTAAAACTAAACTGGCACAACTAGGGACAAAGGGAACATATGTATGAAATTTGAGAGAGATCCATTTAGTACTTCTTAAGAAATAGGGATAACAATCTTTACTAGGCGATATCCATGATGGCTTAATGATTAGAAATTTGAACATTTCCTTGCAGAAACAGCGATAATCTTTTCCTGCCAAATCCAAGATGGTCATCAGGAAGCCATTTTGTTTTTTGATCAATCCAAAACAGACACAACCAGGGACAAAGAGGAACCTATACATGAAATTTGAGAAATACCTTTGCAGTATTTCTCAAGAAGTAGCAATAACAAAACTTTCAAAAACAAAGTTCATGATGGCTGCTTATTAGCCATTTTCTTTTTCTGCTCAGTTTAAAATCAAACAGGCATGGCTAGGAATCAAGGGAAATTTACACATGAAATTTGAGAAAGATCTATGTTGTAGTTCTCAAGGAATAGCGACAACAAACTTCGTTGAAAAAATCCAAGATTGCCACCTGTCAGCCATTCTGTTTTTCTTATTAGTCCCGAAGTCAAATGGGCACAACTAGTGACCAAGGGGAACCTACATATGAAATCTAAGAAAGATCCTCTGCATTGTTTCATTTGAAGTCAGCAATGAAATATGGAAACTTCAATAGATAAATTTATAATCACAACTTTAATTTAACATGTCCAAAAATATCTGTATGCTTACTTTTCTTTTTCAATTTCTTGTTTTTCTTTCTCATCAAGTTCCCTTATTTTCTGCTGCACTTTCTCTTTCATTGTATCATGTTTAGCACTTCTAGTCAGAGCCTTGATAAAAAATAACCAGAGCATTTAGTCACATGATACACAAACATGATGCACAAATAAAATATCATTAAAATCACAAGGACTTCATTACATACAGATTACTTTTTAGAAGTAAAATTTCCATAGCATATATAATGACTTTATAAAAGTAATAGTCAAAAAAATTGTGCCTAATTTTTCAAGAAATGAGAGAAAACACTGCTGTCATGAGAACTACAAGAACAACTGTTTACCTGTAAGAGAGGGGATAGATCTTCATCTATATTGCCCACATGTCTGTCTTGGGGGCGTGACATTAACTTTTTAAGGTCATTCTGAGCATACTCTCGTGTACCAGGCTGGGGCCCTCTCTCCTCCAAAGGATGTTTTGCCTTCTGTTTAAAATCACAATCATAAGTGTAAATATAGATACAACCATCAGACTCCAACAAATATTCTCTTTAGAATGTCAATAATAACAATTTGTCACAACCTTACCATTTCTAGAGCCTGGTTGTTCCGTTTAAGCATGGCTATTTCCATCTCCTCCAGTTTATCCTGTGAAATTTCTTTTGGATCTAGTCCAATCTCCTCTAAGATAGTCTCACCAATCTGGAGCTCAGGCATTGACTTTGACCTCTGACAAATGCAACAATAATAAAACCATGTTAATTCAGTTACATATATATGTTTAAATGATTCATTTTCATGAAAGAGGAAAAACTTTGTAATTCAGGTTAGAAAATTGGCAACCACCCAAAACCACCTTTTTGTCCATCAATAGGTTTAATCTTATTATGATATCTGTTGTCTTTAAACAGAAATATTAGTACAGTCATGCAATGCTGTCCCTGAACTAGTGGTCACAAAGTGATTATTACAAGCAATACAATTATAAAATTAACTGCCTTACCTTGAGCACTATTTTCTGAAATGATTTCATCTCCAATGAAAGTCTGAAAGATCAAGAATGATAATATAACTGCCTGATTTAACACTGGAAACTATGATCATTAAATTTCTTCAATGAATCATCAGCTTTAACACTATAAAAAAGGGGACATTAACAGCATAGAAGTTTTTTTATAAACAAATCATTCCAGTAACATATCTATACAATTCGATGACTTCAGAAATAAACAAATTCTATGCATGGAAATAATATATAGAACTGTTTTTAGAGAATAATATCCTGGTAGTTCCTCTTTAACAAAGCTTGTAGACATCCCTTATAGTAGATATTTTAATGAAAATATCCCTTACTGTATAGACATATGAAGTGAACTAATCACTCTGATGTCTGATGTTACTGAGTGTAAAACTCAATACTCACTCCGATGACTGATGCTACTGACAGTAAAACTCAATACTCACTCTGACGACTGATGTTACTGAGGTAAAACTCAATACTCACTATGACATCTGATGCTACTGACAGTAAAACTCAATACTCACTCTGATGACTGATGTTACTGAGGTAAAACTCAATACTCACTCCGATGACTGATGCTACTGACAGTAAAACTCAATACTCACTCTGATGACTGATGTTACTGAGGTAAAACTCAATACTCACTCTGATGACTGATGTTACTGAGGTAAAACTCAATACTCACTCTGATGACTGATGTTACTGAGGTAAAACTCAATACTCACTCTGATGACTGATGTTACTGACAGTAAAAGTCAATACTCACTCTGACGTCTGATGTTACTGACAGTTAAACTCAATACTCACTCTGACGACTGATGTTACTGACAGTAAAACTCAATACTCACTCTGATGACTGATGTTACTGAAGTAAAACTCAATACTCACTCTGATGACTGATGACTGATGTTATGCTATTGACAGTAAAACTCAATACTCACTCTGATGACTGATGTTACTGAGGTAAAACTCAATACTCACTCTGATGACTGATGTTACTGAGGTAAAACTCAATACTCACTCTGATGACTGATGTTACTGAGTGTAAAACTCAATACTCACTCCGATGACTGATGCTACTGACAGTAAAACTCAATACTCACTCTGACGACTGATGTTACTGAGGTAAAACTCAATACTCACTCTGACGTCTGATGCTACTGACAGTAAAACTCAATACTCACTCTGATGACTGATGTTACTGAGGTAAAACTCAATACTCATTCTGATGACTGATGTTACTGACAGTAAAACTCAATACTCACTCTGATGACTGATGTTACTGAGGTAAAACTCAATACTCACTCTGATGACTGATGTTACTGAGGTAAAACTCAATACTCACTCTGATGACTGATGTTACTGACAGTAAAACTCAATACTCACTCTGATGACTGATGTTACTGACAGTAAAACTCAATACTCACTCTGATTGTGGATGCTGCTTTGCTCCTGCTCGTGACATAAAACCATCTGATTCTGAAACCAATACAGACAAGAAATGCTCACATTGACAAATCTCCATGGGATGGGATGGGATGGGGAATCACAGTACGATAACAAAGATATCCAGGTCAACATGGTGTATCTTTGGTAACCATATATAATATTCAAGGTTATAATATTTCTATCATCAGGTTAAAGCCATGACTTCTATGATATATAGGGATTTAATGTTGTACTGCAGATAATAAGGTATATAGAGAGTTAGAGTTGTACCCAAGAATCTCTGGTGTATAGAGAGTTACAGTGTTGTACCCAAGGTTCTCTGGTATATAGAGAGTTACAGTGTTGTACCCAAGGTTCTCTGGTATATAGAGAGTTACAGTGTTGTACCCAAGGTTCTCTGGTATATAGAGAGTTACAATGTTGTACCCAAGGTTCTCTGGTATATAGAGAGTTACAGTGTTGTACCCAAGGTTCTCTGGTATATAGAGAGTTACAGTGTTGTACCCAAGGTTCTCTGGTATATAGAGAGTTACAGTGTTGTACCCAAGGTTCTCTGGTATATAGAGAGTTACAGTGTTGTACCCAAGGTTCTCTGGTATATAGAGAGTTACAGTGTTGTACCCAAGGTTCTCTGGTATATAGAGAGTCACAGTGTTGTACCCAAGGTTCTCTGGTATATAGAGAGTTACAGTGTTGTACCCAAGGTTCTCTGGTATATAGAGAGTTACAGGGTTGTACTCAAGGTTCTCTGGTATATAGAGAGTTACAATGTTGTACCCAAGGTTCTCTGGTATATAGAGAGTTACACTGTTGTACCCAAGGTTCTCTGGTATATAGAGAGTTACAGTGTTGTACCCAAGGTTCTCTGGTATATAGAGAGTTACAGTGTTGTACCCAAGGTTCTCTGGTATATAGAGAGTTACAGTGTTGTACCCAAGGTTCTCTGGTATATAGAGAGTTACACTGTTGTACCCAAGGTTCTCTGGTATATAGAGAGTTACAGTGTTGTACCCAAGGTTCTCTGGTATATAGAGAGTTACACTGTTGTACCCAAGGTTCTCTGGTATATAGAGAGTTACAGTGTTGTACCCAAGGTTCTCTGGTATATAGAGAGTTACAGTGTTGTACCCAAGGTTCTCTGGTATATAGAGAGTTACAGTGTTGTACCCAAGGTTCTCTGGTATATAGAGAGTTACAGTGTTGTACCCAAGGTTCTCTGGTATATAGAGAGTTACAGAGTTGTACCCAAGGTTCTCTGGTATATAGAGTTACAGTGTTGTACCCAAGGTTCTCTGGTATATAGAGAGTTACAGTGTTGTACCCAAGAATCTCTGGTATATAGAGAGTTACAGTGTTGTACCCAAGGTTCTCTGGTATATAGAGAGTTACAGTGTTGTACCCAAGGTTCTCTGGTATATAGAGAGTTACAGTGTTGTACCCAAGGTTCTCTGGTATATAGAGAGTTACAGTGTTGTACCCAAGGTTCTCTGGTATATAGAGAGTTACAGTGTTGTACCCAAGGTTCTCTGGTATATAGAGAGTTACAGTGTTGTACCCAAGGTTCTCTGGTATATAGAGAGTTACAGTGTTGTATCCAAGGTTCTCTGGTATATAGAGAGTTACAGTGTTGTACCCAAGGTTCTCTGGTATATAGAGAGTTACAGTGTTGTACCCAAGGTTCTCTGGTATATAGAGAGTTAGTGTTGTACCCAAGGTTCTCTGGTATATAGAGAGTTACAGTGTTGTACCCAAGGTTCTCTGGTATATAGAGAGTTACAGTGTTGTACCCAAGGTTCTCTGGTATATAGAGAGTTACAGTGTTGTACCCAAGGTTCTCTGGTATATAGAGAGTTACAGTGTTGTACCCAAGGTTCTCTGGTATATAGAGAGTTAGTGTTGTACCCAAGGTTCTCTGGTATATAGAGAGTTACAGTGTTGTACCCAAGGTTCTCTGGTATATAGAGAGTTACAGTGTTGTACCCAAGAATCTCTGGTATATAGAGAGTTACAGTGTTGTACCCAAGGTTCTCTGGTATATAGAGAGTTACAGTGTTGTACCCAAGGTTCTCTGGTATATAGAGAGTTACAGTGTTGTACCCAAGGTTCTCTGGTATATAGAGAGTTACAGTGTTGTACCCAAGGTTCTCTGGTATATAGAGAGTTACAGTGTTGTACCCAAGGTTCTCTGGTATATAGAGAGTCACAGTGTTGTACCCAAGGTTCTCTGGTATATAGAGAGTTACAGTGTTGTACCCAAGGTTCTCTGGTATATAGAGAGTTACAGTGTTGTACCCAAGGTTCTGGTGTATAGAGAGTTACAGTGTTGTACCCAAGGTTCTCTGGTATATAGAGAGTCACAGTGTTGTAAGTGAGGCTCTATGATGTATTGACAATTATGTCACCATGTTCTGGGTATATAATTACCTTGTGAGGGAGTCTGGAGATCCCTATCTGGCATGTCAGCCACCAAGCCCATTAGTTTATTGGTGTTCAGTGCAGGCATTGCTTCAGAGATCTAAAAACCAAAATTGAATCTCAACATTAAACTTGTTAAATCATTATCAACGTATCTATAGTGATACCAGATTCACAAAAACTACTTTTATTATATGATACTTAACACTGTAAACTCAGAATCAGTGGGGAAGGACTTGACTGACCTCATTATTGGATACAGTCTGACCTTATACATTGCTATCAAACCTAATTTGGAAAGAAATTTGGACAGTATTTGTGATTTGAAAGTAAAAGGATCTCTGTTATGTTGAAAAGTACATGAAACCAACTATCCTGGTAAAATACATGTTATTCGCTGGACCAGGAGAAATTTTATCACATCGATCTTGATGTTTTTTTTCAAAGACAGGATGAAAACCAGTTTTAATTAGAACAGATAAAAGTCCTACCTCCTTGGCTTCCTGCTCAGCAGTCTTGTAACGGTACTTCTTTGTCTTTGACTTTGGACGGCTACTCTGAATCTAAACAGCAGAAATTTTCTCAGCTAAAATATGTATAATAAGCTGATTTATATAAGTTATTTAAATAATTTTCAAAAATTTCCCCCTTATAGGCCCCAACTCTCTCGTCACAGGGATGCCTTTCACTTCATTTAGATTAATGTTAACTAACTATCTTTCTTCAGCTCCAATTTTTTGTAGCATTCAGAAGTAAATATAGTTTAAAGAAAATTATTACAAATAGATGAACAACTGAACCTGTTTCTCAAACAGGTGGGAAAAAAGGCCTAGATTAGACAGGTTCTAGATATGGCAGGGTCTAGATTAGACAGTCTAGGTATGGCAGGGTCTACTTCGTTTAGATTACATAGTGTCAAGGTAAGACTTGGTCTAGATGAGACAGAGTCCAAGTAAGACTTGGTCTAGATAAGATGGAATCTAGGTAAGACTTGGTCTAGATTAGACAGAGTCCAAGTAAGACTTGGTCTAGATGAGACACAGTCTAGGTAAGAATTGGTCTAGAATAGACAGAGTCCAAGTAAGACTTGGTCTAGATAAGACGGAATCTAGGTAAGACTTGGTCTAGAATAGACAGAGTCCAAGTAAGACTTGGTCTAGATAAGACGGAATCTAGGTAAGACTTGGTCTAGATTAGACAGAGTCCAGGTAAGACATGTTCTAGATTAGACAGAGTCCAGGTAAGACATGTTCTAGATTAGACAGAGTCCAGGTAAGACTTGATTAGACTAGATAAGACGGAATCTAGGTAGGTAAGACTTGACATGTTCTAGATTAGACAGAGTCCAGGTAAGACATGTTCTAGATTAGACAGAGTCCAGGTAAGACATGTTCTAGATTAGACAGAGTCCAGGTAAGACATGTTCTAGATTAGACAGAGTCCAGGTAAGACATGTTCTAGATTAGACAGAGTCCAGGTAAGACATGTTCTAGATTAGACAGAGTCCAGGTAAGACATGGTCTAGATTAGACAGAGTCCAGGTAAGACATGATCTAGATTAGACAGAGTCCAGGTAAGACATGATCTAGATTAGACAGAGTCCAGGTAAGACATGATCTAGATTGGACAGGTCCAGAAATATTTAAGCCAATTAAAGAGTTTAGAACCAAGAATAGACCGATTACATTGTATAACATATAATGTATTACTTTATGAATCAATCAGTCCATGAAAGTCTGAGGCTTTTTCACATTCCTTTTCTGAAAAGCTGCCAAAGCTGTAAAACTGGGATATGGCAATCCTTTTACACAGTGTTGTATAATACCACAACTTGAGAAGAATCAAAAGATACCCTTTCATTGTGATAAACAAAGATGCTAAGAGAGACTACCTGCTAGAATCTTTCACCTTTGAATGGTTGAAATAGAGGAATTTATATACATGTAAGAAGAATCAGACACAAAACCAACAGTAATACAGAAAGCTGCTACACATTTCTCACCATTCCTTGAAAAGACAGAGGAGGGTGACTAATTTCCTGCTTCCCAGAAAACTTGGCAGTAAATGTATCCATGTCATCTCCATCTGAGTCTTCCTTCCCTCGAATATCAGCAACAATATACCGCCGGATCATCAGGATATTCAAACTAGGGACAAAATAACAAATTTATGAGTGGAAGTTGGATATACTAAACAAGGGTTTTTCCTTTTTTCCCCCTTAATCAAGAGTACATACATTTTTATATACATCATAAGAAACTTTGCTGCAAATGACAATTCTTACGTTTTGAATTCAATTTTTTTTTTGAAAACGTTTATGTTACATGGTAATGTTGTTTGTCTCAATGCAGTTTTTCCTGCTTTCTAATTTCAAGTGGGTCCAAATGTGCACTTCATTACAAATAATTCTAAGAAACATCCATGACCTTTTGAAATTCAATCTGCAGCTTAAGTTTGATGTATAACTTAATCACTTAACTAGGCCACAATTACTCCAGCTACAGGAGTGTATAATCAGGTGATATGACGAATAGTTTTCAATGACGTACATATACATACAAACAAGAATTTCATCATGTTGGCAAGATTATACAATCATATGTATATTCTCTTCTTTATGTATAGATTTTAGCATATTAGAATACTGAACTACTTTAAAAAAAAAATGGTCTCAATTCTTCCCTAGAAACCCCCTCATCCCCCTCCTGCGTCATAATGATAGCAGTTTCAAGATCACTTACAATTTATTAGCATCCAGTGCCAGTTGTGCCTTTAGTCGACTCATGTTAGCAGGTCCACTAAATATTCCTCTCTCATTCAGCACTGCAAAAAGAAAGAAGTGGTGAAAAGGATATATTTTGAAAAAAAAGAATTCCTGCCATTTTGTGTTATTTTTCTTAAAGTACAGCAATTCAATCAAGCTATGAGATAAGGATCAAACTCAAATCAAATCAATTACAGGTTTTAACACTGGAAGATGAAGGTTAAAATGACAATGGAATTTTGAACAAAGACCACATTTCTTCTCATACATTGTATAACTACATGTGTCTACTGTTTATTTTCAATATTGAAAATTTTTAGGCCAAAGCACAAGATATCACAAAATCTCTGAGAATGTTTTACCTTATTAACTAGATAATGTTTGAAACAGGTAGTTAATGAAATATTCTAGGGACATCAGGGAAATCTAGAGAATATTGGAATATAAAAAAACAATAGTACTTTTCTGCTAAACACACAACTCTGGTAGGGGAATATATTTTGGTAGCATGTTCTACTTTGTTTATTTTTAGATTACTTCTAATTAACATAACTGATCATAAACTTCCATCTCAATGTGAACTTTTCCATTCTATTCTCGTATCACCGGAAGATGCGATGCAAAATCAGAAACAATCATCAAACGTTGTCACAGAAAGTCAAGTCCAATCTCTACAGACAAAGATGTTCGTAGAGTCGATCCCATATCAACCAACAAAACAGACAATTGTGTTTAAACATAATAAAAAGGCAGGATTAGTATATCTTGTCTAGTACATGACTTAAATAAATTACCTTGTGCTTTTTTTAAGTAGTGATGAAACAGTTTTTCACACACAGTAACAATATGCACAGATATCCGTCGATTCAGTTCTTTATTTTCCAATGGCGACTGAAAAAAGGAAAGAGTTGGTTATTTTAGCTTTTTCTATATCAACATTAGGGGTATCTTAGCTTTTTCTTTATCAACATTAGGGATATCTTAGCTTTTTCTATATCAACATCCCAGGAATATCTTAGCTTTTTCTTTATCAACATTAGGGATATCTTAGCTTTTTCTATATCAACATTAGGGGTATCTTAGCTTTTTCTTTATCAACATTAGGGATATCTTAGCTTTTTCTATATCAACATCCCATTAGGGATATCTTAGCTTTTTCTATATCAACATTAGGGATATCTTAGCTTTTTCTATATCAACATTAGGGGTATCTTAGCTTTTTCTTTATCAACATTAGGGATATCTTAGCTTTTTCTATATCAACATTAGGGGTATCTTAGCTTTTTCTATATCAACATTAGGGGTATCTTAGCTTTTTCTATATCAACATTAGGGGTATCTTAGCTTTTTCTTTATCAACATTAGGGATATCTTAGCTTTTTCTTTATCAACATTAGGGGTATCTAGTATGGGAACTAGACTAAGAAATTGTCCTTAAATTACTCACCAGGAATGGGTCATCAATCTGTTTCATGATTTCAGGCCAGATAAGAGTGACTTCTCCAATCAAAATTCCTGCCTGTAGATTAAAAATACAAAACTTTCACATTAAGAAACATCATGTAGCAAAGCATTCTAATTCCTGTTTGATAACTAAATGAAAACCAAGTAAATAATGATCGTCCTGTAAGATAGAAGTTCTTATGACATTTGAGTGTGATGTTTTAATGACTAGAAGGTCACCTTCATCAGATAAATAACCAGTGTGCAGTGTATAGCGTACTGGCACTGACGTACACATAGTACTGGCACTGACTTACACATAGTACTGGCACTGACGTACACATAGTACTGGCACTGACTTACACATAGTACTGGCACTGACGTACACATAAGAACTGGCACTGACTTACACATAGTACTGGCACTGACTTACACATAGTACTGGCACTGACATACACATAGTACTGGCACTGACGTACACATAGTACTGGCACTGACTTACACATAGTACTGGCACTGACATACACATAGTACTGGCACTGACTTACACATAGTACTGGCACTGACTTACACATAGTACTGGCACTGACTTATTTTTTTAGTTTATATTCTGTTTACCAACATTTGACATTACTAACCTGAAGAAAATGTTCTGAAGTATTGTTTGACATGGAGGGGAAATAATTTATTTGTTTATCTATACGGTAGTTTGCCATGAAGAAAGTTTACATGCCAATAGTTCTAAATAAGATCTACTTCTTTACTTGAGTTACTTTTTTGTACACACCAGATTTCTCTGATCATCCATAGATAAATACGGAACATCAGGTTTGGCAGCAATCCGACGTCTCACATAGTTGGCAAGTCTGTCAAAATCTTTGGGCTGAGTCTTTATTTCCTCCTACACATAAAAAGAGGACAAATGAAATATTATGTACCATGAGGGTGTTACACAAAAAAAAACTCGTCATAATTTAAAGCTATGTCGAAATAAGATACTTGAACCAGGTCAAATACAATTTTTTGAAAAATTGTTTGTGTCATACAAACACATGTATGTATTTAAACATAAGTACAAATATACATGTATATGTCGAAAAACTGTTTTATCCTATGACATACGAATATGTAAAAAAAAAACCAGCTTACATCAATTGGAGTTACTGGCCTCTCAAGTTCAAAAGATTTTTGGCTTTTATTATCAGGTACTGGAGCTGAAAGAAATAGGACATTATAACATATTGTTTATAATCAATCATGGTTCAGGTACAGCTTATCTTAATATCTTATTTTTTACCAAATACAAAACATAGACAGATGATGGGTAAACCTCCAGCACACTGATGATACATACGTTCTTTGTGATCCTCATGTGGATAGGGAGCAAACAATGAGAGTGGCTCCAAAACATTGGTAATCCTTGTCTCCACATCATTCTGTTAAAGCATTAACAAAGATTATCATTACTCTTGGACACCAATTTATTTCTATCATAAAATATAAATCAATAATGTTACAAGGACAGACAATATTATTCCTACTACAGTAGAGGAGTTGTTATTAGCTAGAGTACCTACAATCTATATCTCACGACAGACAAAAGGCTTATACAGTATCATTACAGAGCAGTGATTCAGTGGACTAACTTTTATTGGCATGTCTTATGCTCTGTGTTAGCTATGACCAGGCTGGTTGTAGATATGCTCTTACTGTCAGATAAATACAAAAATCCTCAAAATATTGTAGGAATTATTCACACTTGTTCTATATATAAACTATATTTTCTGAGTGCCATAAGCTGAATAAGTGCAATTTGCAAAGAATGACGTAAGCAAGATATATTTCACAACTACTGTGTCATACAACGCAATATATAGAAATTATGAAGAAAAAAAGCATTTCTTCTCCAAATTTAGATCTTACATGTGTGTAAGTTGGCCACTTCTCCGGATACATCTCATCAGCCTTTTCTGGCCTCACTGGCTGTCTATGCTGATATTTCGGCAGCCGGGGCTCTGACTCCGTCATGAAGCCCTTAAAATGCACAGACTTTGTTCCTGCTGGCATTTTGTGCCTATGCATTAAAAAGATACAGGTAAGTTTGTGAGACATATGACAATGATTCTAGAAGGCTGTAGAAAAACTTTTGTGAAAACACATACAGTAACAAGAGTATGTCATTTGTATAACAGAACATACAAATCACTTGATACAGTTAAAGCTAGTTACATGGTGACCACATACTGGTTGTGATATTGTGGAAACAAAGGTCCTGTAATTCAATAAAAAAAGAATTCTTGAAGATGGAAATATTGCAGAACATTGTTTCAGTAATTACTTAACTCCCAACAAATATGAGTGCAGAATTACCAAATAATGATAATCACATGCAGAGATCGGACTTGAAACATGACTTCAGTTGAATAGTTCATGCACAAACATAATTTTTTCCTATAAATTTCCCTGAATTAATTTGCAATCTAATTTGATATAACTTGACACACTGTCAAGTAAACAAAATGACTCTTTCCTTTTACTTTAGTCACTTGTTGATACATTGTCCCAGTGATACAATAAACTATTACAACAAAATATCTAGCTGACCCATCAAAATGATGTTATAAAACATCTGTACATATACACATTTTGTTTGGAATAGCAAGTATTTAACAACATATTTTAATATATATTTCTCTGTTTCTGTCAATTACATGTAATTTAGTACATCATTTCTGAGATAAAAGAGCTGTCTGAAAGCTAACTCTGGTTCAAATCCTCAAAGGTCACCCATTGCATATTCTTAATTGTTTTACAATTTGATAGTTTTGCATTCATGACTTAACTACACATGATGACCCTGATTTTACAATGTCAGTGACTTTATGATGCGTTTCTATAACACTAGGATATAATATTTTCCTTAATAATAGAGACAAAATATGTTCATATAAATGTATAAAGTAGATCAACACACTATAGCAATACCTTTTTTTTCAACTTTCAACAAAGTTTAATGTGAATCATTACAGCAATAATTCTTTTCAATGAATTTCATAGTAAGTCATGTATTATTAATTAATCTAACTAAATTTTGTGCAAAATGCACAAATATGTAATAAGGCACCCTGGAAGCCTTGACTTATTATGGTGTGGTTGCTTTAAGTAAGCTGCTAGTATAGCATGTCGATATCCACAAATATAAAATTGACAGACTTCCGATTGCCATATCAACAATGAATAAATCATGTATTCAATACAGCAAATATGATAAAGAGTTCCAACTTGTAAGATTGTTGTAGGTTTGATAGAGTTCAAACATGAAAGGTGGTAATATCATTAGAATGGAAATTCCCAAAATATACTATGCCTTCAGTGCCTGAAGACATCCCATGTTGTTGTAAATCTAAATTGCTGCAAAAAGGGTTTTTTGGGAAAAAAAATCAATAGCTCTCTGGGGTAATATCTTCCAACTAGTTGTGCAGCTATCCTCTGCCTACAGTTAGTGTTTTTCAATAATCTATATACTTTTATCGTGTTTCTTCTGTATTTCAATGCTGGTAAATTGTAAATACATACTTGATTGTTGGTGTTCCTGACATCCTGATATTTTACAGAGGTGACTTTTGTAATTATATTCATTACTTTTTAATAAATAGTAATATTACCTGGTATAAACTAGTTCACTGATTGTACAGCGGCTTTTCAACCATAAGCACTAGTCTTTTCTTATATCTATACATTGAGAGACTGTATGATATCTTAGTAATATAATGGGTGTTTCAACAAACGAATCCTGCCGTATTCATCTTATATACTTAGCAAAGACTCTATTTCACACTGATTTTGTCAATTTACGATGCCATTTGAAGTGGCAAGACATGTCGATATTGACTTATCAGTTGATAACTTTTTTGTGAACGAAACATCGGCCATGTTTGTTTACTATCGCGACATGGCATAGCACTAACCTATTTCCGTATAATGAGCTATATTACAAGAAGTTCTACATACCTTTGGCTACTTTTCAAGCTATGTATGATGTTGCATGATAACAATGGTGTAATATTTCCTAATAAACCAATTATAAAGCAATGAACGTTGTTTCCTTGAATTTCACATTTTTGTTGCTATGCGCTCTAATGATTCGGACTCTGAAAAATAATCTCCCTCACATAAATGTTTGTCAGCGGCGGAAGCTCATAAACTTGTGGCACCGTATAAAAATGCTTCTTATGTGAATTATTGATTTACGAACTTATTTAGCCAAGTAAGGTATTGTATATTTCACTAATTTTTTCATTAAAATATGTGACAGCTTGCCAACATGTGAAAAGATCTTGATTCGGGTTTCCGATAAAATGTGCTGTCAATCATGTTGAACCAGCGAAAGGTGATTACAATTAGCAGAATTTACTACTGCCACGACACTGGACACGAATATGGACGTAGCAATTTATCTTCATACACTGATTATCCTGCTGTTTAATGTATTGGTTGGCCAGTTTCCGTTAGATTGTAAAATTGACAAATAAATCACATATCCAAGGGGGACAACTCTGTAAATGTTGTTAGAATGAAATAGAGACCTTTTCGATGAATAGTTTAAATAAGTCTGGTTGCGAAAAAAAAAAAACAATGCAACAAAGGACTGGGAACACGTTACACATTATTTCCCGTTTAGGAGACAACTGTGAGAATATAAGAATGTTTCATTACCTTGAACATTAGATGCAAGTGTTTTGTCATAATGAAGATTATACTTTAAAAAGTTTTAGTAATTTATGTGATGCAAATATATATTTTTTATAAAACATATTATGTAAGTACTTGCAAACCATTATACTTGTACCATATACTTTGAGATATGTGTAAAGTAATTTTTAGATTTTAGCTGATACATAGTTTGTGTTAAATTTTTATTCATTGTTTCAAAATTTCCAAAAAAGTTTATTTTTTCATGTCATTTTAATACATTTAAGATATTTTCACTTACAGTTTTTGATAAATATTTTTACTTATTTTCTTTTTTTATTTATCATCAGCACATGCAGTTATGCTCTACTTGATGGTGATTTTATTGAATAATTTTTGGAAAAGTTATTGCCATTTTGCCCATTTGTACTTTGCAAAGATTTTCAGCTCAACTAGGTATCTCCTCCTTCAGTTTTTTTTTACATATCTCATTTAACTTTCCAAAGCTTTTTTGTAATGATGTAAAGTACTGTTGTTTTCCAGTTGTGGTTTTATTGAACTCTTATTGTTGTATTTTCATATTGTGTTCAATATTGTATGCGACTTTTGTATAGGTCACTTGGGTATAATGTTCTGCCTTGCAATACACCTGTTCATTATTACATTGTGAGTAATTGCACATTTTCCATTTCCAAATATTTTCATTTCGGAATTGCTTGATTGTATAGATGTATATTGAAATTTTAAATATTGTTTCATTGTCAAAAATAGATAATCAGTACCCTCAAAACTTATAACTATCGATTTGATTGACTGATCAATTGTTAGATTGATTCATCGGTAAATCTTGTAAATTGTAAAAAACTACTTACATTTGTCTTAATTAAATTTATTGAACAATTACTCAAGAGTACTTAAGACAATCACAGACAATCTTACATTATTAAAGTAGGTCCACACTACACTACAAATGGCAAACATTTGAAGAAAGGCAAGTCAAACTTAAGCTGTTTGTTTAAAAAAACATACATCCTCATGGATGTTTCAATGTTATGATTTCCATAAGAACTTTTAGTCCTTTACAATATGTTACAAAGACAAAATCACTGTAAGAAATAATATCTTTGATAAGTAGATATCTTACCTAGGTCTTCGGTACGTTGTTACACGTTTGTGTACCATAGTGATGTGTTTGTACACAATTCTTTTGTAATTGAAATTTAGTAAAAGTTATGTTTTAAATCCCAAACTTGTGTGTAGAAATCTCAAAATGTTCAGTTCTTCATGGACACACATAGTATCCATTGTTTCTTGCTAGTAGCTATGCAGTTTACAACTACATTCTACATTCGATAGAACTAACAAAAATACACCCGAGTCCTAGTGTTATGTGTATATGCCTTTTAGAATACAATGGTAATTCTTTAACGTTTGTGCAATCTTTCAACCAATCTAGTTTGATGTGTTCTGACGATATAACCTTTATATGACAGACAATGTGTTATCAGGAGATCTTTGTCAGCTATAGTTGTCACAAGTATTTTAAATGGCTCTCAACTTTAACACTTCAGCTACCTGTAGTACAAAATCTAAAAGTATCAAAGAATTCAGAATTGTTAAGCATAAAGGGAGGTAAGTCATGTCTTTAGAGAAGTCTGAAGATGATTTTATCTGTGAAAAAATATATTACCAAAGTTTCAATTTACTGCCAGACAGCTATATATTAGGAGTTTTTATGTGCTTTGTGGTAAGTACTTACAGAGTAGGATATGACTGTATAATGTCTTTGGTAAAGTCTATTAGCAATCATCGTTGTCTCCTATCAGAGTTAGTATGTGTATTAGTTCCTTTCATTAAATGACTAAATGTATATCACACATGTCCTTATCCAGACACAATAAATCTATTAGTCCACATTACTGGTAGATAAAAAAAAGAGAATCTCTTAATGTAATCAAATATATCTGATTGAATAAATATCAATCTTTTTTTTACTTTCCAGAAGAAAAATGATTCTTTTCAACTTCTCTTTATTCTATTACTGTGTCATGCTTTGATTCATAACTTAGTAAGTGTTTGGAAAGCACAATCAGGCCATCATTTTTCATGTTTTCTCTTTAAACTGCTGTAAACCTTATACAGACTTTGTAGAGGTAGCTGTAGGTCTTGTGTAAATGAACTCTGTAGATGGCGCTGTAAATCTTGCACAAATGGACTCTGTGGAGGTCTCTGTATGCACAATATAAATGACAAAAGCACATTGAAGATCACATACAAATAAAAATTCTCTATGGACATACAAGAGTAATTTAATTAATCGATGTAATTTGTTTTATGATTGTTGGAAAATGAGAAGATTTCTTGATAGTTTATGAGCCATTTTTGTCTCAAACACATGATTGCACTCTCCTGGACTCCAGGACAACTTCTTTCTTTTAGCATGACAACTACATGTATACCACATTCATGATTTTCCTATAGTTGTGGTGGAGGGAGTTTTCCATAATTTCATTTATAGATAATTTTGATAAAATTAATGTTCTGTTTCCAAGGTTCACATCCTAGTGCTAGCTTTCAGAATAGACCATTACACTTACTTTACAATAAGTTTATTTGCTTATGTGTAAAAACTTATACTGGTTGTGTTGTAAGAACTTATATTCTATTGACATTACCAACCCCAAGAAAATGTTTAGAAATATTCATTTGTGTATCTTTTGTACCATATTTAAGACTGCAAGTGGTAGACACTGCTGGTAGATTTTTGGTCCCCAATATTTGCCATAACCTGCATGCAACATTTCAATTAATTCAAGTAGTGGCATAGTTCAGAATATACACATACTTGACATTCTTTTAAAATTATCAGACATAAAACAAATAAGGAATTTATTGAATCTAATGTACCTCCTCATCTTGATTTTGATATTTCTTACATTCTTTTTAAATTTTCCTTAGTGGACTCCTTGGCTTCAAAATTTCTGCCTTTATCATCATTTACATAGAAAAATGAAAAAGCTGTATGATGTAGTTGAATTCATGGTTTGGCTCTCTTGTTTTCCATTCTAAATTTGTATGAAGTGGTGATATTCACTTGGGAGTATTTGGTGCAATCTTTAAAAGTGAAGTTGCTTTAAACTGATATTTTGATTTTTTGTTATTTTGTGATGAAACAGTAGAAATTACCATATATATTACAATGTTTTACCATCATTCTTAGATAAGCTCACCCCATAAACTAAAGAGTTGATGCAGTAGCTTGGGTTCTAATTATAATAAAAACTAATGGATATATATGCATTTCTGATCAATCTGATTTTTGTCATCTTGTTAATATCTTCTTTCTTAACATATTACCAGGTAATATGATTTTTCTATTCATTTTAGTCCAAACAAGTAAGGATGAAGCACATAGGAGTTGTGAATTCCCTGTTTACCTATAAAAATGGAACGCCTCGTCAACCCTCTGTTTGTGACACAGCTCGGGGCAGTATTACTATCAGTAAAGAAATATTCAACAATCCTGAACACTCCTTAGATGGTATCCAGCAGTACTCTCATATTTGGTAAGGCCAGAGGTGAAGTTCTTTATTTAGTCATTTGAAAATTGAAATATTGCCTTGAACACTGAAACCATATTAGTTAAATATGATATCATAATACATTTGTATAGTGTATCAATGATGCCAAGTGAAATGAGATACCAGTTGAACTTAAAATACTCCACCTGCCTTGATAACTCATAGATGTTGACATCATACCATTAGTCAAAGACTATGATGGTTAGGGTGGTATGGAGATACAATACAACACTCATTCTATTAAGTAGACTTCAAAGGAGACAAACAAATGACAATAGACACACCAAAATTAAACAAAAAAAGAAAAAAAATTCATACCAGGTCAACAAATTTGCTGTCTCTTGTTCAGAATTTAGTTTAAATATTTGGTTTAGATTATGATTTGGTTGTTGGTGAATTGTTGTTATCAGGCCTAACAAAAACTATGACATAGTCTGTGTGATCATTACAGGATAATATTTGAGTTCAACAAGAACAACAACCAATACACCAAAGCGAAAGTCACACCACCAAGACTTGATGGCCGCAGAGTGGGATTGTTCTCAACCAGATCACCATACCGGCCTAATCCAATCGGGCTCACACTCGCCAAACTGGAACGAGTTGAAGGTGCGTTTTATTTCTAAACTTATTTCCTTTACATTTCACTTAGATAAAAAATGATACACAATATGCTATACTTGTATTTTGTAAATAAAAGGATATTCTCTGATTTCAGGTGCTACACTTCATATATCAGGCATAGATACTTTAAATGGGACCTTGGTCCTGGATATCAAGCCCTATATACCCAGCTACGATTGTCCAAGATCTTCACTGTTGTTGGCCACTCCCACTACATGCATGGGAAATAAAGACCAACCTTCAGACATCAGTGATGACCAAGTCTGCGATAAAGATCCATTAATTGATGATCACAATTCTCTTCAATCTGTGGATGGTGCCAGGCCATTGTTGAATAATCAGGAACCAAAGTTTGACAACACACTGGACATTTGTTCTACGAAAGCAGAAAAAACTTGTATTCAAAATGAAATAAAAATTCAGGGAGAAGTAGTAAATAATGAGCTAACACCAGCAAACCAAGCCAACGATACTGCAATAGCTTTATCTAGTGATGCTATAGCTAACAATGTGCCTATCAAAGCATCCACAAACTTGAATGATTCAGAGGAAATCTCTATAGCAACAAGCAAATGCGATTCCAAGTCTTCTGTTACGAGTAGTGCAATAAAAACTGCAGACTGGGTCAATAAACCGCCTATTGAAAAACTGACTGTGCGATTCACACCTACGGCAGAGCAACAACTTGCCCACTTCAGTAAGAATACAGAAGACTCTGATCACAGGCTTGAATTTTTAGAATCATGTAACGAAGCCCGTAATGCAATATGTCAGATTTTGGTGGAGGACCCTAGGTCTGTGTACAGACGACAGAACTGTCCAGATCGTTTGTATTTTTTTGTTGTAGATAAGGTACATGTGACATGTTGGTTTGATGACGGCATGGTGGAAGTTGTTAGAATCAAACCTGTGTCACAAGTGAAACATTTACAGCCAGAGTGACACGGTGAATCCAATCTCAACCAGGTCAATGCTACAAATACTGATAAACTTGCCTGTCACTTTGTTAGAGGTGTTTGTTTGTGAAAACAAAAGAATAAAATGTGGTTGAAGCTGTTGTTAATATCTATATTAAATTCCATTTCCTTTATCACTAGGATGTTTAAATTACAGTATTTACTGCTAAAACTCCAATATTTGCAATTTTACATACTGACTACCTTTATTTGATCAGCGATATTTACATATACAATTGGTTACATGATTAGTTTAGGACCCAGTGTTAGAAAACTGTAGGTGTCCTGATCACTTGGATCCATTATACCCCTCTTTTTCATCTCATGCACATCAGAGTTTAGACATAGGTAACCAAACTAGACCTTATCGCTGACCTGGGCATCAGTACTTGAATTTTGCTGGTGTACAGACAAAATCAAAACATAATACTGTTTTACCTTTTTATTTCATACATGTATTTTTTCATCTAGAGCATAGTCTGATGATGATGACTTTAACTTCACAGTTTGAAATAAATTTTTTGTGTATATTGCATAGATATATATCATAAATAAATAAAACTTGTAAATATGTATATCTATTTATCTACAGAGGCGAAATAAATGCTACATATTTTGGCTACTCTGACCTTGAAAGAAACATATCAGTATTTCTCTCTTTATCAAATAATTAAAGGCTCTTGTAATAACCAAATTCACTAACAAATTTCTTTGGGCAAACACCAATCTAAGAGATATGAAGTTTTTACCTATACCAAATTAATGGCATAAACTCAAATATATATATATTACATAAGTACACAAGTTAAATCATCTACCTGGTAAAATTCACTTGCAAAAAATATCAGTTGTATCTAAGAATGTTTTCTTTTTATATATTTTTTCAACTACCTAAAAATGTCACAGCTTTTAAAATGAAATCACATCCTTGAGTCAGCGTGATGTGTAAAAAGGGCGTGATACAATTTAGCAAGGTTCAACATTGACACAGAGAAAGTGTAAAACTACAAATCTAACAATTTATCCACCAGATATTACAGATTATAAGAAAACAAAAGTAATTTAAAGAATTAAATCTGGTCACTTCAGACTGAAATAAAACCAATCTCTGTGTGATACAACATCTGATAAATGTTTGAGAGCGTTCCTGTATCAGGTAGTTGCTATCAGCACCATGTACCTACCCTCTACTATGATACATGAACACAGGAAAAAGGTTTTAAGAGAACTTAAAGGTTGTCAGCAACAGTGTTAAAATGTACACAAGGCCCTGTGTCAAAATATGTACAAGTCCTTGCCTCACAATCTTCACCAAGTCCTGTGTCAAAATATATACCAGGGTGTGTGTTAAAATGTAACACAAAGCCCTTGGATTAGACCTTGATTATAAACTGCATGCATTTAAAATGAAGATGAAAAATGTTAAATGCTCCAAATAGTAAAATAAAATGTAGTTGCTTTTATCAGTCAGATCATACAGCAGCCAAAAGACTTAAAAAAAATTTGAACTCTAAATCTAAAATATACCTTTCTTGAGTTTCACTAGGTTTCATCACTCGGCATTCAGTTTCCAAGGAAATAATATATTATGTGCTTAAAAAGAATAACATACAGTGTATTTTTGATAACACAGAACAAACTGAATAGTTTTAAAACATACTGAAAAACATAAAGCAACTTTCTAAAATCTGATTACTGCTATAACATACAAACAGTACAACCAATTGAATTTAACAATAGCATACCATACTGGTCCAGTATAGTCATAAAATGTTTCAAATTTTCATTAAGAAGAAAAATAAAAACAGACTAGTTCACAAAGAAATTCACCAGACAAAAACAATACTCCTGTTATAAAAACAACCAATCAGATCACACCCTAAACGAACCTTATACCATTATATGATGATTTACGTAATGAAAATAAACAAACACCAAGGTCAATAATTTAACATCATACAGGGTGTTAACAAAATCACTTAATCAGCAGCTGGGTTTACATGGGATACTAGATGGAAATCCTAAGGATTTTTGTTGACTAAGGCAGTGTTTTGAGTCTTCAGGTTGGGAAACTAAGGCAGGTGTTCAGATCTTGGGTCATATATGATGATCATAGCTGAAATGGGGTCACTTAGTGGTCAATGGAGGCGGGAGCAGAATGGTCAATATTTTTTATATTGTAGACGGGACGGATAGGTCAAACACATTACACACTAACACCAAAGCCTAGGTCAGCTGTACATATACGATCGGAATCAATGGCTAGAAACATTTGTTTCAGGGATTCAACATTTACACAATATGTTAAATCTTCACATCACACAACAAATAATATTCTTGGATATCTACTATTTGCTATTGTCATGGGTAATTATACCAGGTTTGTAGAATGAATTGATAAAATATGTTCTATTCCTACAAAAATTGATTCTAATCTCTCAATGAAATATCATCACTGGTACAATGTTGTCAGGTTCAAAAATAATTAAAAAAATAATGTTCTTTGTAGTTAAATTTGAAAAAAAAAAAAAAATAATTGTAATTGTAGATCAAAAATTTTGTACACAGTTCGGGTCTTGGATTTCACACCAAAATAAAGTGTTGTTATACTGGAATTACTACTAAATGTAAGATTAAGCACCATATACATATAATTTTTTTTCTCATATAAGGGATTTAATTAAACAGGACAGGATTTAATTAACGTAATAAATATGTCTGATTCTAAGTATCAAGAGTATCTTAAAATCTGATTACTCCAGCAAAATGAAGTGTACAGTGTACCTAAAGAGTCTGCCAAAATAACACACACACAAAAAAGGGTTCTATTTCAAGAAGACTGATAGTCCTAATAATACGTTAATAAGTTTTTTTATTGACTTTTAGATTACCATTTAAGAATGAACTTCAGCAGTTCTTACTTTTTCCATACTGTTTTCAAGATTTCAATGATACCTGCAAGTCTTCATATCCTTACTATTTTTGCGTACAATACTACAAGGTAGGAACATCCATACAACACACGTCGTCTTACGATGATGAGTTAAGACTCTCTATACTGGCCATTACAATGCTTTTTATATCCAAATAATCAAGGTCCATTTACAGAAACAGTGTTCTCTACTCTATTAAAAACTGTTAGAAAATTAGTAGACAAACTGACGTCTTTACTGTCACAGAAGACAATTGAATTATAAAAAAAGTAAAGATCCGACTGTGAGTGTTGTTCATAAGTAACTTAAAATAAATCTTTATTTGTCGACAGTCCTCTTCCAGATTGAAAAAAGTTTTTTTTTTTTTTATATTTTTGTTATCTTGATGAAGAGAATGATAAATCATATGATAAAAACAACATGTAATTTTTGGTTTAAAAGTCATATTCTGCTAAAATAAAATAAAAAAGTATTTTTTGTTTTCTAATATATAGCAACAAACACAAGGGCTAGTCATGTTCTATAAACCAGGAATTCTGAGGTGTTATTCATGGTTTAAAAGTCATATTCTGCTAAAATAAATTTGAAAAGTATTGTTGTTTTCTAATATAAAGCAACAAACACGGGCTAGTTATGTTCTATAAACCAAGAATTCTGAGGTGTTATTCAGGGTGTCCACAATTTATCAGCATCTGGTCTTATCTCAAAATATCATACAACCTTGGCTACAATTTTCATGCCAAAATATAGCATGAAAGTTAATACACATAATATGTATTTGTTCAAGGATTACGTCATACTCTAATGAGTGACTTCAATGACCATAGTCATTTTGTAAAACTAATTATTAGTCATCAGGAAATTTAAGAACATCATTTCAACATTTCATTTCAAATATATCCACTAATCATATTGATACTGGTATATATTATTGATATATGTGTACTAGATTCAACATCTCAAAATATCGTTTTCCCCCGAGTAAGGGATCAAAAAATCTACATGAGAAAATAAAAGAAATACCACTGAAAATGAAAAAGAAACAGGTTTTAGATGAACTTTGATCAGATCTATCTAGATGAATCAACATTGATAAAATTTAATCAGACAATATCTAAAACGAAATGATACAAGACAAAAACCAGGAAAGAACACAGACAATATCATAACAATAATTTCAAACAAAATATATGACAACAAAAACTTAACACACTTTAATTAACAGGAAAATACAATGAATTAGCAAATTTTTATGAAATTACAACTCTTTTTTATCAATATTTAATATTTTTGAAAATGTTTTGAATTCAAATATAATTTTGAGGATGAAAACTGAATGCTCATGGTACAAACCCTTGTGCATAAATATGTTTCAAGGTACTTTAAACATGAAATATCACAAGTGTACTTATTCATTAATATCACAATCCTTTTTCTTTCAGAAATATTTTTCTAAATTCAATAAGGATTTATGCAAATATTTCACAACCTCTATGATACTGTATAGAAGTAGATGGGTGAATATCTGTCTAACCATCAGTAAATGCACTAACAGTGTTGGATTGATTTGAAACATCAGTAGTCTAGGTGTTAATATGGGAAGGAAATTAAAATTAAAAAAAGAAGAAACTGACCTTTATCAGAAATAATTTAAGCCGCAAACTTTTTGATTCACCCTCCTATTTCCATTCAAAAGTTTGACATAAAAAAACATAAACAAGAAGGCTACAATGAAATCCCTATCTTCAGTTTTACATCTTGTGTTCATTTGTAAGGAGAATTTTTCAAGAGAAAAAGAAACAAAAAACAAAACGAAGAAATTTGAAATAGCTTTTGAATTTACAAATGCTGTTAGATTCTCTCATCTCCATACCCTGATTAACAATAATATACAAGATTGGAGTTTAGATCCTTTCATCCAAAACCAAATTATCAAAGGACACAGACTTGATGAGAGGTTTCTATGGTGACATATCAAAAGCACCAGAATAGTGATGATGCAAGGTAATACTTAGGACAACCAAGGTACCCGTAATACTTGGGACAATGGCGTGCACTGATACCTGGGAAAGGAGTGAATGGTAAAAATACCATTAATGATTTGCCAACTATGGTAAAATTCTGAGGATACATTTTTCTTCTCACAAACTGGTACTGAAATCTTATAAAATATTTCTCTGAAAACAGATGTTTATCTACAAGGAATCATTCTATTTTTAATCATCATCATCATCATCATCATCGTCATCAAATTTATGCATGAAAAGGTTCACTGATTCTTTAATGAATTTGACAGACAGATGACATCATTAATTAAGTAATATATATTTTTTAAATGCGATTGTACAGCCTTCAAATAAAAAGATTAAGAATATGAAATGACTTGCTGGTATTTAAACAATCTTTTATAAATAATTTTCTATCAGATCATATCAAGGTAGTGCTTGAAATAATTGGTGCATTTCAAGGTATCATACCTAATCAAATAATCCATCATGGATACATAAAAACCTGATGGCTCCAGAATGTTTCCTCCACAAACAACATTTAATAGAACGATTCCTTGTAAGAAGGTAAGAAAATATTTGTACTAATGTTATTCAATGGTAAGACTTTTTTTTACAATTTCAAATACAAATTGATGAAATAAAATTTAAATTTTTGAGAAATAACTTTTTCAAAGAATGTTCCCATAGTCCAATTGCTGATGTTGAAAGAGATGCGAGCTAGTATGAAATGGTGTTGTGAAAACTACCTACAGGAAGAAGTGTTACAGAGAAGTAGACCTCTTAGTCCCAGAGTCAAGGACAGCCTGGACTATACAGAAGGGAACAAATGAAGATATCCAATCATAATGCTTCAAGTACATATTCTTATTACCGGTGATACAAGTATTGTATTGAAGAATAGCTTGACAAGTGGAATATGATCCTGTTTACATCAAAGTTTGTAACATGAGGAAACACAACACAGTTGTCTGGCTGGTTGTCTCCCTTTGGCTTCCTGGTTGTCTCCCTTTAATTAATGTGTCACAAACAAAATGATTATATTGGCTGACTGGTTGCCACCGTTTGGTGGTCCAGCATACACTTCCCTGAAACACTACTGACATGGTGCTACCGAAACTCTATCGAGAAATCCAAGTTCCAAACAGTAACAACCTGTAACAAATGGCGACTTCTGCACTGGCATCAATTGAAATTTTGCAACTTTAACATTGAAAACTGGCGAAGCAAAAATAAAATATGACAATATTAGGAAGACTTTGACAGTCAGAACTATTGCTAATTATCAACTCTGGGACTCTTTGCGTATTAATGAGATAATCTGTTCATGTATTTCGTACATTTCTGTCACTTTTGAGCCTAGCTGGTCCTGTAGGTGTAGGAGATCGTTAGAGTCCTGATCACGTGACATACGACACTCCTGTAACTGATGATGGAAATCCTCCACTTTCAGTGCTAATGATTGGTTTTCCTCTTCTAAAGTCTGAAACCAAGCAAAAAAGAAGTCTTGAAAATATTAACCTAGACAAAATAATCGGCAGATCGCCTAATGCCACAGGAATTTATGTCCAGAAGCTGATAATATTTCACTACTTTTAGCATGCTAAAAACTAAATTCTGACTATAAATGTTTAATACAAAACTTACTGAAAAAGAAATTTATTATGCCAACAAATAGTTTTGAAATCCCTACGTATAGTTGAGGTAGATTTACCTGTATTCGAGTATGTAGACTAGAGCTTGCCGTTTCCTTCACAGCCATATCATTCAATCTCATATTCAGTTGATTAATCTCCTGTAAACAAAACACACATGTATATGATCATTGTTTGCACTATCACTATGAACACTTCAATAGATATCACAGAATTATTGTATTTGGATCCATTTTGATGATAAATCTTACATATATATATATAAATATATATATATAATGAAGACTTTTATTATGTTCAAATCAGCAAGCCAGTAACATATATTTCATTCATGATGAATTTCAGAGATCTTTACCAATGTGGATTTCAACGAAAGAATGGAATATTAATATGCTACATGAAATAATTATATGACATATCAGCAGCATTACATGATAAAGAAACAGAAAAATATATCAATATTGAAACATTATTGGAAAAATTGCTACCACAGACACAAAAATGTTTATCACTTTGTTGCAAATTGAACATGAATGAAGTTTGATGCAAAGGAATCATTCAAGAATTCATGAAAGTGTTTAAGATGGAAAATAGTACTGATCATATTCAGAGCAAGCAGTATTTAGAGAAGTATATATGGTTACATCATATTGGGACAAACAGATAATAACAATAAATAATTAAACACATAACCATCCTTAAGTGATGATCACAAGCACCCTGTATTATCAGAATTGGTCAAGAAAGTAGCATTATTACCTAATAATATCCTACAAAATGTCATCACAAGTTAACTAATATCAACAATCTTTCACAAAATCTGTTACTTTTTAATGTCAAAATGATGAAGCTTTTGCAGGCAGAGTGGTATCTCTGAGCTAAAGCACTACTTCAAGTGTAAACAAACGTTGTACATGTAGCTGATAAAACTATATTTGTGTGACCCTCTCCTCAATAAAAACACACTAAAATATAAAAAAAATAACACTGTATTAGCTGAAAAGACATGGATAACCCTGCTCCAATGCAAACCACAATCTGATCAGGTGTAGAATTTCATATGATGCTATTATAGGGTAAAATATGAACCAAATCTGTCCTGATGTTTTCAAGATGTGACACTGATTCTCACCAGGACACTATGGGGATGAATTGATATTGGTAAGACTTAAAACCACCCAAGTTGGTAGGGGTGTAAATGAGATAATGATAGTGATGACCACAAAGATGTCAAAGTCTTCTGCAATTTCAATCTCTATAAACCCTCATTTGTAAATTTACCTGTCAGCTGTCAACAACTTTCACAGAAAGAAAATTTCAACATCTCAGAAGAAGATATTTTTCCCATTTAGATAGCAATTCAAACTTCAACATGTTTTCAAACACAAATTAATGACATTGTTTCTTCACACAAGTTAGATACATATAAAAAGAAAATACGCCATAATAACGCCATTAAATTCAAGCTTAGCAGACTTGGGAGTTAAAATTGTACCATTTTTCTAGACATGGAAAGTCACATCGTAAGCAAAAGGAATAAAAATCCCACTTAAGCCTTCATTTTAGTTATTTGAAACCTTGGTTTTTCCTGGTGACTAAAAACAAGGTCAAATTTCTCAACTTCCCCTTATGTATTTGTAATTAAGTCATTTACATAAAATAAGGATATTCCAGAAAAAAAAGATCATTCAGAAATATTTAGAATAAACAAGTATGTATTTTAATTGTTATAAACAAGCACAACTTTGCAAACAGATGTAAATAGACAGAACATCATATTTGATTAGAGTGACCAACTCACTTTTAAGACCTTACGAATAGCAGAACGCTGAAAAAAGGTACATCATAAATAATAAGTTGGACCTGACATGAAGACATCTTAAATGTCAGTGTTATTGTTTGCTGATGTCTGAAATTTGTAGTCACCATCTTTTACCTCTTGTTATTCTAGTCATTAGGTTTATCATGAATTGAATGGACGACTTCAACCTCAACAATCTATTTTTTCAATGTTACCACTTAATCATTTTTAAATTAAAAATAATCATAAACACAAACAATGATTGATCTTGTACCAATGAAAATCACTTAAAGTGGATGCCAAGATCCTTCTGGTATCTCTTAATACATCTCATGTATTAGAATTTTTCCTTCAATAAATATCAAGAATTATTTATATTCTAGTTAATAAAGTTGCTACACTTCTCAGTGTACTATAAGATAGAAGAGGCAGTCTTTACATGTTAGGCATTTCTTATAAAATTACACAAATTATTAGATTTATTTGAAGAATGATTAATTTTTTTCCTTTTTTACGAATGTTTTTTAGTTTAGTAAGAATAAAAGAAATGAAATTTGTAGAAATGTAAACATTACAGGTTTTGTGAAAAACAAAATTGTGAACATCATCATCTGCCTCCTAAATCCCCCCAATCAGTAAGTAGAAATGGAATGGTGCGAGTGACCTACATCTTGTTTGTCTTGGTTGTCAAGTTGTACCCGTTCGAGGCGTTCAGTCAACTGTGATAGTTCCCCCTGAAGAGCCCCAACTTGGTCTGATGAATTTGGCTGCTTCTCCATCTCAACAATCTGTACACATACAAACAGACATATAGTGTATTCATTCTTATCAATTTTTAAACAGAAAATTGGACACAAATACACACTCTGCCAAAATAGAACATTTTTACCATTTCTGTGAGGGACTTTCCAAAGTGTAAAATCTGCATCATAAACATATAACTTCTAAACAGCAGCTGAAAACTTGAATATTGATGTAATATTCCAGACAAAATGCTGATTTCCTGATATTCTGTAACATTTGGAACCCTTCCTTACTGCTTTTCAAAGAATCGTCAGCATTAATACGTATTTCCTGTGGCGAGTTCCAACAAACAAAATTGATAGAAATAGCCCTGAATATCTTTACAAGAAATGACACAAAAATCACTTGTAGGTACCTAACAAAGACTGAATTTATGACATCACCATATTTTTTCACAGTGTATTGTGTAGGTGTAGTTGTAATGCAACTCAACTATATCTATATAGAATTTCTACAAATCAAATATTGTAAGTTGTTTTTTAATGTCAGATTAAGATTTACAACTGAGAATATAAGGAACTTAATAAGATCATGTGTAGGAAGTTATGTACTTATTTTTATAAAATATCTAATGAGATTCTCATTTGTATGGAATATCTCTTTAACCATGGTCAGGAAAAATAAGAAATCAACACCCAATTTTGTATCATAATGATTCTTGTTAAACATTAAAGTTGTGCACATGTAAAGGTGAATACTGTAACTGTCTTGGCAAAGGACATTTCATCTCAGAAAAGTGGACGAGAAAATGAAAATGTAATTTTTTTCCAGTTTTGCCGTAAGTCTGAAATATTGTATTTATGTCATTCATACACCATTTAGCAAATCTATCTAACATATATAAACAATTGATATCTAAGTTGAAAAAAAGACGCAGAGCCCAGTGACTATACAATAATGCTATCAGATTTGGTTTTACAATGTAAAACAGATCATGGTGACTATTGCTACTCCTACATCCCTGTTACCTTTTTCTTCATGCGAGTACTCTCTTCCTTGTAAGCAGCTAGCTGTTTTTTCCACTCCTCCACGTTGGCAGTACTTTCTTGGAGTGCAGCAGTCAAACGAGCATTATTATTCTTCAGTGTTTGTAGTTCTATTTCCCATTTTTTGGCATTTGCAGAGCTGCAAGTTGCATCACAGAATCATATCATGTATGTTTAAATATGAAATATCAAATAAACTTATTACTGATAGAGGGAAGAATGAAAACCAGGGTTGAGTCCGCATCAACAATACATTTTTTATGATACATGCTACTTTATATTTGTGTTCTGATTGAACCTTCTTTTCAATAACATTTCAGTGACTAGTAAAAACAAAAGATAATGTCAATTTCTGTACTGGCCACTATTAGAGCTTCATTGTGTCAGAGGTTTGGTAAATTCTGTCTCAGATATGTGATGAATGGTGTAAATTATGCAGCTACATATTAAGAGATATTTGTCCCCAAAATTATGTCTTTATGGTTTGTACATAGTATGATAATACACACTAAAGTCAGCATGACTACACTTGGGTAGCAGACATTCTGTTGGAAAACTTAGCAAGTCACATATAAATAAGCAGCAACAAACCTTTGTGCTAGTGCTAATTTGAGTCGGTCATTTTCGTACTTGAGTTGGCCATCTGCTGAGTTTGGCTGGGGAGAGCCTGGAGTATTGAAGGAGTTTCGGCGTTCTCGTAGGTTGACCTGTTCTCGATTCTCTTGTCCCTGTCCCTACAAACAAACAAAAATCTGGTTAACAAAACTAAAACAAACAATGTAATGTCCGTCTAAACATCAAATGATCATGTAAGTCCATCATTAACACTTTCCTTTCTAAAAACAGTATTTCTACATAACAGAGTGAAACAATTAGCATACCTGATATTTCAAATTTTACTCAAATCAATTTTTTCAGCAGGAGGTTTTTACTCCAAACAGATAATTTTCTATTGAATCTTCCTCATTTTCCTCCGTCACATTTTGAACATAATACCACAAAGGGCCTATCTGATTAATTTCCGCTAGTCATGACCACCAAAATGGCTGGCTACTTTTTACGTAAGCATTAAATTTAACAGACCCACCACATCTTGTGGTTATGGTAGCTTCTTTTCATCATGCACTTCTATCAAAATGTCTATCCATATAAATATACATTAATATTCTCTGTGAACAACTATTAATACATGGTTATTTTTAGATTTGTATGAATACTTATCAAAAATTAAAATTAAGTCTCGCTATTTCGGAAATACTTTAGATGATTATGCAAGACATGGAGAAGTAGTACTTCAGATTTGTGGTGAATTTGTAAAAATAATCTTATATACCGGAAGACAAATGTTGAAACAAGAATTTTAAATGCATGTATGGTCAAGAAGTATCATATGTGGGCACTATTTCCAAAGATTCTCCATAGTTTATGTGCTCAATTTTTCATTTCAAAAGAAATAGGAACCTATTGTAATTTCAGAAAAGTAGCAGTTTTATGGGTACATGTCATGGTCTTTTACAAATTGTGGACCAGTTTGGACCAGGTTCACTTTACAAAGTGATTGGTGAGTTACCTGTCCATCTCCCACCTGCATAGCAGACAGGCTAGAGCTGCGTGTGTGTAAGAATTGTCTCCCTTGTTGGGGTGTCCCTGGGGCCACAAGTCCATCTTCACTGCTTCCGTTACCATTGATCTGTGCATTTTGTTGTGTCACCTGCTGTCTGGTCAATTCTTTTACTTCCTTGAACTTCTCAATAAACTGAAATGTGATTTAGAATCTTACTTTTCTGCATGGCAATAGGAACAAAATGTATTCTTCATCTTTTTTTTAATAAGCATATCTGTTTATACAACCATGGCTTTGTTATAAACAACATAAGTACAGGTATGTTTAATGTAGTAAGCATAAATTATAACTTTACAAGCAAAAGAATCTTCAAATACTTATAAACATATACATGGCTGCACTCAGCTATATACATCTAAAAAAAATACAAAATAGGACCAACTCGGTAGGTGAATATTGGCCAAGTCTCCCTATTTTCTTTCAAGCCGAATTTTAAGTCAATAGAATGCATCCCTATCGCTTGTTTTTAATAAACTCAAAGAAAAACACCAAACAACTTAACTGTTAAGATGCTTAAGAAAGGTAAATTGTCTAGATATGTATCACTATAATTTTCCTGCAGTATTGTCCTTAATTTTTTTTTGATACCATCCAGTAAATTAAAAAATTCATTACAATGCCTGATTTAAATGTATATGATATTTTCTTTTACACCTGACATTTAATCCAGACTGCAACAAAAATATCAAATTTCTCATCAATTCACACCTTTGAAACACAACTGAGTTAGTAATTGTTCTAACTGAAACAGCACATGAAAAACACTTAGGATCTTTGGTAATCTTGATTGATGGTAAAACTAACTTAACTACACAGTCACTGGTATTAAACCATCCCAAAGTCTGCCAAAACAACACTAAAGCCTTGTCTACTTGAGAAAAGGGTTGGTCCTTGACATTTGTGATGGGAAATTGTTTAAAATCCACCATTAATAATCAGTAAAAATCAAACAGCCTTTCTCATGTAGTTAACTGATTATATAATCAGCTGACTGTTTACTTAATATGTGAAGTAAGTAATACTTTCTTTTATGTATTTAATATAAAATACCTCACTCATCTAGAATTATTGGCAATAAGCATTTTTATTACTCAAAATATCAATTTGGTTTTTGCTCAAAAACACAAGAAAATATTAAGGTATTAATGATTGCTTGTAAAATTACAATCCTGCATTACATCAGATGTGATTAAATGATTAGATATTGGTAATATCTGATCACCGTGTCATCACTATATGACATCACTACATGACAAGCAGGGAGTGTATGTCTGGGATATCAGTAGCTCCCTTCAGCTTGTTTCACATGTACAGCTGGTAGTGTGACCTACAGTTAGACACCTGTATTTATGTCCTGGAGGATACAAGATTAATTTCATACTTGATTACCTTCTAATCATCAGGATGGATGGACACCAACCTGGACATATCTATCTCGATACAACCTTGGTAAACAATACTGACCACTCTAGAACTGACCACTTTCTTTCCTTAATTGAATGAACTCAGGTGTCAGTTTCTCACTATCTCTCAGTCAATGATAATGGTGAACAATGCAGGATGACATTCCAAACTGACAGGTATTCTACCTGATAAAATCTGTATAATATCAATTATAACTTACCTGTCACAAGAACACAAGAAAGTGACCTTAGGGTATGTTTATGTAAATGACATCATTTTAAAAATTCCTTGACCATGTAAAATCTCAACTCCGTTTGTTACTTCTTATTTTCCTATATACTAGACATGTTGTTATATCATGGAACAGCCTTCCATTTTAACCAGTTTTATTATGTTTTACGTTACATTATATTTTATATTACAATCCTTTGTATGGGCTCATTATCAGATATACTACCACTGACCCTACACTATTAGATGCTATATACCAATAGCACTGTACAGTATGTTCAAGATAAAAAAACATTTGCAGGCCTTCAAAAACAAACATGAGATATATTACATGTCTTGTCAAAACTATCATAAAGTAACCGAAATAAAATTTCTGCAATAAATTCATACCTCGTATTTGAAGTTTTCTTTTGACTAGATCAAATCGGTTATTTTGTTTAGTCTAGATATATCTTACCTTGGCAAGATCTGCCTCTGAAGTAAAACCTAGACCATAAACAGTGTTGGCCCGAGGATCTGACCATTGTCCAAACTTCTGTGATGTCTTAGTGAAGGTCATGCCTGGTGTGATGGTACTGTTTATTATCGCCTGTAAATCAAAATGAATGAAGTTGAAAAACATGATGTATACCATGATGTCTTGAAGTCAACAAAATCCTTAATTACAAGCTGTCCTGGTTCCAGTTGAACACTTTCTCCCATATCTGTGTGTGGGAGTAAGTCAACTACCAAAGAATTTCTTCCAAAGACTTGCCTGGTTGGACAGGGAAAATGTTACTACATTAATCAACATAAGTTTATCATGTAACATTGTATGTTTAAAAACTGTCTACATGGAAACAGATTTCATTAGAATGTAAAGCATTATTAAGTCACTTTGATGTGATACTTCAATATTTGATTGAACAAGATAACAAATCTAATGCCATCTTAATAAGTAGGTAATAGTTTTGTAACACAATGAATGATAGATTACACAGGGACAAGTCAGAAAAAGGGATACAATAACATTTTATCTCTATTTGATATTTAGCAGAATGAATTTTCAACAAACCACAATTCTATTGCAACTCAGGATTGTGACAACTTGCAAAACAACGAAACACAATCAGTACCAAGTGATCATATAGTACTATATGTGAAATGTAACCTGATTGTGAAAACAATATAATATTATGTACAATGCTAGATATAGACATGTGTAGCTACTGTTGTACCAAAATTCCTTATTAACATGACCATAATTACCAATTATCCTAATTGCATATTCTACCTCATCAGGAAAATCTCCTAATTACATTTTCTACTTTTAAATTACTAAATTAGCATTCTCAGAAAGACCCCATTTACCATAATGGTGAGAGTATAATGAAATTGGATGGAAATGTGTGCCCATTACTGTAACATTGTGTATGCAATAGTGTTCATTGATTCGAATATTGATTCTAAGCCTAAACAGGAAATACATTATTCCTACCCCAGTGTTTAAGGAACACAGGTTTTCCCCTCCCCAAATTCTTAGTTAAAAATAAATCTTCATTAACATAAAAAAAGAAAGAATAACTTTATACTCTCTTGAGATCACAAAAGTGCAAGGAGCTTAAAGTATTTTTTTATTGCTGGTACGGCAGGAAACGTTTCACAGATAACAGAAGATATAATAATAAATTGCTACCTGCTCCCCAATCCCATTCCCCCTCTCCGAGTCTGACTGAAAACTCAAACCAGTACAAATTGTAGTATTTGCCAAAAGAAATAAAAGCCATTCAAATTTCAGAGGCATGAAATTTAGGTGAAGTGGTAATCTGAATGGGATTTCACAGATGGCATCTACTTTATCAGGAAGGGGAAATGTGAATATAGAGTGTAAAAAAAAATAGGGAAATGTTTAGGGTAATGTTCTATCTACAGCTTCATTGGGATAATATTACCGGTGTTGTATAAACAGTATGGCCATTTGTAAACAATTTAAAACCTACAACTTTCTCCTGTTGTCCATATGACTCATACTATTATGCCAAACCGAGCCATACTTCATTGTGGATTTATTCAAAAACTGCTTTTGCCTCTATTTCTGTTAACAAACTCTTGGATCCCAATGTTTGAAATGAATGTAAAATTACCGAAAAAGAAAGTTTTCCTGCAAATGAACATTAATAATGCTTGATTGGAAGATAAATAAATACTAGTACAGCCAAAAATGATTCCATAAATTTTGAAGTGAATGAAATGTACCATGTGACAAGCTAGCAAGACTTTGGCTCGGATATCTATCCAACATTTCTGATCAACCTTGGCATTTTTCCACTGTATAGTATATGTGAAATGTGATTGAAGAAAGTAAATTAACTGCACATGGAACTAATGCTTTTACCAAAATTGAATAAACACAGAATTAGCTAACAGATTATACGCATGAAACAGATGTGAGAAGTTACTATACATTTCACCAGAAATTGGTAACATACAATGGTAGACATGAGGAAGTACAAGCGTGCTATCTTTCGAACAATCGATTTTTAAAGCTGGTAAAATGACCAGCAAACACAACTCTCAGACAGATTAAATGGATCCATGAACATCCAGAAAGAAACTGAGAAGTATTGTTACTGACGCTGGAGACGGATGGGTGATCGCAGGTAATTGAGGATGGGATTGTTATTGGTGCTGGGGAGAGTGATCAATATTAATATTTGTGGAGGTAAGGGAATATCATTATTAAAATAGAGAGGGAGAGATCACTGTTCAGATCCTAGGGTAGGAAATATTATCAAAAAAGGGGATTTTTGTAGGTAGTGGGAAAGGAAAGATCAATATTTATGAAGGTATGGAAATATCATTATTAAAATAGAGAGGGAGATATCACTGTTCAGATCCTAGGGTAGGAAATGTTATCAAAAAACGGGATTATATTAGGTAGTGGGAAAGGAAAGATCAATATTTATGGAGTTATGGAAATATCATTATTAAAATAGAGAGGGAGAGATCACTGTTCAGATCCTAGGGTAGGAAATGTTATCAAAAAAGGGGATTATTGTAGGTAGTGGGAAAGGAAAGATCAATATTTATGGAGTTATGGAAATATCATTATTAAAATAGAGAGGGAGATATCACTGTTCAGATCTTGGGGAGGGAAATATCTTTGTAGACCTTTGAATGGAAAATATCCTTACTCATACTTGAGAAGTTAGATGTCATCACTGAAATTTGGAGGTAGGCAAAGCATTATTATCTTTAGGAAGAAGGAGGTCATTATTGATATGTAGTTAACTACATGTCATTAAATGGTATATTGGGAGTGGAAAACCAGGAGGAAGGAGAGATCACTGTTGATATCACAGAAGGAGATAATGATTTTTATCTCAGTGTTACTTATAGTGGGAAAAGCGACATAGTGATTGATATTTTTGGAGAGGAAAGTCACGATATAATGTTTTTGGGGAGACGAATACACACAACTAAGATGGTAAATTGACATTTGGGAGAAAGACACTATTGTTATTGACAATGGAAAGAAAGAATAAAGATTAGGAAAGGAGAAGTGATTATCAGTGCGATACCTTGGATCCATCAACACTGATGATCCTATATGTGTTTCTTGTACTGTCGTAGTAGTAAGACACACTGACTGATGACTGACATGCTGGCACCCAGTTCTTCTTTGTCTCAGGGTCAATCTGGAACACATGGGCCTTGGTAGTGAAGAAGGGCTGCTCCCTAAAATATCAGAAATCAAAGAATAAACATAAATAACATTTAGAGTTAAAATATAATCTTATTGTATAAATCACTTTCCCAGTCAACTTAGAATACTCAAATCAGTAACGCCTGACCAATAAAAAAATATTGTTGAACTTTTAAACTTCTAACCAATGTATCATTTACTTTCTCATTTCAGAAATTATTTCTTGTATCTTTAACTTTCACTATGTTAACCTGGGAAATCAGTAATAACAGTTAACAAAACGTTTATCCTGGCTTTCACAGCCTTCAATGAAAATCAGGCATCTCTTTCACTACACACCAGTATCTTTTGCCTATACACCTTAAAGTGTTAATGTGTGAACAATGTGAGTTAATATGAACATACAGATGTGTTATTCCTGTGAAACGTGTCTGGATGGACCATCATAATTCAATGTAAAACTTTCAGATCAGTTATAAATGATAGTATTGAATACAGTTAAAGTGTCTATTCTCAGTAATATGTGTAAAGCTGGTGTTCAGTGCCCAATATTTCAGATAAATATTGATATACACATGCCACATATAGTGCAGTCAGACCTCACATGGACATCTGATGAGTTCCAGATTCCAACTCCAAATTATCAAATACACCTACCGTAACACACTGAGTACAGCTACAGGGGTAGACAATGTCCTTACAACTCTCCTACGTGACATCTTCATAAACTAGCATTATAATTTAAACACAGGACAACAGTAAGTCCATCAGAACACATTCCAATACAGATATAATATTAGTTAGCCTGTCAGTCCAACATTATCACCACCCAGCGAACCAATCGACATTCCTGTATAATCCACTCTGATTTGCCACTGAAAGTAACATTGCAGGCTCCCACATAATACATTAGCTCCAGAACTGATTATTATTCTTGGCAGAATTGTATCCTTAAGTCAAAATAACTGTACAGGTGTTTTATCATGGTACAACATGGACTGTCAATTTGCAAATGCCTTTCATTTTCATCACCGGATTTATAATAGACTATAGGTAACAATTTAATGTTGAGATTACATGAGGTACAGACCTGAATACACAGTCAACATTATTTATTGGACCTGGTAAGTATTTTATAAGGCCCATATATAATTTTGCCAATATTAAATGGCCGCTATACATGTGACAGAATGACAATAGGGGACTTTGTTCTCAAAAATGTTTACTCACACTTAGGGGTCTACATAAAAATGTGGCCTGGGTCACCTGAAGACTGACATCCAATATTTGTTATCGATTACCAATTTACCAGCCCAGTTCAGTATCTCTCCACTCAACACCTCGCCTTACTACACTAATCCCTCAGTTTTCTCCATTCCCTCCCCCTACCCAATCAATCTTCCTGGCCAGGCTATCACTTGTGAGACCATGATAATTAAGTGTCTGTACAACATACCCTACCTTTGTATAATAACTATAAATACTTTCTTGTATGAAGGTACATATAGAAGTATACAACTTTTCAAAATCAAAATCATTTTTTTTTTATCTTATATCATGTCTCCAATCTTTATTTTAGCACATTTGTTCCTGATAGCAAAATACAAAACACCTACTCTGAAATCAAAAAGTGATGTGAGGCCTGTTTCTCTGCTTATAGGATTTCCATAGCATGAATTCCAACCCCAAGAAAGTGTCTAAACTGTCTGTATTGATTGAATTTTGGTAAGATTTTTTGTCATATCTTTATATATTCACAGAAAGATGTGTGCTTATCATCTTGTTATGCACTGAATTGGCCCTGGTAATATTTTTAGGTATGTCACCAGTGTAATACCTTGTGCGTTTCTCATTAGCTGTGTCTGTAAGCAATCTATTGTGATGTCATGATATGGACAATGAAATTACATCATGAATGACAAACGACACAACAAAATGGCTTTCTCCATTTTCATTTTGTCCTTCATACTATCACTTTAAACTTGTCAATATGTACCTTTTATGATTCATGTGATAAAAAGTATCTTAAAATTGTTTTTTTTTCATTTCCAATGCTTAGTAATAATAAAAACTTCAAAGATTTGTTTCATATCTCATTTGAAATGAAACCTCGAATACATTCTGCAAAATTTTGAGTACATAATACATATGTATCATCAGTAAAACCATGCAATATGGAAACATGAAATCATGGCCATATATCACTCAGAACTGAAAGTGACTGGGAACTTCATTTTTTCATTAATAAGGGCAACTCTCTCAAAATAACTACAAAGAATGCAGAATGTTAGCAAACATTTAACTTGACATCTAAAATGGCCATGAACAAATATCAGACAAGTATACTCAAGTTTATATAAACTATTCCCCAAATTTTAAAATCATGAAAATTGTAATAGATGATAAACACCCAATACCCCACTTAATTATGAATGTATTTATTCACGGCGGGCACCTGTAACCTTACACCAAAAGGTAAAACCGGGGAATATAGACCAGTGATTAAATGGTGAATATTGATTAGACACTGCTCCTTCTATCACATGAAAACTGTGTCAAGCTTGATATACACCACACAAAACCTGTTTTATCAGTTGTTTTGAAAAGTGCCATTGTCATGCAGGTATGATGTTGCTATGAATTTACAAATAATTATTGTTAAAACCTGTTAAACAACATAAACAAGTCTATACAAGATTTTTTATGTGAACAATAATGTCAATAAAGTTCAGAGAGATGACACGTGTATTTCTAATTGGTACAGTTCAGAATATACACATGAACTTGACATTATTCTAAGATCATATGATAATTACAAAATTTATTGAATTGTGGGGCTTTGTGCACCTCCCCATCTTGGTTTTAATAACTCAAACGAAATATAAATGCATCAGATGATTGAAAAATCCCATTAATTTTTGGTCCAATAGTTACTTATGTTACATATATTCATTATAAATGGCTACAAGTAATACAAAGATGATGTCAGAATATTTTATAGCATGTATCTTGTTGTAGATTTAAGAAAGCTAGGTTTTGATTTGGTGTTTTGTACAGCAATGTTCTATTATTACAGACAAGATACAGGTAAATAAAACTTCTACCTAAACGTCATGACTGAAGCAGAAATCTTCATCAACATTAACAAGAGCAAATATGTATAAACTGAAAATGAAGAGCTTTCTATAAATTAGACATAATGTGTCTTATACAGTTTTACGTTTGTGATGAAAATGAATGCCAACTAAGTCATCTCTGAAAAATCATTGTCTATCATTCCTTACCTTCCCATAGGATGTTTCATAGGAGGCATGGATAACGTCAACAAATTCCTTGAAAAGTCAGGTAATTTTGTTTACATCAAAAATTGTGTAAACAAATAAACATTACAAGATAGACATGAGGTGAAATGAGACATGCCTAGATCAAACTCAAACCTGCACCTACCACTTACTGTCTCAGACAGGTAGTAAGGTACACAGGTATATTTTGTAACAACAGAACTAATCCATGTATGACAATAATTGACCCCATTCCTTGCAGTTTTTACCTATCCCAAAAGAGTGTCTGTCCTTTTAGTGAATTTAAAAGTCTTAGTAATATTTGTAAGAATGTAAAGCGAGCACTAGTGTGTTAAAAGCCTGTCACAATAAATATATGTTTACTCAAGTATGATTCAAAACAGTTCTAGCAGCTTCATGAAGCCAATGCAATTTGATTTTTTTATTTCTAATTATCGAAGATGCTCTGAACTAAAACTGGCAAAAAAAGAAACAATTACAAAAATGTTTACAATTTGTTACATTTGTTATATTATACATGTACTGATCATTAAGTAGGAGCTGCAAACCCTTGAACTTGAAGTGTATGCCAAGCTATGCTGTCAGTTAGAATAATACAGAAAAAAATAATATCACTTCATAATGTCATTCTTAATTTGTAGTCTAATTCATATTAACCAAAAATGCAGGACTACGATGACAAAAATTCGGGACATTAATATAACCTGTAGGATATTTTCACTGTACGTTGTGTATATGAGTACATTCTGAAAGCTAAACCCCATTGTATTTCTATCTATTGTCAAGTGTGGTGTCGACTTCAGTTGTTGTTATTTTCATGAAAGTAAGTTTAGAATGTGTATAATGCATTGGTCAATGGTAAGATTACACAGAACCATCAATATTTGACTTATTTACAAATACGTATACCTTTAGAAGATCTCTATAATTTTCTAACAGATCAACCACTGCTCTCTGGTTTCAAAATAAATGCCTAATAACGTGGGGACACAAATGGAAGTCTGTTCCAGGGATCCATAAGAGAAAATAAAAAGATTTTTTTATTGAGGGAACTGAACTGATCTTGCTGGAAAACAAGACTTGTAATTCAATATTTCCAATTAAATCTTCAAATAGTTTCCTTATTTCTGATCTTTAAATAAAAAAAGTGACCATAGTAGATGTTTAAACAAGGAAGTTACATTATCTTTCTTGAAAAGATTAACAATACTTAGTCATTGTAATTTAATACTTCAAATCAAATTATGTCCCTTTTTTATCTTGTCCATGAATTAGTGTTTTTAAAGGAATGTTTGCTATTTGAGACCCCATGCAGCTACCTAAATCAAACTATTGACAATCTGACAGGAGTAATTGCTTTCTAGATATATTTACTTAAATCACATGAAGAGTAAACTTAAAAATTATATGTTTACATTTAATCTTTATATTGAAACCAATTAATATCAATCACACGTAATTATCTACCAAATCCTAAATCTTGTTTACCGCAACAGGATACCAAGCTTTTGATACAGACCTGAAATATGTAAAAACACAGTATTTTTTAGGCAACTTTGTCACCAAACCTGATACTTCATTTTCAAATCATCAACAACTTACTACAATGTAGTCATTATTCCTTTGTTGTCAGTTTAACATCAGTAATGTTTCTGATCATCATCAATGAGTACACTGTGACATTTCTTCAGTTTTATACCAGGCCTTTATAATATTTAATGTATAAGAGG